AATAAAGTACTTGCAACTGCTAATTTGTACATTTTCGATTTCTGCCCACTCGTAATCAATCTCCTTGAATACAAAGAATTTCTTGATATTAGAAATACCAAGGACTTTTGAAAAGAGAAAAATTTGCTCAATAAGTTGTGTGGCTAAATTGGAAGAGACTGACCACGTAAGTTAAAATTTGAACTGGATATGATTAATCTCACCTTGTTTTCGTGAATTTGAATTATATTAGGCCTAGCTTGCTAATTGTACAATATAATCATCACATTTGATGAATTATAGTTAAGGAAGCCCATATGTTCGGTTGACTCTACTTGTTTTTGGCAACAATAATAATAAGCGTATGGCAGTAATTTCTAGCAGTAGATATTGAAACCTTGTTTTGCTCAACATCTTGAAATATTTTTGACAATCAAATTTTGACGATGAAGGTCATTACTATTTTGACAATAATATATATCATACATGTTATTAATTCCAACAATATGCCAAACTTAGGTAATTTGTCTTTTGCAAGTATGCTAAATGTCTACAAAACTCCTACTTGTTGTATTATGGAGTAGTTACATCAAGGGAAAATGCTCCCTGTAGATAGATACGATTAACATCAGATTACAACTCAAGCATTGAGGTAAACTATGGGAACTTTCTCTAAGCTTCTGTAATTCTTGAAATTCTTTAAATTTATGAGTTAAGATCATGAAATTATAATTGAACGCCAGTTACTTTGCAATCTATCCTAGTGCTTCTATAGAGGGAGATTCATCTTCTCTAGCGGAAATAATTTAAACATTTTCGAACAGCATAACTTACTTGCATTACTTTTTAGCTATTTATTTGATCCATCATAGCGGATAATTTGAACGCTTCTTTATCTTATGCTTCATATTTGTTGAACTAAATGCAGCAACAAACTAGAATGCTTGATGCTTTTAATTGTGTTTCTAATGTTTCATATCGTACTACTCTATATACATCTTTTAAGAGATGAACTTTCATATACTGTTTAAAAAAATTGCATTCATGGCAACGCTACATTCTTGCAAATTGTGACAACATTAGTAATTTTTTTTGTCAAGAATGGCAATTAGCATGTTGAAAAATTGACAGTTTAACTAAATACTGCTTTGATATTAACATGATTGCAGATCTTCATTTTACTTCATGTATCAGATTGAACCTTTCCTAATCGATATTGCACCCTAGCAATTAGTCTCATACAAAGAACAAACAACCTTGAAATTAAACCGCCTAATTTATTTATCAATGTGATATTTCTTTGTTTCTAGTTACAAGGCATTTGAAGCATCCTCAACTCTTTAATTAAATTCAGGTTGTCGATTTCCTTTACCTTGTGCGGTTAGTGTAATGGAACATTGCGATTATTTTTCATTATTGCACATTTTTTTGATCTAATTTATTTGTTTCAAATTAATTATCAGCAATTTAATTAAAAATCTAATATCGAATATTATTTATTTTAAGCTATTGAGATTAATAATTCTGAACAACTTTGATCTAATTCAGGATAGCAAGTAACTTTTCTATTAGAAGAACCATTTGTAAAATATTATATGCAAGTCGATTTTATTATTTAGAACTCCCCTTTAATATTTTCATTATCATACAACCCTCTAGTTATTATTTTTTTATTTTTTGAAATGGAAAATAATTAAATCATTAAATATGAACTCAAGGTCAATCCTGACCCATCACTTGTAAATCTCAATTTACAATTTTATATTTCCATTAAATAATCAAATGTGCTGATAATATTTATCCTGTTTTTTTAAATTAAAGCAAAAAAAGTGCACAAATTGCAATTTTGTGGCTTTCTTTTCACTTAGCTGCACCTCTGATATCCTCTAGAAATTCATATCGTTATTTTGTATTCATCCATTAAATCTAAAATAAATTGAATTTTTTGTTAGCCACAAATGCTTGTTTAATGTTATTATTTAAAATAATAGGTAATACAATGTATATATTCTTGATTTCTTTAGTCCTAATCTAAATTCTTAATTATCATAAATAGAAGAAGAAATAATGCCGTAGTGAAATCCACATATCTCTACTTTACTCAAATCACTTAAACTAAAAATCAAAATATATTAGCTATTCTTTGTTATTAAGAAATACCTTTAGTTCCTTTCAAAATTGAAATTCACGTTATTCAAAATTATTTTTATATTCATTAATAGTGTAATCAAACGTTGAAAAATGTTTAATAAAATAAAATTTATCCAAACATAATAGCAAAACCCCTTATTTTATCTTGAATCAGAATATGTAAATAATGAATTAATATTAAAGTCAAACACTTAAGAGGCAATAAATATCAATTAATTCTATGAATACAACCCAACTTTACAACATTATATCTAGATAAAGCAAGTAATTCATTATTATATGAAATTTTAACTTATAGTCATTCACAAATGTATTTTTTTTCTTTATGATAGATTTTATATCTTAACCCATTAAATTAATATTATTTTAGAATGTAATAGTTTTGGAATATAAATTCCAAAAATATAGCTCCTCTTAATGTTCTATTGTTAATTCATTTTAAGGAGGGGAAAATAAATGATCCTTTATTAAATTTTTGACCTTACAGCAGGCTATTAAATTTCTAAATTTTTTATCTGGAGCATGTGTTTAAGTTTAAGTAGTATTGTTACGATATGCTGTGTAAACAATAGCTCTTCTTTGACGTTAAGCACAACTTATCGAGCCACTTATAGAGTATTTTTTTAGTGTCAATGTTAATAATATGTTTTGTTGTATCAGTTAAGGCAATCAAATTATCAATTAAACCAAACCTTGTTTTGTAGTGATATGAATCATAAAGGCTTTCAAAATCATTAGATAATATATAACTAATCCCATAGGAATTCAAAAATTTGTCAGCTTATTATCAACGTCTAAAATCATAAATTATTGAATTGATTTTCAGAGATTAAAAATAATGATAATTTGTAACCGTCCTGTGTCATACACAATCGCTTTTTCACCTTCAAGAGAGATTTAAGTTTCAATAAATTTCTACTTCCCTATAATTTGATCTTTGACACCCTTAAACATAAAATTTCTTGCACAAATACACTCAATCATTAACTTTCATCTAAGCCACAACAGATTTTCAATAAATTAAGGGCAAATATGATCATTATAAATAGGATATAGGAAATCAATCCAATACAGTATATGGTGAGAGTGTTTAATTGTCGTAATTTAGATGCATTAAACAACCATTTTGATGAGAAACAAAAGAGGAGATACACAACCTGTGAATAAATGTATTAGTATTGGATCAAGATTTTACTTTTCAATTATTGGAAAGAATAGCTCATTGATTCTGAATAATCAGCTCAAAATTGAGTAATATAGACATTAAGAAATTTAGATCTCCGAATCAATCAAATTGCTTTACCCGTTCCTCATTCATATTTCCTTTTATTAAATTCCCTAAAAAAGTTTAATTCTAGATTTCATTAATTTTTCTTATGAGTTAATATTAATTATCAATATAAAGCATCAAAAGTTAGACAATAAGTAGGAAATTAATTGCACTTTAAACAAGATGAATCTCAAGATTTACAATTTAAAGAAACCGAATCTTCATAACATCCATCTTTGCATCACAAATATTTCCTAAATAAAATATTTAGTACCTATCCACTGAACATGAGGATGTACAATAGTTCTCTGGATTGATACATTTTTTGCAAGTTTTATTGCAATATAAACACTATTTAGCATTGCCACTCTAGTATGTGCCATCTATGAAGTTGCATTAATTGCTAGATAATAATCTCAACTAATTGCAAAAAGTACAATTAGTGATTGAATTTTAACTAATTTTACAAGTAACATCACAATATTAGCATTATCCATTGATTTCATAAGTTTCAGTCTTGCAAATGCAAGTTTTAGATACATTATTTAGAATCCTCATTAGCAATCAATCACATAGAGTACAAAAATTAGGATAGATTGAGTAATTTAAACAATTCTGATCACATTTACTACATTTACTTGACTAATTTCAAATAACTCATAATATGATTGCAACTATTTCCTTCTAAATGTCTTGTCGATTCAGAAGATGCACAGTAAGTGGCAGTATTTTAACAAGTCAAACATGAAATAAAGCATCATTATGATCAGCAGAGACTGCATTATCAAAATATCCAGGCGAACATTGCCATATTCCTTAATTAAAGACATGAAGATTCAAAATCAATGATTAATTATCATTCATATTCAAACAAATAAAAATATTAACATTTTTTACATAATATATATATTTTATAACATAAATATAAAAAAATATTTAATTTCATGAGCATCATAATTTCTTTCACAAGGATCAAAAACAAATCTTTTATTAATAGAATGGAGACTATCAATTCAGGTAAGAATAAAACTTATATTCTCAAAAAATTTAGGGATTATCAATTTAATAAAACATTATTACTAAATAGATCACAAAGAAAAAATTAAACCATTTCATTGGATAAGATAATTATAGAATTTCAAATTTTTAGTCCGCATTAGAAGATACATGCTGGTGGAAATTTTGTAAGATGTAATTTTAATGGATCAGAATTTGATAATTCTGATATAAATGGAATGAACTTGAATTAAGCTTAATTGTTAAATTGTAAATGGAAAATCGTCAAATTTCATGAGTTAAATAAATTAGATAGTGCTATTTCTTAAGCATCTTGTAGTGATGATAAATCGATTATAATTGTGAGATGTTTAAACTGGAAAAATCAATTCCAAAATCAGAATTTAGGAAGAACAAGTATGCACTTCACCTATAATAATAAATTCATCAACAGTTTGTTCAGTCAATTTTTCTCTAAAATAATGTTACATTGGTATTTATAATATAAAGCCAAATCAAATAGTCATTCAAATTGTGTTAATTCAATTTGTTACTCTTTTTACCGTATTACATTTACTTTAAATAGCTATCTCGCTACCTTTATATGAAGTATTTAACATCTTAGAATTTACTTTAATTTTTTAAGATTATTGTTTTAAATAATTTTTGTTTTCAATTTTTAAATTTTTTCTTGAGTTACCAACCCCAACCCCTGATTGAGAAGATATGGAGAGATATCAAAAGTTATCTTAGTTTACAAGCAATCAAACAAAGGAATTTGAGGATAAATTTTACCTAGTTAGCAAGCAATCAGAAGAAGGTATTTGGGGATAGAAGGTCTTCAGGAATACGCCGCCGGGATTTTTTGCCTTCTCGTAGCTCATAGCTCCCAGAGACCACTTTGTCCCACGCACTTCAAGGTAGGTTATATAGGTTATCTCTAAAGGTAGTTTTTAATCCAGTGGCCTTCGCGTATATATATATCTATAAAAAATAAAATTACTTGCTCAACATGTAAAATACTCTCAAATAGATGTGAATCTTGTTAAGTAAACTCCTATAGAACTTACAATTCTGTATTATTTTCTTGCAATTGTGAAGCTCATTTTTATGATTCAGGGCTTCCGATTTGTCAATAATGCCATTATTCTTGTTTGCTATGTAATGCTTATGGGGTATATTAATGTATTAGCTGCTAACCTTAAGCATCATCTTTTAGAATATTAAATGGAAAGGTCTGCGAATGTCTTCTTGGAGATTACGATAATGGATTTTCTTCAAATTGCTAATAATGCAATTATACATGTTTAAGCTGAAATAATTCTTCAACATATTGCACATCTTGCGAGTACACAAGACATTTAGATCAAAATCAATGTCCTTGCAATACTGGCTATTTTTATAAAGGGTTAAGTAATTGTAGTAAATCCGATTCAAAGTGTTATGATTGCAATTTCAATTCAAAATTATGCATAAAATGTGATACTAATAGCTTAAGATTATAGAAATCTAATACTAATACTTGCCATTGTTAATAAGGTACAATTGAAATAAATGGATAATGTACGAAATGTAAAGTGATTGTTTGGAATGGTTAAACACTATTACAAATTGTACATCTTAAGGTTTATCAAAAATCCTTATTAATTCGTAATGTATATTTATGGATGGAACATATTTTTTGAATGTAGATTATAAATGTTATTCATGTAATTCTACTTATGAAACTTGTGTTGTGTAGACTCATTTTGTTTGACTTGTTTTTCAGATTAAAATATAATTAAAGATATTACAAATCATACTTGCAATTGCAAAGTTGAATATTATGAAGATCCTGTTAAGACCTCCTGTCTTCAATGCGATAAAACATGCTTAACTTGTTTTTGGCATTTTTTCATATTGTACTTAATGTGATTAAAACTTAAATTTAACACTCAATTATTGATGTATTTGTAAATCAGGGCATTTCTTTAATATCCTTTCTTAATAATTTGGAAGTATTGTTTAAATTAATTTTTAGTTTGCAATTTTACTTGCACAGAATGCTTAACTTAAATTAAATGTTTAATTTGTGAATTAATCACTAGATATCTTGATAATGACACATCAAAATGTATATGCAAGGATGGTTTTATGAAACTAATCAAAAATAATGTTAAAGTATTAACAATTGTTAACAATAGAATGTCATAGTAGTTGTCAAAGAAAAAAGAAAATATTATGGATCAAGGTTCAAGTAATTAGTTAGATACTCTAGAGCTGGTATAGAATCAATTTCAAATAAATTTATATCCAGGTCACGTCTTTGTGTTTAAAAAAATCTTGTTTAGTAAATTGTTAAATTATAAAAATAGCAGATTCATTCCATTTTGTAATTTTTTTAAAACGTCTAAATTCCTGTGAAGAAAAGCTTTAGATTTTTACAGCTTAGTAATTAAATAAGTATTTTAATATTAACATCCACTTGGGAAGTCTTAGTGATTGATATCGTCAGTATCAATTCATGCATAAATCTCCTTATATCTCTAGTATTCAAAGCAATTTCCAAAATAAATTAAGCAATTTATATGTTACAAGGCAAAATTTCTATGGGGTGGTTTGGTTGTACTATATCTTTGCCTGCTTTTATTTCCTTTTTCCTAATGATTTTGGCATTAAATTAAATGTCTATTATTTTCACATAATAGTTAAATAACTAAAACCGAAATGGATATACCAATATCTTAAACATTTTGAGCACTTTATTATTGGTGTTTCTTATTTATGAGCCAATTGCTATTTATATAAGAATTGTTATATACAGACCCTTTCTTGACAGTATTAAACGCAATGAAAATAAATCAGTCAGCCATTTAGCTTATTTCTTTATAAATCATAGTGAAATAGATAAAATTTACGATTAGTTAAATATTCGATGAATCTGACTTAATATTACATATTGAAAAAATATAATTATTAATTGATATTTTTTTCTTGAGTAAATACTTAGTGATTTGCCTCCTTTTATTAATCTAAACTTTCAATTAACATTTTATTGATGTTATTTCGTTTATTGGTTGATAATTTAATATATATAATATAATTATAAAATAAAATGTCTTCTTTAGAAAATTAATAATGTATTTATATCAAAGATAAAAGTTTTCTTTACATAAAGGTAAATTTTATATTGATAATAAGTATTTTATTTTCGCAGTTAAATTTCAATTTTTTACATCCTAAATTGAAATTTTGCCTTTTTAAACCATTTAATTAATGCACTATCTCATGGTTTAAAATTGTAATTTCAACTTCACTTAATTAATATCTACACTGGAGGATGAAACCAAACATTGGAGTTTTTGAAATAAATTTATTAATCTTTAGAACTAAACCTATAAATGCTCTAATAAAATCATCAAAGGATAAATTTAAAATAATCTCCAGACTCTTAGTACAAACAGTATTTATGCAATCATCATATTATTCGAAAACAAATCAAATATTTCCATTACTCATCTTCAGCAATGATTAGATGAGAATTAAAATTTTTTCTGTTTAAAATAGGATTCATTACTGCAACTTCCTAGCTTATTTAATGAAATCTTGAGCTGTTAATAGGAGGATTATCTAAATTTAAATTTAGCCCATAGATTGTAATTTGGAAGTTACAAAAATTTTTATTGTCCATCAATAACCATTCGAACAAATCCTTTGTTCAGATCAAAGTAAAATCAACTTTTAAATAGTAAGCAACTAAATCTTTAGCCAAGCGCTACCTGATATCAGTTTGTCTTTTACCTTTTGTATCCTACAACTAAACATAGACTAACTTCAAGAGAGAAATGAAGTAAACAATGCGAAAAAAGTTTTCAAGTTCTAATTGGTGACTGAATTGTACCTTTAGGTCATCCAGTGCAACTTGAGTTAGGGTATATGCATGAGATGCAGTAGTTTAAATTTTTTTTGCAATCAGTTTGCAATACACTAAGAATACTACCAAATGTCCACTAGAATGAGTTAAAGTGAAAAGAAAAATAAAACGTGATTCAATAAATTTCCATCAATAGGCCATATTAATTTAACAGATTTAATTTATTTTTGTTGATTAGACTTCTAAAGTTTATAAGTATTTTCTTTACAAAAGTATTCTTCCTTTTAACTTGAAATCATAATTTTATGATTGAACATGAATAGATAAATTTAATCTGAATGGTTTTTTTCATATTTTAAATTTCAGTTTATCAATCTTGATCTATATTCAATCTTAATTTTGCTTAAGTTCCCCTACTGCTTCGGCAGATCATCATATATCTTTTTCTTCGGTTTTATATTGCATTTAGAATTTTTTAGTGGTTTCAAATTACTCTCATTCCATAAAATTATATTCAAACTCTAGAAATAACAAAATTTATTATTCTAATAAAGTTTCGATAATCATTTCTAATAATTTTCCTTCTGATTTTATCAAGATTCTTATTTCTCTCTAAAGAAATGTAAATTTAACATATCTCTAAATAACATTATCCATATTCATAAATTTAGTTAAATGGCTAAGTTTAAATAATTACTAATTATTTGTAATTAATTAATTAACATCAATTTATGAACAAAACTTTTATTTTAAGTGAAGCCTGCATGTTAATCTTTTAATTATTGATACACTTATTCCACTTATTTCGGTTGTAAGATCTCCTGAATCTGTTTTAACATATTATTGAGTTAGAAATTAGTTTTTAATACAGAAAAGTTCTTAATTCCTTTTCATTTCTTCATTCCACATTCCTGAAGTAATGTCTTTGCATAATTGATAAATATCATTTTAAGCTCTTAATCATTAAAGTTATAAATATAAAAACTATTAGAAAAATTACAAAATATTTTAAGTATTTATAGAAGTTAATAGTATTAGATGTTGGATTATAAATACTGTTATCACTGATATTTTCCCTATTTTGAAAACTTATTCATTTTATTACAAACATATTTGGTAATTCCTAAATTTATTGTGTTAATTTTCAGAAGATATATGAACAGCAAGAGCATTGGATTGAGGATAAAAAAATTGAAGATTTCAGTTTACTATAGTATTTTTTACATAACATGATGAATGAATTCATTTAATTACATAGAAATAAATTCATTTATTGATATTAATAATGTAATAAAAGAGGTCTGATTCTATACGAAAAAATAATTTATAAGTGCACTATTAACAACCACTTTAATTGTAGTACTCATCATAGCCTAAACAAGTACCTAAATAATTTTAAATTGATAAAATTGGGAAGGATGCTGCACCTACAATCATTCCTGCATTAATCGATATGATCAATTAGGAAACTGATGTGTATTATTTATTTGACTCTTTTCACTCTATATTGAATTCATTGAAATAAGCAGAGGAAGATACCAAGATTACATAAAAGAACAAGTAACATACATTAGATTGGTGGAAAGTTACAGGATCTAGTTAAAGTTGGACAGGTGTAAGAAATATTCAACAACTTTCAGAATCACATATGAAACAATCATCTCGTTTTCTTGATAGTTATAACAGCAGAGGCTCTGCAATTATCGAAAATCTGAAACGTTAAATAGGAGAGTTGACAGAAGAACAAAAGTTTAAGCAAAACTCTCGTATGATAGGCTTGGTTACAATCAAATTATTTGATGAATAAGAACTCTATGTTGAAATGTCTAAGTAAGGGAGAACTTTGATTACTGTTTATCAAGTTTAAAATAAGTTTCATAAATGTCACATGGGTTTTTGCATATACAGTCTTTTTGGAGACTTACAAGAAAAAGAGAGCATTATTAATAAAATGTACGTAGCTAAGTGGCACAGAAAAAATGGCAACTTTTTAAATATTGTTACAGAATTTATTTAATATATTATAAAAAATGAAGGAGTGAGCAAAATTAAAACCAAAATAAACTCAACTTAAGGGCAGCTTATTAGGCACCTTCAACAATTAAGCTTTAAATTAGCTTCTACTGTGCCATTAATAAATTAAATTAAAGTACTTACATTTGTTCTAATCTCAAAGGAATTTAAAATTTGAATTTTGATTTTCTAAATTTTTGTTATTGTATTTATTTTTATTGAATTGCCCTTTTTATTAAGAAATTATTAGCAAACATTATTTTATTTTCAATTAAAAAAACAAAATGCTTAATACAAAATATTTAGATTAAGACAACTTGTTTGAATTGATTATATTCTAAGGATATAAGAATCTTGTGTTCTATTGGAATTTTGCCAAAGGAATGGTTAATACAAAATCAGAGATTCAAGATCTTTTGAAGCAAAATAGAATACAAAATATATATGGTGTAAGTGAAGGTTTGAAAGGATTTAGCTAAGCTTTTTCAAGTGAACCAATTACTAATTTCAGATACTTTTTAACAAATTATTTTAAGTTCACCATTTATGAAATGTGTTCAGGTGTGAAAATTATCTTACTCTCAAATATTTCTGATTAAACTGATTATTCAGAAACTCTTAAGGAGGTGTACACTAACTATTTAGAAATTATCAAAAGAAATCCATTTTATGTTCATGGAGAGCCCTTAGATAATCCTCTATTTATAGAAAAAATTACAGATATTTTTGAACCATTCCAAAAGAAAAAATGAATTGATTTTATACAAAAATTAATAAATACAATATATATCGATTATTCAATAAATCACACATCTTTCCCACCAACTTGGATATGAGGACTTTGATTTAAAATAGCGAATCTAAATTATTATTATTACTTTGATACCAAATATTTGCGTCCTTCATTCCAAATTATTATCAAAATACCAAATGGAAGACCACAGATACCATAATGAATAAATAATATATCTCGAGTACCAAAACCAGCATTGAATACTTCGATGTAGGAAAGACATAATGTAATTAGCAACTCCAAAAAGTAGGCTAAATACATATGAATATTATCAAAGCCTAAAATAATACTTATATTTACCATTATAGATAAAGGAGTTCTTAAGTTATCTTAAAGATTAATAATTACATATTTATCCTAAAACAACACCAAAAAAAAATGATGTTTACGCATAGTTTGAAGCTTCTGTGTGATAGCAATATGGTCTATTTGTGACAGGTGATATCATCTCAACATTGCACTAACCCCATTCAATGCTAGAAACTATCTATCTATTTTCACATTTCAAGAGAGTCATTCTTAAATCATAAGCTCCATGTTTCGCATAAATCCAATCAATTTCTTAAGACCCCTTTAATTGAGTTCCTTCACATGTTTTGTTTGGGTATAATTCTCTTAAATTAGAATTTCCAAACCATGGATCACTTGGATCATATATGTCATTATATTTAGGAATAACTCCCTCTTTATTTAGCAGAAAAAGGAGAGATTGAGGAGTAAATCCAAAATCGTTGAAACAAACATACCACTGAAAGAACCCACAGCAGGTTTCTAAAACCCCATTTTAAGCGTATGCATATATTATTAATTGGCTACTTACTAAATGTTCATTTTTATTCCTAGGTCTTCGGGTCATAATATCCAAATCAGCATCTTCAAATACAAATACCATCGATGGAAAGATATCTGTACCAATTTAGACACATAAAACCAAAATAGTTGTTAAAGGCAATGGAAGTCTAAAAATTATAAAGGCTAAAAATGGAATTAATTCAGCAGTATTGGCAGTTAATGCATATGCAATTACTTTTTTAAAATTATCAAATATTCTTCTACCTTCTTAAATTCCAACAACAATATTTGAGAAATCATCATTCAAAAGTATCATATCTGCTGCATCTTAGGCGACATCTGATCCTGTTATGCCCATAGCAATGCCTATATCAGCCTTCTTTATTGCAGGTGAATCATTCACTCCATCTCCTGTTACAGCAACTATGTGGCCCCTCTTTTAGCAAGCAGTCACAATAATTAGTTTCTAAGCAGGACTGGTTCTTGCAAATACTAATTGTGGTTTGCTTAGCCACTTTTAAAGAGATTTCCCTTTTTCACTTTCTGGTAATCCTTCATCATCAAGCGCCATTTTAGTAAGCAAATCGCCATGAATTACTAATGCATTTGATAAATGAAATGCATCTTCCATAGTCAACTATTTTTCTTCCATGATCTCGTTTACAGTTTTTTCTGTTATAATGTTACATTACTTAGCAATTGCTGCTGCAGTTATCGGTTGATCTCCTGTAACCATTATAACTTAGATATTAGCTGATTTACACTTTTACACAGCTAAGGGAACAGATTCCTTTAGTGGATCAATTAAGGATATCAAACCTATAAATATTTGTTATTCAAATGGAAAATTATAATTGTCCATATCAAATGAATAGCCTTTTGGATATTCAGATTTTGGTAAATCCAATCTACAAAATCCCAAAACCCTTTCACCTTAATTGCAAAATTTATTATTTATTTCTTTAAATTAATGATCCCAATCATCATTAATTTCTTCAATTTTTCCTTGATTATAAATTCGATTGCACATTTTCCAAACTCTTTCTGGAGCTCCTTTTGTCAATAAACAATAATAAGAATCATCCAAATCTTATTCTATAATAACAATAGCATATTTGTTTGTTGAATTAAAGGGTTTTCTTGCCTATTAGTTATTTTTTCCTATTGCCACTTAGTAATTAGATCTAGTTTGTAAAATATCATGTATTGGTTAAAAAAAAATAATGAGAGCAGTTTCAGATGCATCTCCAATTGTAGGCTTTTCTTAACAGGTTAACCTCTAGTAGTTATTTTACCATTTGATCTTTGCTTCTTCTAATTTGATTTCTTTTTATTCCTAAGATAATCCAACATCGTTCATTATCTTCATTGAAATATTTTAAGGTAGTGAAGTATCAAAGGTAGCTTCTGAACACAGAATTGCAGTTTCATGTAACAAATCGAAACACTACTCTCCAGATTAATATTCATAATTAAAGGAAGCCCCAAATTTTTCTTTGTTAGCTCCCTTCACTTACTTTCCATTGTACCATAAATTTTCGACAGTCATTTTATTTTAAGTCAAGGTACCTGTTTTATCAGAACAAATGCAAGAGGTAGACCCAAGAGTTTCAACCCCCTCTAAATTCTTAACCAGAACCTTAAGACTAGCCAACTTTTTTGCAGTTATTGCCAGTGCTACTACAACTGTGGCCAATAGACCTTCTGGAACTATTGCAGATATTATTCCTATCGCAAAGATTAAGTTTTATATAACCGCTTAATATAAATATATATAATACGATAGCCGACTGAAAAGCCCAAAACAAAGAAGAGAATTCCTATTGTCAAAGCTATTCGAGCAATATATATTGTAAATTAGTTCAGCTCTTTCTTTAAGGGTGTTTCTTCTACTATTGCATTAGAAACTAACCCTGCTATTTGTCCAATTACAGTTTTGTCCCCTATTGATATTACTACTCCTTTGCCATTTCCCTGAAATATATATTAATATTTTACTTCTTTACAAAGTGTTCCAAAAAATGCAAGATTCTTTGTCTCTAAAGGATTCTCTTTATGAGTACATTCTATTGTTCGTATGATTGCAATTGATTCCCCTGTTAAGCATGAATTATCAACTTTCATTTGATTACTCTCGATTATTCTTATATCCGCAGGTATTTTTTTCCCCAAATCAATTATTACTACATCCCCAGGAACCAATTCAATAGCTGGTATTTTTAATTGCTATCCATCTCTTATAACTACAGCCTCTGGAGGAATAAAGTTTGAAAAACCAGCCATTATTGCTTCTGACTTCCTATTTTAAAAATAGGTTAAAAGGGTTATTATCACAATGACACCAACTAAAACAATTCCTAAATAAAGCTAGTTTAAATTTCTTAAATACTTAAGATGGGTCTTCTGGGGATAAACCATAGGCTAAAAAGCATAAGGTAGCCGCACCCCATAATAATAAGGAAAACACGTTAGTCATCTCGTGCAGTAACTAAATATACCATGGAGACTTCTATTTTTAAGTCACCCTGTTTTTTCCAAATTATTTTTATTTTTCTTCTACTTGATCGCTGTTTATCCCTCTTTCTATTGAAGTCTATAGCTTTTTTTCTAATTCTTCAAATGAAATATAATGTTCGTCCTTGCATAAGTCGTTAGTGTTACCATATTCAAAAGAATTGAAACATTCTTATTTTTCTCTATATTTGCTTTTATGCCGTGGTTATCAGCATTCATTAATAATCTTTTACGTCTTTCAATTATTTCTTCTTCTAGCTTTGAAATTTCTCTTTAAGCATCTAATAATTGTAATTCTTAACTTTATTTATAAAATAGGATGATTACAATTATTCAACATAAGCTATTATGATCTCTGATGAGCTTCGATTGAAATTATTTGACATCTTTAGATTTGAAGTATATGACTTTGTAATCTTTTAATAAATTAAAGTACTATTTTTAGAACTTTGAAATTCTCATTTCAAGGGAGAAACATTAATGAAAAAATTATTTAAAAGAATTTCTGTTGAATTATAAATTTTTATGAACTTCTTTTATCTAATTTTTATCTTTTTCAGATGAGAATTTGAGTTATACCAAATAACAAAGATTCAAGAACTTTCTCAAAAGAATCTGAGCATAGAAATGATAAAGATGTAGCCAAAACCATAGATTTGATTTTACTAAGATAGTAGTATATCAAAGAATTTTTTGGAGCCACCAATTTTTTACTTAATTTTATAAATATTTTCAGTTGAATTTACCTAAAAAATAGGTATTAAACTATTTTTGTATATTTGGCGAGTAAATTATCATTTTAATACTTCCTTTAATGATACTTAAGTATTAAGCTAATCCAATGTAGCTGGTTATGATGAACCATATTTCTACTTTATTAAATCAGTCTACAATTCTCTATATTTTTTAAAAAGCAAGCAATAAACCATGAAATGCAACAATAAATTATATCATTAAAATTAACCATATTAAAATTAACCAAATTTTTCAATATTTCAGCGTGGTTTAATAATTATTAACTGTTATATATTTATTTAATTTTAACGACATCAAGAAAAATGAGAGCACAATCTCCCACATCGAAATTTATCCCTACATCAACAATCACAACAACTAGATTAGTAAGTTCCCCTCACTCAAATATAAGAGATCAAAGAGCTGATTCATCGGTGAATAGCAGAGTAACAAAAATAACAACATACTCCTCAAGACCAAAGACCACAATAACAACAACAACTACTTTTAGACCAGTCATTGAGACAAGAACAGTAAGACTTTGTACAGATAAGAGATGCTAAGGACATGAATAGCATATTGAATAATTGACTTAAGAGAACCAGTAATTACATTAAAGAATTTATGAACTTCAATAGGAAATAGAGTCCACATCAATATGTCAAAGACAACACACTAATACATATTCTTGTGAGATAGATAACATTAAGAGATTGTATGAAGAATCATAAATTAATCACAAATCTGAAATAGAATACCTTACTTAAGAAATTACATAATACAAAACCCAATTCTAACATTCAGATGATTAAGTAAAATACTTGACTTAGTAATTAAAAAAATAATCTAATAATGAGAATTATGAAAATTAAATTACTTTGCTAACTACAGAGATGGAAAGGTTAAATATGATCATTTTGGAAAAGAACACTTTTGTAGAATAGTTAACCCAAAAAATTAATGAATTAGATTCTGAATTAATTAATAAGGAAAGTATCATTGAAAATTTAGAAAATAATTCATCTAAATTGAGAAAACAATATTAAGAAGCTTGTAATCAAGTAGTTCTTATCAGATCAGAGTTGGATAGGTAATTAGAAACCATACAATAGTAGGAAAGAAATATATTCCTTTTGAATCAAGATAAATAAGCAATTGAATAATATACTTTTATTTTAGAATAAAAGGAGCAACAATTATAGTAGTTGCGAAGTAACATTTAATTGTTAGAAATGAGATTGTAAGAATAATAAACTACAATTTAAGCATAATATAAGGAAATCGACAACCTCATGCTTAGATTGGATTCTGCCAATCAGTAAATTGACTATCATTAAGCAGAATCTGATGAACTTTAAAAATATCGAAATATATTATAGAATGAATTAGAAATGTCTAAGCAAGAAAATACAAAATTGTAAGAACAAATTACAAAATTAAAATAATAATAAACAGATTTGAATAAAACAATTGAAAAGTTAAAGTTGGATCTCAATTAATAGCTAAGTTCTATTCAATAAGATTTCAACTTCGAACTCTAATCCAAAAATGATGAGTTGGAACAAAATAAGTCTTAATATTAATTGGAATTAACTGTTATTACTAAAAAGTTTTAGGAGGAAAACTATTAGCTTAGAATCAACAATGAGGATCTGTAAAACGAGTTAAATTAATTAAATAATGTGAATTCAGTCTTGCAGAACACTGTTGATGAAAAAATAAATGATATCTCAAGTTTGAAAAACCAATACACTTAATTATATAGTGAATATAATACATACAAAATGAAGCTTTAAGAAGAGAATCATAAATTGAAATTAGAAATAGAAGATGCATTAATTACTTCTAATTAGTTATAACAAAAAAAGAACTCATTAGAATCAACAATTACAGAATTAAATCTTGTCATAAGTTCATTATAACAATAAATAACTTAGTAATAAAATGAATTGAATTCATTAAAATATAAATCTGGTGAGGAATACTCTACTTTAAGAATCCAAATTGAATAACTTGATTAAAATAACATTTAATTGTAGACTATAAGATCAAGATTATAAAAGGATTATGAAGAAAAGTTAAATGAGCTTAAAGACTTATAAGATAAGTTCAATTAATACAAATAAACTACCTAACAAGCAATTAAGGATTTAGAGAAAAAGATATATGAATACGAAGAAAAATTATCCTTATTATCTTCAGAGATTTAAAGAATGTTATTCTAAATCAACTAAAAGAATGATTTAATCTAAGAATAAACTACAGTGTTAGATGAATATTAGAGAGAAATCAAATTGTTGAAATAATAGCTTGAAGAAAGTTAAATCTAAGCTGAAGAATAATAAAAGAAATAAGAATTTTAAATGAATGAAGCTTTGACATAACAAAGAGAGAAGTTATTTAGATTTGAAAGCGAGAATCTTTCTTTTAAGTCTTTTATTGAAGAACAAAATCATGTGATTGAAACTTTGTCAAAATAAATTGATGGCATGACTGGCGATTTAAAATATTAATAATAATTAGAAGAAGAGTTATCAAAGAAAAACTCATTCTTAACTAAGTAATTGACAGATCTTCAGTCAGAGAACGCAGAAAATTAATTTAAGGTTGATCACTTATTAGTTGAAAACAAAGCTCTAAAATAGGAACTTGAGATTAGAATAGACACAGAGTCAGAACTTAAATTTAAATTAGATAAACTTATTGAAGAATTAGCAAAGAAACAACAATAAATTAATGAATTTGAGTAAAGAATTAAAGAATATGAGTAAAATCAATCAAATGAAGTAGTTTAATTTGAAGAAAAAATTACTTATTATTAAAACGAAGTTGAAACTTGGAAGAAGAAATTTATAGTCTTAAATAAGGATTATCATAAGACATAAGAAGATTTAATGATGGTTTAAGCCGAATTTGATGCATTTAAATAGAGAGGAAACGCAACTGTAGTTAAGGTAATTCTATTATTAAATAATTTAGGAATCAACAAGTTTTGAGGTTCGCAAATCATCCCTATATAAGGAAAATATCACAAATACTAAATCAAGTTAAGTCAGCCAATCCAGTCAAATTATTGTAAGACCACTAAAGGAAGTAAATATTTGAGACTACTATATAAATATTATAATATTTGATCCAATATTAGTTAAATATTTTTTCTTTGAGAAATTACATTGATTACAACTAATAAAATTCAGTCTATTTTGATGCTTTTAATATTTATAAATTTTATTTCTCATTGTGGCTTTTCTAAGTATTCTGCGAACAAATCAGTATCATTATTATTATTTTCTTCATTACTTGCATTATTAATTTTTGCAAATTGCATAGGAGCCAGTTTATTATCTAGAATGCTATGAAATACAAAATTAGTATTACTTGAAACATCTTATATCTTCAACTAGAATCTGAATTGCTATAATTAAAGCAAATAAAGAAAATGATATTAAAACTTTAAAAGTTCCCATGATATTTCTATTTACAATATCTAGCAAGAAGGGCATAAACACAAAAATCAAATTTTAAAATCCTACTGTAAGACCAAATGCTTTGCCAAATGATTTCATTTTAATAATGTAGATAATTGCACTCCAAGTACAAACAAAAGATAAACAATAGCCAACTGCTAAAATAACTAGACCTATATGAGGTGAGGTTAAGTATTATATATGTCCAATAATGATTATTATAACAGAAACTATTATCAAATACCTTCTATAGGTAAAATATTAGACTAAAGGACCGATAATAAAAAGTGATAAACAGCCTAACATCCAAAATAATGCAATATCTAGTTCTTCAATTTGATTATTAATGTCAAATAAAACCGATGCCATAATATACATAGATACGTTCACAAGCGTGACTATTGAACAATAAAACACTGAATTAAAAGCTAAAAGTAACCAAAACATTTATGGGAAAATCTTAAAATCTTTAAACTTAAAAAAATAGAGTTTGTTAATAATTTTTGTATCTTCTGCTAATATAATGTCACTGCTAGGTTGAAGCTATCTATAGGAGGACAAGTAATTTTCGTTTTCCAACTTCTTATCTATTAAAAAGCCAAGGCATAATAATATATAGCCAAATAATATGAATGCTATTCCGCTTATCAAGGATGTCATCAAATTGTATTTTTTTTAAATAATTGGAGTTAGATATATAGATAACACTAAACCGATTTATGAAAATAGTTGTAAAATACTCAAAACTATTGACTATATACATAATTCAATGTTACAATGCTATTCTTAAAAAAGGGGGCCAAAAAAGATGCCCATAATGGTAACAATGACTCAATACCCCAACCTAAAAGTAATCTACCTAAGATCATCAATAAAAACGATTTAAAATAAACTCCTACTGTGAAAGTCAGTTATCCTATTATCATAATAACTATAATAATTATTAATATTTACACCTACTATATAAGTCATAATTATTCTGTCGCCATGACAATCTCTCATTCCTCCTGTGAAAAGAGGCAAAAATGCATTCCCAAAAGCATAGATTATGTAAAGAGATGCAAAATACAAGTCGAAATTTATCGTTGAATCTTCTTAAAACAATTGTTATAGAGTTTTGTATATTGCCACTGGTTAGTCGAAGCAATAAAATGAAGGAATAATTATCCAGATGGACAAAAATAAAACTAGATATCTTAGGACGGATTATTATTTCATATGTATTCCATTATTTTATACTGTTTTATCATTTTGTTTCGTTTTGCTATAATTATTGCTTTAATCAATATAGCTTTCTATAAACTCTGTATGCGATGCATTCATTATTCTCTATATTGAAAATAAAAACGTATATAAAATAATTATTAATTATAATTAATAACAATTCATAAATTAGGAAGAAAATCACACCCAAAAAGATTGCTATCCACAAGAACCAAAGTATCATAATTTATCTCTGGTAAAAGAAATAATCAAGTTAAGTGATCGAAGACAGTTCAAAATAAAAAATTAAAGAAATTTATTAAATTGTTGTTAAGTGGGAGAAATAATGATTTAGAAATCTATATATGCAAATTAATATTTTCAATATTGGGATTGTTGATGTTTTGATCTTTTGGAATTTTATTTTTTATTTTATGAAAATACCATTTAATCAGCGCTTTCCTTTGATAATTCTTCCTTTGTATGCCTTGATTCAGCTAAAGTCTTTTTCTTCTCAACTATAAAGTTTTAAATGATATCTACCCTCTGTCAAAATAATGTCTAAATCAATTTGGTGATCAGTTTAAGATTTTAATTCTGTTTGCAATTTAGTTCCTGATACTTCACTCCTATCATCCTCAAACTTAACTGTTCCTTTCTTTTGTTTCTTTTGATCCTATTTTGGAACATATTGATTTGAAACTAATAAAATATTGTCAATTATCTTTTCTAATTGTTCTATTTTTGGCAAAAGGGTCGTCTCATCATCATCACTATTTATGATTTCGACTCCTATTTATTCTTGAATCCGCATATACTGTTACTAAATTTAAGCTATTTGCTTTTTATTTTAATCTATGCCTCTTGAAATTCTTTCAATCTTAGAATCTTCTGAATTTACTTATTCTTTGATTGGAGCCTTTGCCATTTATTTAAACCTTTATAAATATTACTAAATTTTCTCATTCTTTTATTCAGTTTGTTCAATCTTGAAGATAATAATATTAATACTTCTTAATTGATCTCATTTATTTCCTTATAGATTTCATCAATCCAAATTTCTTAATTATAATATTATTTCAGTATGGCCTCGACATTGTTGAATCCTGTTTCCAAATAAAGCTTATTAAATTAAGCCTCATATTCAAGTACTTACTAGGCAACATCCTTCTATTCCTATTATGATTCACTCCTTTCTTTGAGTATTGGTTTCGATTAATCCCCTTATTCTGTTAGATAAGGGCCTTAAACTTAAGATTTTTGATCTGAAGCCATGCTTTATTGTTCCTATTACTCATCTTTTTAAGGTTTGAACAAGGCTTCGTATTCTTGTTAGAATTTGTTTTGTTCCTTATCAGCTAATTCCTTAATCAGTTTCAATTAGTCCTGTAGAAATTTTTACTATAATTAATAGGGTTTAGTGTTACCTCTTCTTTGAGTAATTCGTTTTATCTTATACAATTTTAATATTCTCTTTATTTAAAAATAGCATCTTTTTCAATTCCTTTAAACACAGTCGAATAAATGACTCTTTCCCTTCTGCTGAGATTTAATTATTCTTTTTCTGCTTCTACTTCTGCTAATTACTCATTGTGTTTAATGTGAATCTATTACAGTTTCAATTCTGAATCTCGAACTGCCTATCACTATAAATGTTTGTTTTACTTTCTACACTTAAGTTAACTCACTGCCAGAATTTGTATTTTCTATTTTAGAGATGTCCTTTGCGCTTGTTTTCATTGCATTCACAAGGTTTTCCAAGTCTTACTAAAAACAATAAGTGATTTTATACCTTCTTTTTAGTTTCTATCTCAATTTTTTATGCGATCAAAGCACACTCTTCCTAAGCCTTAATCACACTTAAAGCTAGTTAAGTATCTACCACTGTATTTTTTTATTTTTAATTGATCAATTAATCTGTATATTCTGAATTATCAATTTTCATTTGTGAGATGAGAGATCTAGTTCAAGAGTAATGAATACCTGTTTTGAGTTGTGATTTGTTGGAAATCAGATTTGGCTTTTTGAATGGAGGTGTTTAGAGTTGAAATCGTTTAACTTTGATTCATTTAATTATTATATATTATTAACATTTTATAGGGGTAAAGTTACAATTGATAAATCGTAAATAAAATTAATTAAAAATATCATATGCTACTTTCAACATCAAAATTAACGACTTCCAAACTTACTAAATCTCAATTATCAAGTCCTTAGAGATCCACCATCAACTATTTGAGTTAGGATCTTGATTCCCCATCTAGATAGAGAATTAAATTGCTCTCAGATAAATGGAATCACATTCAAAATGGAATTGACAAAGATAAGCTAGAAAAAAGAGAAGTATTGGAAGAACGAATTAAAATAATTGAAGACGTACTTGCATCTGAAAAACCAAAAGATGAATAAAAATTCAAAGTCATTAAGGATTCAGTCTTGAAACTATAAGATTAAGCACACAATCAAAAGTCAGAGAGAGAAGTATATGATTGAAACCATAATCTCTAGGCATTTGACGATAAGAAGGACAAAGATTTTAGAACATTATCAGATAACATCGCACTTTCATTTGAATAAGAAAGAAATATCAGGGGATAAGGGGAAACAAAGTTATAGAAGTAAATCGACGAGCGTTTTGCTTAGATCACTTTAACTATCACTAGGAACACTCATTAATATGAAGACAGAAGCTAGGCTAAAATTGCAGAGGTTCTTTAATAAATCTAGGTTGTTAAAAATTAATTAGATTAAGAGAGAAGATCAAGGTACCTTAGAATCTTAATAAATATAGGGAGGAATCAGCTGAATCATTATCTGAATAAATTGATAGCGAGATTAATAAATTCTCAGATTAATTGCTTGTTGAAAAGAAAGTAAGAGAGGAGACTCAAGGAAAAATATTCAGAATGATTGAGGATGTGCATGGCAAATTACAATAGGATATTAATTTTGAAAGAAGGGAAAGAGAAGCAACAACTGAAGCATTACTAAAATTGTTAGAAGACGCATGTATTAAAATAGATAAGAATTTCAGATCGTTTTGATATATAAATATATAATAAATTGGAATCTATCAAAAAATATTAATACAATTATAGATCAACTGCTAACCATTCTTTAAATTTTTTTATGTTATTGTTAAGATTGTTAATACTATTTTTCCAATAATTAATTTTGGGATGCAAATGAAATAACAGTTTTTTTATTAATAAGTTTATGAAATGGGATTCTCTATTTTGCAATATTTTATGGCTGATTTAAAATGGAGTTAATGGAATTATTGATTGTTTTATTTAGATTTATTTGGGATGCATTATTGCTATGAAATTTGAGTTCTTTTTTATAAAAATAATTTCTGCCTATTGTCTAAGGACCTACTCTTGATTGTGAGTTCCTTTCTTGTTGTTCTTATTACTTAATAAATTGTTGATTTGGATTAGCAGTTTGAATTGTTTCAACAGTTTAATCCCTACTAAGACCATACATCAATTTCAATGCTATTTTCTCTTAAATAATAAACATTAATTTACTTCAAAATACTCCTTTGAGGTTTAGAAATTTGACAATTTGGACCTCTCAAACTTATTTCTGTTGGGATAACACTGCACAAAGAAGCCCACATTTGTTTTCTCTGCTTTGATATTCATAGTTTGAGTTTCTTCCTATTTTGTTGTGATTAGAGAACTATCTTTGGGCTTAGGAGATCTGAGTTATTTCATTAATTGCGTTCTGCTTTTTTATTCATAGTGGGTTGATGTTGATTTCATAATTTTTTCATCCAATGGAAATTACGTTTGCTTTATGTTCTCTTATGATAGCCTTCTCCCTGATTGCAATTATGCAATATGTCTGGTGGAATTTATGATCTTGTCAGTGTGATGTTCAGAGACTGATTTGCATAATTACAATGAAGAGATTCTTTAAAGTTCTTAATGTATGCTACCTCCATATTTATGCCATGGACCCAAATTTTCCATATCATTAATAATGAAAGAGTCTTTTGTATTTAAGATTAGACGTACCATCTCTACTTAAACAATCATAAATCTCAGCTTCTTTGCTCTCTTTAGATCTCAACATTAATTAATTAAATGGATAATATAGTTTCATCGAACAGCAATAATTCAAAATGCTGAATACCCTAATAGAAAAGAAGCCATAAAAATTCTGGGAAAAAGAGAACAATGAGTCAAGAAGCTTAATTAAATTCAAATAAGAAGATTAATCTGATGTTGAATCAGAAATAGTTCCAATAATAATTCCTAAATTTTCGCTGGAAAGGACATAAGAAAAACAAGACGATACTTACAAAGGAATAGTTCCATCTCCCAAAAGTGATCTAGGATTGGAGGTTGAACAATTGTGGAATAAAGCATTTCTATATTTTTCATGTGAATTGGTTAAAATATTATAACTACATATCTGAAGGATGGAACAATCTTTTGTGGAGAAATCAATGCATGGCAATAGATCCTTAAGCAGAGAAGGGTTCTTTTTAAATGAGGGGGAGTGGAAATAAGGGAAGAAGAGTGAAAATTGAGTTAGATACTACACAAATAGAACTTATGATAAATTATACCAAAACGCTAGATATCAGAAAATTATATTGGAAGGCCTATAATGGCAAATTTAAAAATTATAAAATTCATGGAAAAGGTATATTTGAATTAATAAACGAGTCATGTGTGTGTGAAGAATTTACAGGTAGACTGTTGCATGGATAATAGATATATGAATGCATGATAAGTAAATAATAAAAGGCATTCGGAATCAAAGATAATCCTTTAAATTGCGCTTAAATTAATATTAATAGTCTCTATAATTTTTCAACATCAAACTATGTTTCTGTCCTTAAAAATGAATATTTCAACTGATGCTGATAAGAGGATATTAAAGAAATCCAATAGTATCATTTAGATTTGAGAAATGTTCAAAGAAAAAACCAAATAATTGTGAAATTAGTATTCGCTTCCTAAGAAAAAGTTACTGTAAAACAACTCAAGTATGTAGAACTCATGAATATATATTATTGGTGAATTTTTTAAATAAACATGTATTTGGTTTAATAATGAAGGTGATCAAAGAGAATAATATTTAAAATTCTATTTCCTAAAATTATGGCCTTTTAGATATATGAATCAAAGAGGAAATATTTTGTTAACTAAACATATATCCATAATAATCATATTTAATATGCTTATTGTATTTGTATTATCAAGTCATGACCATTTTGCAAATGAAAACACCTTTTATGCTCCCTTTAAATGAAAATAGGTAACTTTTGAATATAATAATATTTTTTTTCAGTTCTGGACTATCTCAGAGTGTACTAGGGTGGAAATAGTTCACTTCCAATACAGACTAAAACTTAAGATGAAATGATGCGGAAAATTTTGATAAGTTTTGATTAAAATGAAGAATGGAGAAGAAGGATATAATAAAAAAGGTGTTTAATGAATAAATTTTTTTTTGTATAATTAATTAAATTAAAAATAACAGACAATGCTGAAAAAAGAAGAAATATGGCAATCTATTAAGATGTTTCAAAAGTAGAATAGGAGGGAATTGGATTAAACAAGAGAATCAGAAGATTAATCATCATTTATTTCTGATAATGAAAAAGAAAATTTATTTAAAAATAAATAGCAATCTTGTTAATGCAAATAATAAGTGCTATAGCTTAAGAAAGAGTGCATGCTTTAAATTAGGGAATTAAAGGCGTAGCATCAAATTGAAATGGAAAATCTTTAAAATCAATTTTAAAAACTAATGATTGAGCAAAAACAAAAATACGAATAAGAAATTTCATAATTAAAAGAAGATCTTGAGTTTTATATGTGTGAGTAAAACGACAAAGAATTACTATAATTAATAGAATAGGAATAGCAAAAAGATAAAGAAATATTTTAGCAATAATTAGAATATTAAATTACAGAGAAATTAAAGTTAGAATAAAAATTAATGTAAATTTTGGAATTATCTTAGACAATGTTAGAGAGAATTAAAATAGTATTAAGAATCAACTTAGTAGAATTAGTCAAGTCAATATCCTTAACCTAATTACTAATAGTTACAGTAAAGTGTACATAAGAATTGCGCTCCTTAATTATTTAGAGATACTAATAGGAAAGTGAAATTGTAAAGTGAAGGAGTAGATAGATCAATAGTAAACGATGATAATAGCAATAGGGTTGGAATATGCAATTCAATAAAAAATTTTAATGCAAATATTAAGCATATGGAAAAATCTCAACAATCTTAATATTGATTATTATTTTTATTTTATATAATGTCAATTAAAATTAAATCTGTGACAGATATTATTAACAAATATGACCATTTTATTTTTGATATGGACGGTGTTATTGTATCAATATCATATTATATATAAGTGGACAGGCGGATAATTCATAGAGAGCGGAGTTAATGGAGTTAAGCATTTAATTGAAAAAGGGAAATCAGTATATTTCTTGACAAATAATTCAACCAAAAGCAGATAGTCTTATTTTGAAATATTATCAAACATAGATATAAAAACAGATTTGGAGCACATCTATTCAAGTTCATATTTAACTGCAGTGTACCTGAAAATGAATAACTACAAAAAAGCCTTTAATTTAGGAGTGACTGGTATAACTGAGGAATTATCAGCTTTGGGAATTAAAACAAGAGACTCTGATGAGTTTAAGGACAATCAATATGTCACGTATGACATTTTTAATAGTATACAACCTGATGAAGATATTGATTGTGTTGTTTCAGGCCACAATCCATAATTTAATTATTATATGCTTTGTTATGCAAGCTTATGCATCTAAAAGGGATGTAAATTTGTTGCAGCAAATCCTGACAGCTATATTAAGGTGTAGAATCGATTGATGCCAGCAGGGGGATGCATATAAGCAATTTTGGAAAGAGCAACAGGATAGAAATCTCTCCTGGTGGGCAAACCTTCACCAACAGCTCTGGAAGTTATAATGAAGCAAAATAAAATTGATGATAAATCAAAAGTGGTCATGATTGGTGATAATCCTGAAACAGATATTGAGTTTGGGTGGAATTGTGGAATAGATACTATTTTAGTAACTACAGGTGTTACGAGCAAGGAATAAGCTGAAAATGTAAAAACAACATATGTGTGTGATCATTTATATATATGAATATGATAATTATCATGCTTATTCTTAACCAACTTGCAATTCAAGTTCTGCTATTCTTCTTTGTAATCCGAGCAATTATTGTTACAATGCAGTTTTTTCACCTTTTAATGCTGTAATTTGTTATTACAATCTAGAATTTTCAGCCTTTTAATGTGCAAAATGTCTAAAAAGATGATCAAATGATACTACCTTTTCATTTCTTCTTCAATTCTCATTAATTCATTTGTAAGTGTTTTTTTAACATCCTATGTTTTCATGCTTAAGACTGATTCTAGAGTATCTTTTTCAGATTTCAATATTTAAACCTCTTTTTTATGGAAATTCATTTCATCTTAAATCCCTTTGATTGTTTCCTTATATAAACAATTTGGATACTTCTAAACTCATCAATTTTCCTTTGAGTGAGGCAGGGTTTTGTGATCCTGCAAAACTTTAACCAGTTTATCCTAGATCACCTTTGGTTAGATTATTGCCAGCTGATTTGAAAGCATTACTCATTTATTATATAAATAAATATAATTATTGTAATAAAATCATTACTCTTTATACTTTAACAGAATCTTTAATATATCCTAATTGATAAATTTAAATATGAAATAACTCAAACATTAATTTTATTGACTAAGAGTTTTAAAAAGATACCACCAAATACATGAAACATAACAGCAATAGATATTAAAACTATGGCACAATTCCACATTCCAAAATGCATGCCATAGTAGTTCCAGGGAGACAATTCAACTCCTGTAGGATCCAAATGAAATATGGCATCATTCAATTATGTCCTCCCGAATCCTTCTAAGAAATATTTAAATGGCTAAGTATATGACAAACATCATACTGAAATGTATTGGACCCAACTAATAAATTTAGGAATAGAAGCCAAGTTAGCGTATTGCCCACTGAATACTTAAAGTGGAATCAAGAGTATTGGTCCTAAGGAAGCAGATTATTTGGCATCCTTAAATAAACATCCAGTAAATCTATTGATAATGTTGATGTTCATACATTCCTAATCCATTGCCACTTAAAGAGACAGAAACACTTATAACAGTAAAGAGTATAAGGTTCTCAAGTTCCCAAATAAATCCAAAAGCAGCATATAATGCTATTGAGAATAAGATTTATATAAAAACATTCATGGGTACTTCTAACAAAACCTTACTCAAGAAATAGGAAGAGACTCTATACATCTTAGAGTTCTCTTCTTTTAAGAAAATGTTTCTTTCAATCGGGACTAAAATAGAATGAATTAATATACATAACATTAACAACGGTCCTAGGGCTGAAAATATCGCAGAAGTTCCACAAACAAAACAAGCTCCTCTCATATTGTTTAAGTATTTGCTTAGATCATCAATGCTTACGTTTTCATCTTGGGGAGGTTGATCTTTTCCCACTTACCAAAATAGCCATCCCAAGAATAACAACATGAAGACTGATCCAAATATTTTACTTCTTAATAAATTAGGACTCCTAACATAGTTAATGAATTATCTTTTCATGAGAAAATTCATTTCTTGACAGAACGATGTTTAGGTTCTTCTTTTATCAAACCCTTGATATTGGGAATGGAATTTCAGTACATCTTCTTCTAGATATATTTTGTAATTGCTATGAGTGACTTTATTATCTCCTTGATTAAAAGCCTCATTAAGATTATTCATTATGGAATCTAAAGGAGTTGAATGGATATCTACATTCAAATTAACTTGTTTGCAATAATCCAATAGAAAACCATAATTCCCTTGATAGATTGTTTATCCATTATTTAAGATGATCATACGATCAAATAATTGACATATATCTATGCTTGGTTAATGTATTGTAAAAATGACTGTCCTTTTTTGACTAAATTTAATTTTAAAATTTAATACTTAATTGTGATCTTCTTGAGAATATTCATACAAATAAATGCAGTAAAGGAATCTAAGCCTGAAGTTGGTTCATCCAGGATTAACACAGGTGGATCGCTAATTAATTCCATACCAATGGAAGTTCTTTTCTTCTCTCCTCCAGAAATGCCTTTGATGATGTTATCTCCCACCAAAGTATTTTAGCAGCCTCTCAAATTCAAATCTTTGATTATCTAATCAACTCTAGACATTCTTTATGCTAAATCATCCTTCAATCTCATATTGGCTGCAAACATTAATGTTTCTGACATCATCAAAATTAAATACCTTTTACAGTCAACGTTGCCATCAACAAATCATCCTAGATCACAAAAGCACCAAAATCATTGAATCTTTTATATTTACTGTTGTTTGCTAAGATCTCTCCACTGATAGTAGTGTTTGGTCCAGGTTTATATCTTTTGCTCAATAATGCGACCAAGGTTGTCTTCCCTGCACCGGATGGTCCCATAATTGCAGTCATTTGACCTGCTTTTGCATATCCTGAGACATCATTGAGAATGATTTTTTCATCAATTGATCCTAATAGAGGATCTGTTACTTTTGGTCTCTTAGATTATTCCTATTGTAATTATAAATATAAGAATTCTACCATTCTAACTGTTACTGTAAGATTCTTCCAGTGCAAATCTATTTCCTAATTATCGATTTTGTTAGGTTTGACTTTTGGCAAACTGATGTATTCATCTTGAGATTACATAATAAGAAAAAATTTATTCTTAATTAATTATGTCACTATTTAATAATAATTCAATTTTCAAGCAATTTGCGCTTAAGCTAGCCCAATTTGGATGAAATTAAATCAACTGCCACAACAACAACTCTTTTCTATTTAATTCTAAATTAATTCAATTTCAAATACCTATTCTAAGTATCAGTTTCATATTCATTGTTTTTAAGTCTGCAATCAGTCTTCCTATTTTCCAATTCCTTTGTTTTTATAGCTACCTTCTAATCCACTTCAAATTTCTCGTTTGTTCCTTAGGTAATTCTAGTGGACAAGGAGGCAACCAAACCTAAGATTAACAAATTCTTCATACCTTCCATATATGTCTTGTCTTGATTGGCTTAAACAAGTTGATCAGATAACAGAGTATTGAGAAGGTCGAAATTACTTGATCTGAGAGCTTCTGCTTGATCTTCTCTGATTCTTTCAGATTGAATGTAATTTTCAATTTATTTCAATATTGAAAGAACCTTTCTTGTTAAGACTTCAGCCTAAGAAGGTTCCTCTGCAGCTTTGGATGCCAATTCACTCATTATTTCAAGCATTGTGGCATACCCTTCCAATTACACCTTTCATTTAGTAATATGATATACATGATGTTTGATTTTATTGACTTTTTAAGCAACTTAGGTTAAAGAGGTTAGTGATCTTGATTCAGTATCATCTTGTTCGGACTCTTCATATTTGAAACTATATGATTCTTCTAAAAATGAAGGTTTTTCAAATCTTTTTCTATTCTTAACAAGAATATCTAAGTAACTATTGAAGTATCCCTTCACTTAGTTAACTCCGAATAAAGCTTATTCTAAATTGTCTAAAATAGTTTCATAGGCTGCAGTCTCTGTTTCCCGCTTATGAGATTAATATTGCAACTCAGCCTTGAGATCTGTAATTTCATTATTTTTTCGTTCCAAACTAGCTACAGCCTAAACTTTCTGTGGATTCAAGGAATCAAGTTGACTCTTGAGACCCAAGGAAGCAATGGTATTTTGATTAATTTGATTATTGAGGGTTGTGATATCAATGTCACAATTCTATCTTATCCTAACTATGCGATCGTCGTCTCTTTACTACTCGTTTTCAAGAGTTTTCTCAATCCCTTGCACCATGTTAATAAGATTAGACACAACTGGGTCTTCAGTTTGTAGCTCCATCATAATGGTCTGAAGGATCGTTTATCCAAACTTAGAGCTTTATAATTCTTCAATCTATTGATCGAAGTCCATTGTCAGGCATCCTAAAACTAGTAGAGACAATAAAATCGAAATTTTCATATATTTATATATATTAAAATCCGTTTTTATTTATTGGTATTAATATTTTTCAGAATCTTATGCGTTGAATGTAGCTTTTAGTTTCCATGTCGAATCTTGTCTCAAAGATATCAATGCATTCAACAATAATTTCAAGCTAAGAATTTCTATAAATTAAAAATTGAATTTTGCTACCTTCCTTCGGTTTATTGTCTATGAGCCTTCTCAGTGTCATTGCAAGTTTGATCCCAATCTCCTTTTTCAGTTTATTTATTATTAATAACCTATAGATTATATGATATGCATTACAGCATCCTAAGTGGAAACATCATTTCTGACTTCCAAGATCTTTTGTCCCAAGACTTCATATTTAGCATTCAAATCTGCAATACTTCCTGCCAGTCTTCTGTTGGCTAAAAGTAATCTTTCTTTTTAGGTTTAAAAATCTAATTCTCTTGCATCATCTGCTTTCATTTCTTCCTTTTAAACTTAGAAGATGCTATCAACAAGAGTGTCAATTATCTTAACAACCTTTTGTGCTGCACTTTCTTGTGTACCCTCATCTTGTAATACCTCCAATAACATGTTGACCATAGTATGGAAACCCTTTTTGTGAGGATAATATTTCAAGAAGTTTTAATGATGGCTCTTCAATTCAGCAAAGCTAGTCTTCTTCAAAGCTGTGATTCCTTGAGATAATATTTATTTGGCTTCTTATAAGGCTGAAATCAATCCCACCAATTCGTCTCTTCTTTGTTCGTATTCACCCTAAGAATGATTAACATATTCAATTTACTCTTTACACGTTACGAGCCTCTTGCAATACACTAATTCTATCCAAGTTTCTTTACTCTTCCCCTTGTTTGTCTAACAATTGTTATTTCTTGTCGTTTTGTTCCTATTACAATAGAGGCAATCTGTCTTCTGCTGTTGCTTTTCTTTCCTTGGCAACTGTTATGACTGCAGCAGCTGCTTCGGATGCGGTTTGGCAACTCTACAATGCCACTTACACATCTTCATCTTCAGCTCTCTATTCATTGAGAAGGTCATCCTTCATTTGCTTAAGGAGATGCACAACTGTGTCAGCAGGATGTTCTTGAAGCAATTATACTTGTAATGTCTATATAATTGTTTTTCCGAATTCTGAATCTCTTAATTAAGCAAAGAAGTATTCGTCTCTTGCCAGAGCTGCTCCCAGCAGCACAATAAATACGATTATTTTCATTTTTGTTTTATTAATTATTAAAAACGAATATATGAAGTAAAATTAATTAAAATAATCACTGAGTACCATATTTTTATATAAATAACTTATGTAAATACTTATTTCTGGAAATGAGTGTCTTAAACATATCTTGATTGAACCCTGTAAAATTGTCATCCTCGTAATTTTCCAACTACTCAGTTAAACCTTTGATTTTATTATTGAAAATCTCACACATCATGGAATCGATACCAGAATTCTTTTTGGGGTAATTGATTCTCTGTATGGTTCTGCACAATTTAGATTTCTTCCATTTAAAGTTGGTTAAATTTTAATTTAATCTTAAGAAGGATCGACATAATTTAGATATGGTGTTATCCTTATCAGGATTAATTGCTACACTTTTGTTCTTGATTCTTTGTTTTAAGAAAATTTATTATTTTGTGATTAGAACTAAGGATTCTAAATGACTTAAAACATACTTAATGATTAAGAACTGAATCAACAATACTGAAAATAAAATTATTAAGCTAAAATAAATAGTCCCTTATAAAATGCTTACGTCAAACTTATCCAAATTACTTAAAATTGCTTATTGATCCTTTATAAATTAATCATCTGTTTAATAACTAGTTAATACATATAGATACATAATAATGTAAAATTAAGGATACACCAATTTGTAGACTGAAACCTCATTATATTCCAACGTCTTGCGATTCTTAACTCTCAAGGTACCTCTCCCTATGTTCTCGTCATCTCCAAACTATTTCATCTTCTGCCAATCGTATTGTGTAAACCCTGTTAGAGAAGTATTATAAATGACTGTAGGATACTTGAACTCCTCATAATAGCTACTAACTAATAAATGGCCGGTTGAATTGACAATTTCCATTTTGAGTCTTTAATCCACAAAATAGGGAAGCAAATCAAAAGCTAAATCGTATCCGATCACTCCAATCATTTCTCCCTTTAAGTTAGTCAAACTCGCTGTAAAAGCGATCGCTAATTTGTTAATCCAATCCAAATATAAGTCAGAGAGGTAGAATCTTTGATTTTCATACTTAGTTCTATTCATATGGTTTATATACCAGGGTCTTATATGGGCTACAAACTTGGTGTAATTTCCCCCTTTAAAAACAGTAAAGAATTATTCAAAGCCTGTGCTAGTGAAAAATGTTTATCTATATAAATTCAAAATTGGGAGAGTCTGAGTAATCAGAGAAATTAATGAAAGGTACTATTAATAATCATACTCATCTATTTACATAGTTTTGTTACAGAATTTGTAACACAAACTACAATTAAATATATATTGATCCCACAGCTTTGGATTATCAATGCAATTAGTTGGTTAAATTATGTTAAAATTGTTTTATCCCTGCATTTCAATAAAGTGATTTAATTTGTCAATATTAGATAAAGTCTAGTAACTAAAATTCAAAACTCTATTGAAAGATTAAGTTTGGAGAGTATTATACCGAGACATTTAATTGGTTGTTTCTAACCTTTCCATTGATAATGTGCTCTATGATAGAGAGTCCTTTGAAAAATTCAAGAAAATCATCAGCAGAGTAGTTGTTAGCAAAATGCAGAAAGCAATATAAAGAATAGAGAATAGTGTAATTTATGATTTGATTGTCCAATTTTAGCTGCAGAACAATCTATGAATTGGATTCCTTCTAGGCATTTTCTAATTTTAAAAATAAATGTATAGTAATATATAAAATAATGATTAAAGTATATATAATCCATTTTTTAAAAGAACTTTCAAAGAAGCTTACAAAAGTAAATTTAATTCTTGACAATAACAACTTTTTCACCAATATTGAATAATCTGTCCTTCCAATCACATTTAAAATCTCCATCCATCTCAATCCTTTAACATTCCGTGTTTTCATTAATCATATAAATTTCGAGCAGATTTTAATTTTTAGTTGTGACTAAAAAATAGTTTTTGAATAACAACACATCCAAAATTTGAGATTCAAATGTTATCATTTAAATGCACTTGAGAAAAGTATTCTCGATTTGATATAAATTCACCCTTAAATCATCCCCAATTGACAACAAAACTTTACCATATTTTTTTGATTATTGGTATCTAAATTAATTAATTGGACCTTGATGAAATTGCTTTGAAAATAATTCTTTGAAATTTGAACTAAATAGTGAAATTAATCCACTTGTCGTCCCCAAAATAAGAAGCATTTCTTAAACACCAAATTTATTTATAACACAATACTCCAAGACCTTAATTTTATCCCAATAGGAATGAAAATTTAGAGATTGATTAAACTACGGCATGGATGACGAAGGAAAAAGAGGAAAAAATTATAGGGAAACCCCAGAGCTAACACAGATTTAATTCTAAACTAAATATTAAAAGAAATACCTCAAAGAATTTCAAAGCAACTCCTTTAGATGTGTCTATAGTTATTTTGAAATGTCTAATCTTTTTCAAAGAAATAAGATTGTAGAGTAACAAATCTATGCCAATCATTATTGCAATTAGAAGTTTCTCTGAGTCTACTGTGTAATCAACAATGGATTGATTAAATTTTACTGAATGACTCATTTTCATAGTGTCAATGTCAAAAAGGTGAATTTGATTCTATTGTGCATAAATTAAAGTATCCTGAATTATAAATCATATTATCATACTTTACATAGGTTATGCAACTCTATTTTAGCCACAGCAGCCGACTTTATGACTTTAGACTTAGTTTAGGGTATTAATGTAAATTATGAGATTTATTAAAATGAAAATAAGGACTCGACAGTTTTCGTCCATTGATTCAGCTTATATGTGAGATCTACATTTAATTCTTCAAGTTTTGATTGGATGAATTTGATTCGTTATCCTTGCATTTAGCATTTCTCCTAAATGTCTTTATAGAAACTTTTGGGTTTCATAATCTTAATTTTATTTTGAATATTGATATTCAGACTTGTTCCGAATCCTTAGATGTCATTATTACCATCCTTTAACTGTTTTTCATTGAAAGAGTGCTGAGGTTACACTATTTTTATTAATTGATTAACATTGTTGCAATCTAACGACCGATTTAGAATGTTTTAATAATTTTAAATTATTTCCTAATCAACTAATTGGCCTACATCGATAGAATTTAAATGATCGATTAATAATTTTGTCTGTTAAATAACATTTTACTAAAATTCCTAAATTTCAGTGGTCAGTGTTTTGATGAACTATTTCATATTCTATTGCTTATGACTTTGTTATTCCAAAAATTCCAAATACATACCATCAGCTAATTCTTCTAACAAGCTTTACTCTTAATTCAATAATTATTGAATATGATACTTTGTAAGCTTCAATAATTTATTATGAGGTAACGATCTTATGAGTTATGTGACTATTCAAATTATCTTGATTAGTTAAAACCCTAAAGCAATCTTCTGATAAACAGCATAATTATATTCCTATCATTATTATAAATTAAAAATAATAATATAAAATTAACTCTATTGTTTTATCAACAGATCAATAGATATAAAAATTTTAGAACAATTTGTGATTATTTTTTAAAATGAGAAATATCAAACTATAAAAATATTAAGCAAAGTATCAATAATAAATTTAAAAAATCAAGTTATATAATTTATTATAATTCTCCCTTTAAAAATATTTATATATAGTTAATTTATTAAAAACTTAATTAGAAATGTTAAGGATTAACTTAAACTTAAGATCAATATTCTTGTTTTATCTTCAGTTCTCTGAGATCTGAAATTATTAGACAAAATTATTATTATATTATAAGTTATTTCCAGTTGATTAACCTCCAATTGGAGAATATTTCATAAATACCATAGCATTTCTTAATAATTAAATTAACTAATTCTACTTAAATACAATTGATATTCATTCAACCCAAAGGATCTTTTCATTTTCTCCCCTTAAAGCTCCTTAATCGTATTTTAACATATGATTGTGCTTAAAAATAATATGGAGAATAAAGTACATTGTTGATTATGTAAGTACATATTTTGTCTACTTTTTGTTTATCACATTGTTGGCGAAGCAAAATATCTCTAAATGATATGATGTAGTTACTCAAACACAATCTACTCTAGACTCTTCTTCTTAAATTAATAATTAAAATAATCGTCCAATACAAATTATAAGACTTCTTAATTTCTTTCAAGCTCTTGTTTCATTTCTTAGTTATAATTATCCTAAATGTTAGGCTAAAGAGTTACATCGAATTAATAAATATAATTAGAGGCTGATTTGTAGAGAATGCTTTCAAGTTGTTGTTTAATCAAATAATTTTTTAGGTAATGCTATTCTAGAGCCTATTGAACAAGCCAAATATGAACTATGAGAAAATTGTATCTAATTAGTATTTAATCGCATTGAATTTCTACAAATGGTATGGTTTTTACTTGAATTAAATTGATTTCCAAAGATGTACGCTTCAATATCATTGAATATTAATTGGCCTCGGGTATTTTTGAGATTGAGTTTATTCTTAATCCATTATATAGGAGTTGGCCTAGAACTCGAAAAATTGGAGAGGCAATAAGGTATTCTGTTCATAAATGAAATTAAAATTTAATTATTAGATTAAAATTTATGAATGTTTATGATTAACAATATAATATATTTGCATTTGCTTAATATTAAATAATTTAAAATGAGTTTGTAATAGATTCAACAACACATAAATCAAATAAAAACCAGCTATCAAATACCAAACAAGGAGTTTCAAAATGCATTCAAACATTTTGAGAGTTGTGTTCCTTTTCTTAAATCAGAGAATCAGGAATAATTGAATCAAGTTTATAGAGCCTTGAAGAGATTTCGAAGAAGGCTGGAAAATGAGTTGAAACTCAATTAAACCGACTATCATGCATTCGTAAAAAAATGGAAATCCTTGAACATAACATTTGTTCCACTGGTTTATGATGTGAAATTGGATTTCAGTAAAAAGATAGCAACTCTAAGTAATCACATATAGTTTATGAAGAATACGAGGATTTAATCAATGTTAATTTTAATCATCACCATTATACAAGCAGAGAGATGTTAAAGGCTTCGATGATGATATTCTAACATTTAGAAGTAATATAAGTTAATTTTATTGTAAGGTTGAGCAATATGCAAATTACAATAATTTAGAGAATCTATTGACACAAATCAATCTAAATTACAATATCGTTTCTTATCATAATTTTACTCATGCATTTGCATTATTCCAAGTAACAATTGAGTTTTAACTAAGTTATTATTTTGTGTGTACGAGAAATCTGATCTTAAACTATTTGTATCTAAGTAAGACATATTTGCAGCTTTGCTGGCGAGCTTAAGTCATGATCTAAATCACAGTAAAAAATGAATAAATAATTTTAAAGAGGGAGTGAATAATTTGTTCAAAGTTAAGAAATCCAAAAAGTTAAATAAAAATATATGTGAGCAAGCAGTCCTTGAGAGCATGCATGTTTCCACACTATTCAATATTCTGGCTCAGAATCAGCAGCTAAATTTTTTACATTATTTGCCAAATACATAATAACAAGAGTTTAAGAGAATTTTGGTGAGCTCTATTTTAGCCACAGATATGGGATAACATTTCAATATCTTCAGTTGTTTCAAAGATAGAGTCAATGCAACTATTGATTTGAGAGAAAATCAAAACATAACTGACCCTCTGATTAGATACAGAGGATTTAACAAAGACAACTTTGATGACAGGAAAGTAATATACTATATTTGATGACTTTAGTTCATTTTAAATGTGTTGGTTCACGCTTGTGATATTTCAAATCCATGCTTGGAGTGGGATGCGTATATGAAATGGTCCTTTTTGTTAGCCCAGGAATTTTAAGATTAAGTACATAATATATTAAAGTAGACTCTAAAAGAGGCAGCAAAAGGCTTGGAAGTGACAGCGATGTTGCAATATAAGGATAAACTCACGTTCTTTAATGGCTAAACATTTTTCTTAAGTATTTTTGGATGTTTAATTGTTAGATACATTTGTATTGCCTTAATGGTAGACAATTGCAGCACTGTATCCAAGTCTAATTGATTTGCCTAATGAAGTCAAGAGGAATCTGGAAATTTTGGAAGAAGAGAAAAAGAAGTTAGCCAATTGATTTTAGTGATATTAATAAATATCCAAAATATTATGAAGAAGGCAGTAAAGGAGGCTGAGAGAATCTCCTCGAAAATATCATCTCCGATGATTCTTGATCCATACGGATCTCAAGGATCCGGTATCATGCCATATTTAAAGGACGCGTTGAGAACTAGAACAGCGTTGAATTAGGCTGAATCTTGTTTCATTGGTATTAGGAGTCTCAAAGTTATTTAGATTTTAAACGAAGTTAGTTTCCTTTATTCGCAAAAGATAGATATTTCGAATTCGTGGAAGCCTATAATAGAAAGGACAAGGTAGATTTGATTAGATTATTGTCTGTTCCATTATATGATGTATTGCATTATTTAATTGTTAGATTGTTAAAGCTTGTCTAAAGGACAATAAGCCTTTGCCTTTTAAATTGTATAAAGAGATGACGGATGCTTAAATGGTTTAGGCTAGAGTATATTATTAAAAGGAAATATCATTGCAGTCATAATACATATGGTATCAAATTACTGTTAAATTTAATTTTATTGATCCAGAAACTAAGAAGGATGTTGTAAAATACAATGTTCTAGAAAGAAGAGAATCAGATAGTTCTGAGAAGGATTGGCGTATATGTAAATTAGATTGAATTAAAACCACACATATATTTTATGCTATTTGCAAAATAACATTATTTATATGCTAATTTAGTTGAGAATTTACAAATAATATTTTATAGTTATATTTTATATGCTCAAAATTCCTTGTAAGTATCATCCGAATTCATATGTGGAAAGAATATGTGCAAGTTCATCTTGCAAAAGAGATCCTACATTGTGTTGGGAATGCATGATTGATGAAGCTGATCATGCTAGAAATCATCGCGATGTTATGGTATTTTTGAATTTCAAATTTAGATTGATTTTGACAATTTCACTACTCGACTAGATGAGGAGTTCAGAAATGTGTTGGAGAAGAGAAAAAAAGATTAGCAATTGGCAATAGAAGGACATTTAAAGCTATTACAAACCAAACAAGATTTCATCGATAGATATGAATCATAGATCAATAACAGGAAATGTTGGGTGGATTACATTATAGCTGACACAACCAATCTCTTAACATAACTATTAGAAAAAGTGAAGTCCGAACTTTATGAACACTATAACGAAAGATTTCTACAATATCAAAATTCGTTAAACTTTCTGGTTTAATCTATTCAACATAGGTACGGTTTAGTTCCACTTCCTACTAAAGAAGAAATGCTCCAAACTTTGGAAGAGTTGTCCAAATAAAATAAGGAATGCAACACCTATGTGACTGAGTTGAAAATTAAATTACTACCTCCTGAAGACTTAGGCAAAAACTTAGCATTTATAGACACTTTTTAGGAGTTCTAAATATAAAATGAAATAGTCGAAGAATTAGAAAAATAATGGGCAGACACACCTTAGGCTGATCCTGAAAATCCAACATTTTAATAGGAACAAAACTTTGTTGAAATTATGAATTCAATCAGGTAATAATGTGAAGTACTTATGGATGAATTCAAAGTTTAAATCAATTTGAAGGATTTAATACTCTCAAGAAATACTCAATATTAAAATCCTGATGAATCTTTGAACAGTATTATTAATTCAATATTCTATTCTAGTTCTAAGTGATGTCAGGAATTAAAATTCTGATCATAAATTAACAAAAACCCAAAGATAATATGACAGTCCAAAACTTTTCGAAACTGTTTAACCTAATTCTCCTGTTTATAATGCTGGAATTGAAAATACCAATTCGTAGGCCTTAAAATTATAATCCAGTTAATAAAGTAGAATTTCAACCTCCTCACGCATTAAATTTTATAGATCTGTTGAAACAGCCTAAATGAGAGGTGTTACTAGTTTACTATAAGTGGATTAGAGAAATATCGCTTCAGGCAGCAGAGATAAGACAATAAGAATCAATAATCTAGAAGTTCCTTAACAAAGTTTCACTTTAGAAGGCCATGTGGATCAAGTTACAGCTCTTTGTATGTTCTAAGAAAAATTATTGATTTCAGGAGGAGGAAACCTTGACTCTTCAATAATCATTTGGTCTTTGTCAACTAGAAAGTAGATAAATAAACTAACAGGACATTAATCTGGAATTACTTCCCTTATTGAATTATCAGATAATCATAGCATTATGAGTGGCAGCTACGATAATTTGGCTATTATTTGGAATGTCACTTCAGGTAAATCCCTGTGTGCATTGAAAAAACACACAGCCATGGTATCATGCTTACAACTTGTCAAAAGAGATATTGTTGTAACAGGTTCATGGGATAGAACTTTAGCTATTTGGTAATTGTACTTTGAAGGAGAAGAGATAGTTTCTGCTTCTTACTTAAGAGATATTAAAACTGAGGGAGCTGTGTTATGTGTCAAAAAGTATTCTGAAAGAAGTATAATTTTCGGAGGAACTTCAAATAAGGTTTCAGTGGTGGATTGGATGAATGGAGAGATCAAACTAAAGTTAAATACATCTTAATTTGGTATTTGTGATATCATTTGTTCTGATTATCTATTGGGATTAGGGGCTAGTGATTCTACTATTAGATTGTGGGTGAACAACTAAGAAATCGAAGTCTATCGGGATCATAAAATTATTATTAATAATTATAACACCAATCCAAAAATGATATAGGTTGGCAAGAATCAGATTGCTGTTATTAATAATAAAGACGAATAACCCCATTTCAATATATTTATTATTGAATGAATATATATTTAAAAAATTATATTGTTTAAAAAAAAAAAATATGCCTTTGGTGGGGGTCGATCCCACGACCTCGAGATTATGAGACTCGCGCTCTAACCAACTGAGCTACAAGGGCATCTCTATTAAGAAGGGTCAATCCCCAATATTTATAAGTAGATTCATATGCAGATTTATATGAATAAATTTTTAACGAATTATAAATAATTCAAATTTTAAATCTAAATGAGATCCTTTTAAGTTAGCAAAGACTCTTCCTTCAGGTATCATTTCATCTTCATTTTAGGATCTTATGTCCCTCCAACAAAATAGAAATGGAAGAAGAGACTGTAGAAACTCAAATCTAGTTAGAAGCTAAGAATATCTACAGACCAATAAAAATTATTCTTCCACCTCCAAGTCTCCCTAAAATTATTACAAGCACTAAGTAAATTTATCTTCTATTTCAGAACTTGTAATTGCAAAAAATCTTAATGTTTAAAACAGTATTGCGATTGCTTTGCTAACGGATAAGTATGCTCTGAAAATTGCAATTGTGTCGGATGTTTTAATAATTCTCTCAATAATTCGTAAAGAAAAGAAGCCAAATTACAGATACAAGCAAGAGATCCAGGGGCATTCAAATAAGCCTTTAAAGGATGCAATTGCAAAAAGTCAGGATGTTAAAAAAAATATTGTGAATGCTTTCAAAATAATTTACAATGTACACATTAGTGTAGATGTGAAGGGTGTGTCAATTGCTTAAAATGAGTGTTTTAATTAAATTAATATTACTTAAGTTGTTTTAACTGCATAATTAAAATCCTATTCAATTTAATCATTAATACTTTATATAGAGTTGATAACAAATTTAATATTAAAATCACTTTAATTTACTTATAGGTTCTTTAAATGATTTGATATGCTTTTAATAAATGTTTTAACATTCTTAAAGCATTATTTATTATTAAATTTGAGTCGCCTATTAATTTGCAAAATACAACTAAAATCGAGTTTTCTTATGAATTTAGTAAACGGCATATTTTCAATTTTATCTATAACCTTCTTGAGAACTTGTAATAATATTTTCTTTTACTGATTTTATGATTGCAATCATTTAATTTCTTTAAAAATAAAATTAAATCCTGACATAAAATATTATGATTGTAATAAAAATGTAGTTAATTTAGGTATCTAATACTATTAAATGGGTTGAATTTTAATGGTTGATTCAATTTAAAATAATGCATAAACAATAAAAATAATCAGAGATAATGATTGCTGGATGTTAGACTTTAGTATCGCTGCTAGAGCACATAACTCATAGTTTGAAAAGAAAAGACTAACTCAACTAGCATTAAAAAGTTGTTGATTTTTATTCTATTTTTCGAATTGGATAATACCATTTTTTTTAATTCAATTAAACTTTTCATTTACATTTACGTAGAACTTAACGGACTATCGCAAGATAGTTTATCTGTAAATTCTTCAGCTAAATGAGTTCTTATCATTAACTTTTGTGGTACTTTAGGGTAATTAAAATAACTATGATTATGATTATTATTATTTGATCATTTAAGACTCTGCTCCTAATTGTATATAGTTATAAATTTGAGGAGATTATAGAAAAATATTCGATTGAATATAAGGTGAAAATTCTTAAGGTACTTTTCTTGGTTATTTTCTCAATTTTAATGACTAAAGTTCCATTTATAATTTAAATTGATTCATTCTCTACTTCTATTAATTTTAATACTAGAATAGATTCAGCTTATCATTTTTTATGGGTTAAGTTATCTGTGAATGTTCTTCGATAATATCATGTTAATATTTTTGCAAAAGTATTGTGGATAAATATTTGCCGTTTTGACTTCACTTTTCTGTCCTTAAATTAGCTAATTGCTGTAGTTCAATTCTGTGATGTTTAAGTTCATCACCTTATTATTCGAACATTCTTTCAACCAAGGAGGTTCTATTAATTTTGTATGCATAGCCTTCTGATGTATTACAGAGAAGAGACTATTCATGTGGCAATTTAATGTTGAGATGATAGAAACCAAACACCTGCAGTTCTCCAATTTCAAAGAGCTTAATTGTTTAGTAATTCTATTTACATTAACATTTGTTTAATTGAATTCATTATTTTTTTAACAAGAAAACTTCCAGATTTGATCAATATGAAATAATCGCTTTTCTTCCTTCTTTGATGAACATTTGATTCTTTTCAAATTCATAGAGAAAAGAATTCAAATAGATGTGTTTTAGTTGGGTTCTGTGGAGATGTGAAAATATTCTAATTTTATGAAAAATAATCAATATTCTTAAAATAGTAAAGTAATTTTACTTAATCCAGTTTTTTTATTATTCTTCTTATAAAATATGTTTAAATTAGTGTTTATCCAGGATGGCGAAATTGTAATCTATATTACATGAAATAGTGGTAAGTCTTGGTTATTTGTGTAACAAGGCTAATTCACCGAAAGATTCGCCACTGTTAAGAACCCTAACCGCCTCCATTTGAGATTGAGGGGTTTTTCTGACTAATACAGTGCCATATCCATCGAAAATGATGTAAAATTTGGTACCGACACTGTCTATGAAAAAGTAATGGCAGTAAGAGTAGCAATGTGGAATATTATTTCATTTCATTTGAATTTTTCGCACTACATATTTTTGCAACATTTCCTTTGTATTTATAAGCCATTTTCTTGCTTCATGTATATTTAAAAAATGGGAGCTGTGAGATTAATTGCACCAAAGAAATTGATTTCAGCTTTGCTTCTGTGTTGTGGACTCTTCTTGAGGAGAAACTCAGATCTTCTATTTATTTTTACATTTTTATTAAATGATAATAACAATAAAAGTAGACTATATTACCAGTAATTTACCAATTTCAGCTAATCAATACCAAATATGTATTGAAATCAATTTTAATAGAGTTGAACATTAATGTTCTTGAGCTGAGATATCTAATTGGAGTTAATTAATGTATCATTTGATTAAGGTTTTTTGCATTCTAATTTTTAAATAATGAAATTCGTTTTATTGATATTGTATACGATTTCTTTTTAGGGTATACTTGGTGAAACAGTTAATGAGAAGAACAAATGCGAATGTAGCAAGTTATATACAATTGAGGAGTGTAATATAAATTGCGAATGGAATTAAGTAGCAGGAGAGTGTAGCAATCAGACTCTTCCGTTAATAAGGAAGAGTTATTGTTCGTATCAGAAGGATAATTGCAATAAAACTATTGGTTGTGCTAACTATAATGGAATTTGTGTTCCGTTCACTGGATGCACGGCAATCAAATAAAATACAAATTATGCATGCTAACAATATTCAGAAATATGCATAACTGATGGTTCAAAATGTGTAGAGAAAGGTGTTTGTGCGAATTATAAGACAAGATTCTCCTGTCGCAACAATTATGTTAATTATGAATGGCAAGGATTTTGTTTTTGGGACAAAAAAGAATGCAGGGATGCATTAGCTTGTAATGAGTTATCATATAGTTTGAAAAACGATGCAGAGTGTAGAAAATAATTAAGTTGGTGTACATTCAAATTGGGAGGTGGTTGTGAAGATTCAGGAGAATTATGCAAAGATCAAAAATTTTAATAGCAGTGTGTTACTAATAGAAAGGGGGATGTGAAGTGTTATTGGGATGGCTAAGCCTGTTTTGATTTCAGTTGTAAATATATAACAAAAGATTGTGTTAAAAATGGATGTTCTATGGACAAGGATTCAAAATGCATTGACAGATTGGAATGTTCTGAATATACTATTGAGCAGTCATGCACTTATAATAAGTCTAACGTTTAATGCATGTGGGAAAACAAATCATGTTAAATTAAATCATGTGAGAATGCTAGTCTAACTAGACAATCTAATTAAGCTTGTTAGGAGATAAATTCAAACTGTATTACTCAATTTGGAGGGGGATGCAAGGTCAATGGAGAATGTGATTAGGCTAATAACAAAATAGGATGCTAGTAAAATGTCAGAGGCGAAAATTGTTATTGGAATGGATATTAATGTGTATTAAAGCAATGTCAATGGGCACCTGCTAGTTTTAGGACTGCAACACTTTGTAAGAATTTCTAGTCTAATTGTGTGTATAATGGTAAAGTATGCATTGAAGATGGATGTTATGCATAATAGACTCAATCAACTTGCTAGGTTAATCGACAATGCTAATGGTAAAGTAAATGCGATGTAAAAACTTGTGAGACTGCTGGGAGAGATATAAACTATACTAGTCACTTGGATTGTTGGAATTATATGACTACTTGTACTTTGAATGATTAGGGAATGGGATGTATGATGATCAAATACTCATGCAATCAATATACTAGAGAAATTCAATGTTACTAATCTACGTAAAGTAAATGCTCTTGGTATAAGAATTAGTGTTTAGACAGCAAATGTGAGTACTTAAACTATACTACACATTACGAGTGCAATAACTATCTGAGCAGCTGCACAACTGATGGTACAACATGCATATATCTTAAATCACTATGCAAATTATACACTTCAGAAAAGTCATGTACAATTAATTCTCAAAATCAACCATGTATTTGGTAAAATGCTAAATGTGCGGAAATTGCATGTGATCTTATTCCAAAAACAGAAGATTTTAATACTCATTCGGAGTGCAATCTATATCAACCATATTGTACTGTATTGGAGTAAATTACTGGGTGTATTGTAAGTCCAACTGAGTGTAGTTTATTAAATTAAAGTTAATGTTATGGAAGCAAGTGCATTTATTCGAATGGAGTGTGTAGAGATAAATAATGTCAAGATTACAAAGGAGATATAACATAATCTAATTGCGAAGCCTTTCTTGAAGGTAAGAAGTGCATGAGAGGTCCAAATTTGATCCCCACTGGTTGTGTTGATAAAGTAGATTAATGTACAAACATTACCAACGAATACTAATGCAATGAAGGCAAAGATAAGAATAATAATAAATGCAGATGGGTTTATTCATTTTGCATAAATTGGAATCAAAATGTATTTAAGTAAGTAAATAATGATTGTGTACCTTACCCTGCAACCAAAATTCCTAATAGTAGCTTCTGTATTACAAATAAGACATGCCTTGATGCAGGTATAGCAACAGTTGAATATACAGATGAAATATGCGAAAATTATCTTCTATCTTGCAAAAAGAATACAGTTAGTGCTTGTATGGATAAAGGTTTGACATCATTTCCATCTTAATGCAACTATTATGTTAGCAGAACGAATTGTATTACATTAAGCAATTGTTTCTGGTCAAATTCAACTGGTTGTTAGGAAATTAAAGGTGAGTGCAGTTCCATCACTAATTAAGAGGATTGTGATGGGAACAAAGATATTTCAGGAACATTTTGTAAATGGTAGACTGCGGGTAATCTTTGTTAAAATATTTGTGAAACATTGACTTCAAAGAATCTATAATGCTCAACTCTGGATTCAAAATGTGTACTAAATAGTAGTGATACTACTAAGTGTATTAAAAAGAAAGCGAACTGTTCTGATTATGCTTTATAATAGTCAGCATGTGCAGATGATGACAGATGCGTATACAATGTAGGTACAAATCTGTGTGTAGAAAGGAAATGTACTGACCTCACAGATAATTTGACACATCTATAATGTATTGCCTATAAATCAGAATGCACTGTGGCTTATCCTGGAGGTTGCTCAAATTTATAGCCAAATTGTTCTAATTATTTGAATTAAAGGTAATGCAATCTTAACGACAAATCCAAAATCTGTTATTGGTATTAAAATAAAGGTTGTAGTGATAAAATATGTTCAGAGATTGTATATAATCCATTATAACCAAAAACATAGTGCTAAGCATTTTTCAATGATTTGGTTTGTAATCTCAATAGTTCGGAGAATGGTTGTGAAGACTTAAAAGATTCATGTTCCAAATATAAGAATGAGAAATAGTGTTTCAAATAACTGGATGGTTATGAGTGCATGTGGTTGGAGAATACATGCATCGAGGCTAGTTGTGAAAAAACTAAACTCAGCAGTTATTCACATATTGATTGTAGTTAGCAATATACTAAATTAAGATGTACAGTAAATGGAACAAATGATGGATGCATGGATTAATCAACAGATTGTAAAAGATACAAAACCTAGGATCAGTGTAAGAAAACAATGCTCAATGAGGATTGCATTTGGAATCAACTTTACTAAGAATGCAATTTCAAATCTTGCAAGGATGAAATACCTGAAAACCAGAAGTGCTCTGATTATCTTTCCATTTGTGTTGAGCCAAACTACACTTGCAGAAACTCTGTTTGTGAGGATTATCTCTATGATAATGATTAAGATTGTAAGATGAAGGATTCTAAGTGCACATCCAATGGTAGATTTTGTATTTAAAGAGGAACTTGTGAGTAAAATTTGTACTAATAGGCATGCAATATTGATATCAATAACAAATATTGTGGTTGGAATTCTGCAAAGAAATAATGCAGATTTTTGTAATGTCAAGAGGCTCCACTTGAATTGATCTATACTCAAGATTGTGAAAGTTATTTTCCAAATTAGAATTGCATTACTAAACTAGGAGGAGGATGCACAATAGCACGTAGTTGCCTTGATTACACAACTCAAAGTTAGTGTGATGAGAGTTCGCTCTTTGAATGCATTTGGGAAAATCAGAATTGTAGATCTAAAATCTGTAAAGATTACAGAAGTGGAAATCTTTTGGACTGTCGATCTAAACTGTAGAATTGTACCACTGATGGTTCGACTTGTGTTGAATTGAGAAATTGTGCATAATTATCCTAAGAGAATTGCACAATAGGAACAGAAGGAAACTGTTTATATTTGAATGGCTAATGTTTGCCATATTAAAAGTGTTAATCAATTTCCTATACTTCTCATTAAGAATGCTTTGATTCCTTGTAAAATCAATGCACCACAGATGGAACCAAATGTGTCCCCATTACTTCTTGTGATGAATACAGTCTTAAATTGTAATGTATAAAAGGACTAGAGGGAGATTGTGCTTGGGAGAACAATAAGTGTTCTAAATTCTCATCTTGTGATAGTTACCATTACAAAACTCATCAGGAATGCTATTCAATTAATCAAAATTGTACAACTGACACTGTCAGTTAATGCATTAAATTAATGGAATGTTCAAAATATCCATACGAGGAGAATTGTAAATTTGACCAGAGTGGCATAGTCAAATCAAATGGTTTGGTAACCAAATTAAATACTTGTCTCTGGAAGGACAGATAATGTAGCAATATTACATGTGTAGATCTATATGGGACTGATCATTCGAGATGCTATCAATAGTTATCGACTTGCACTTCAGATGGTGTAAAGTGTATGAATATGGAAAAAGCATGTTCATCCTATCTAAACTCTGTCTGCTCCTCAGCATTCAGCCAAGAAGGTAAGTGTGCCTTGGTGGATTCAATATGTACTGTATTTGATTGCTCAAGTGTAACCGTGGAGACTTAATGCAAGGCTCTAAGCAATTGTCAATTCATCAACAAACTATGCCAGCCTTATCGTAAATGCCAAGAATACACTACAGAAAAGGATTGCACCAAAGGTACTGATGGATAGTGCTTGTTTAAGAACTCCAAATGTTCGGCAATGAGTAATTGTAGTGACGCTAACTAATAACAATTTTGTGATACCAAGAGTTGCTATTGGAATACAACTTCCTCTGCTTGTCAATCTCACACATGTTAAACTTATGGACTTCAGAATCCTTGTGGATCCTTTTACAATTTCTAGAAGACTCAACTTATATTCTGTGCTTACAGTAATGCTGATCATGCATGCAAAGACATCAGTCCAACCATCTTTGGTAGTGCTGATTGTTACACAAAATCTCTTGGGTATTTCTCTAATAGAAATGACTCATGCACATCTTGTGTTTATTAACCTCAATCTAATACTACGATTCCAAACAACAATGAAACTAAGAATGACACTAAAAACAATGAAATAGGTGGAATTTTGGTTCATGTCATATTAATTGGGTTATTAATTACCATTTGAAAATACATTCATTCATCTATTATATATTAACATTTATGTTTAAACATGCTGGCACTTCAGAGAACAAAGCCTTGATCGAAGTCAACGTCCATCAACTCAACATCAATATCTCTGTTCCCAATTGTGAAGTCATGATCGTCTTCCAAAGAGGAGACAGAAAAGCACAAACTCAACCAGTCCAATTGGTGAACAAGTGTGCCCGAATCGAACAAATACTCAGAGTCCCTGCTACTATGTATTATGATGTGAAACAAAAAGAGTACCAAAAGAAAATGGGCACCATAATCGTTCTCATCAAGTATGATAAAGGAATGAAGAATGCAGGCCAAATTGAAATTGATTTCTCCTCCTACTTAAATCAGAGAAAGGGAAAGATCGAAGAGCTCTCTCCTCTGTCTAAATGTCCTGATCCCAATGCAACCCTCTCATATACAATCAATTTCTTGAGTCAAGAACAAAGATCTAAAACTCCAGAAGCCAACATTAATAATAGTATTCAAATCATTAAAAACAGTTAGGGAAGATCAATCCAAAGCTCAAATCACTTAATTAGACTAGCAAAATAAACAGATCAAAGAAGACAATGCTCGATTACAATAGGAGCTTGATCATTTAAGAGTTTAAAATAAAGAATAAGAGATCTACATACAATAGCTATTAAAATAATCCTAAGAAACTTAACTCAATTCAAATTCATCTAAACCCATTTCAGACACTTCAACAATGCAACCAGAAGACTGTCAGAAATGCATATAATTTCAATTAGAATTAGGTATCTATTATCATATTTATAGGATAGAATCATTTAAAAAATAAAAAAAAACTAAGCCACTCCCCTGTGATAAGTGCTCCAATCTAGAGTAGCAAATTGAACAACTCAAAAAACAATACTCCCAAGGATTGAAGTAAGAAAGCGCTGATCAAAAAGTTGAATTGCTCAATTAAGCCAACACTGATTTAAAGGAATAATTATATGAACTTGAATAGCAAGTATCTAGAATCAGGAAGGAGAATCAGGATCTTAAAAACAAATTAACCATTTAAAACTAATAACTAATTGATTGCAGAGAGAGAATCTCAGAACTTGAGAATGATGACGAGGATGATTAACGAGTTGCAGAATACCAAAAAATAGTTGAAAAATCTAATGATGATCTTCTGGATGTGAAATCAAAATTATTGTCCTTTTAAACTGAATGCGATTAGCTCTAAAGAGAGAAAAATGAGTATGAACAACAATTAGAGATTTTATCAAAAAAATATGATTCCTTAGGTATCCGTCTTATTCAATACATAGAATTATAACTGTTCTAACAAAAATAAAGATTTGCGAATGCCATGCATGCTTTCCTTAGTTAGGGTGATACAAATGCAATTGAAGTATTGGAAAAGTATAGTGGTGATTGAATGTTATTGTAATTTATTGTAGTTTATAAATCTATTTGATATTATTTTATTTTTTTAATTTCATTTTCTATTAAATTAGAATTCAATAATCTCATACTTATTTCATCTGATTCTATTCTATTTTATCCTATATATTTAAGAATATTCTAATGTTAATTACGTCAATTAATTTGACCTTATTAAATAGTAAATTTATTATGTTTTTGTTAATTAATGAACAGATAATTTTATAATTAAAATTTAAAATCCCCCTAATTTGATGTGCATAGTCAGTTGTTCTTAGTTTAGAGATATGAAGATGAAATCCTAGATAATAATTCTCGATATGATGATCTTGTTAATCGTTTTGAGTGTTTGCACTTTAGGAATCTATGTAGAGGCCGTGATATTTTATGATATCAGTCTAGAATCTTCGAATATTATGATGAATGTTACCGACATTAAGCAGATTGACAGCATGGGAAATCAAGTAGAGGCCTATCTAATAAAAAAGCATAAACGAAGTAAATAATACAATAAATTAAAGGCATTTAACTCCTTGACAATGTTGCTTCTTTTTTATTTTATTTGGCTAACCATCAGACGCAGTTCTTCGTTAATTAGGATTTACAACTTTGCCTAACTGAAGATGATTACAAAATATCAAAATACATTCAAGGCATTCCGTAGTTCTGCTATTAAATCCACAGTGAGCAGTACCAATAGATTATATTGAATGACAATATCAAGCTTTTGTATTAAGGGCTTAAACAACTTGACCAATACTCATTACTGTTCAATATGTAATGGCCCAATTTTTTGTAGGTGGTGGACACAAGTCCAATATTATTTGATTCATTATATCCAACAGGAGTATTATTGAAGAATTACAACCCATAAGATAGGATATGGTATATTATCATGATAGACTTAGGTATCAAAATCACATGGCCTAAGCAAACAATACAAATAAGGAGTTATTCTTTTTTACGAATGTCTACTAGGTCCTATATGGAACTGACAAGTTTAGTTTTTCAATCACTCAATCTTTGTTTGATAAGCAGAAGGAGTTCTTCGCAATATTAAAAACGTAAGTTTTTGTAACTGACGAAAATTTACAGAAAATATAATTTAATGTCTTATTAATTAACTAAGAAGGTTAAGTTATGCATTATGGAATGGAAAATCCAATCAGAAACGTTGAAGCTTTATATATCTACAATGAGACAATAACTGGGTTCAATTTTACGGATTGGAAGGAAATTGAAAAGAAGGCAAATAAAGAAGAGTCAAGTTAGAATCATTACGACCAAATATTAATGCTCTACAATAAACTATACTAGTCATTTGTTAATATAAGGTGCAAAAAGTTTGTAAAAGAGAATTTCACTCTAATTTTGTAAATATATCTTATAATTTATAGGTTCACTAATCTCACATAATAAAACATATTAGAGCAAAAGATATTGGATGAGTAAAAAGGATTTTATCTGTAGTATGGCTATGCTGTTCTAATAATTTTTGGTTTAGCAATTTTCTTATTCTGCTTGAGTGTATTCTTTATAAACCTAATTTGTAACCCAATAGTAAATTTAAGATTAAAAATATCATAACATGTTTTGGAAATGGGTAACAATACCGATAAAATAATGTTTAAAATGTAATCATGCAAAAAGAATAATAATGATGTTATTAATAAATTAAATGAAATGTTCATGAATATCTCGGATACTCTCAAATTAAACTCAAATAAGAAGAACAAGTAATGTAGACTTATTGAAAAGATGTAGTACAATAGGCGAAACGTTTAAGGGTCATGTTAGAAGTTGAATTAATCAATACGTTCTCTTTCAGATTTCAACTAAAACTATATTGATTTCAACCAATTTAATAAAGAAGTTTTGGATTTGTTGATGAATTGCACTCATAGTCAATTTTGATGTTTGATTAAGTGAATATAACTTATAAATATAAATAAGAGGTTTAGTATTTTATATAGAGTGTTTAACTATATTATTTTATTGATTACTATACTTTACATGATTCACTTAATGTTAATAATTCTTTAAAGGTTTGATATTAACATATTAGATTTTGGTTGTAAGTCTCTTAATTATTTTAATAACTAATTTAAATGGAATTGCATACTTGTGTGTTCTGTGCATTAGTATCCTATTTTTACACAATTATTTTATCCCCATCTATTTTGGCATTGATATTTAAAGTTCTAATGGCATTAACCAACCAGGATTCAGTTTCTTCTTCATTTAGTTATAAATAAGTCGAAAATTGCCTAATTTTATTTAGCGCATAATTTTACTTAATTTATACACCATTTAAGATTTTAATGTAAGTTGAAAAGAAATACAGTTTGCATGCATTAATGATGGTGGCCTTTTTGGATTTCACAATAAAGTCTTTATCAATTTCAGTTGCAATATCATTGACCATCTTGATAGCATTTTCGAATTGAAATTTAACAATGATTTCCTCAACATAATTCAATAAATGAAAATGTATAACTGATTTGCTAGCATTAGCACCAATTTAGGCGAGACTAGTATTGCCAACAAACTATTAATTGATCAACAAAGCCACTGTATAGTAATATAATAAATAGGGAGCAATGGTGTGAACCACCTCTAAGAATTAATCACCTGAGAAGAGTTCTAGGAAAGCATTTGTATCGTCAGATATAAAACAAACCAACACTCCAGCATGTAAGAGATCTGCTCTTTGTTTGAAATTATATTTTATTTGATCTTCTTATTTTAATAAGTCTTTGATTGCTTCAATACAGACTGAAGCGCTGTTGCTGTTCTTGAAAAGACCAATTAATTTGCAATTCTAAATTTATAAAGGCATTTATTACTAATCTAGCCCATAGGAATCCGTTTCTCAAATGATTCAACTTCTCAGTTGCTTCCACGCAGGGATATAGATTATCAACAATCTCTGTAGCTTTCTCATATTCTCCTTAATCGAATAATATTATTAATGCTTAGTAGGCTTCTTCCACAGTCCATAAATTTTCTTGAACGTAATCTACAAGTGCTCTTTGTCTCAGTTTGAGTAATTCTGTAACCTGAGAGAGTTTCCCATTTAAATTGTCTTGTTGGATGATTTAATCAATTTTTTCTTATGGCACACCTATTTTTCTTAACCTTTCAAAAAGTCTTGTGCCAAGAAGAGCGTCGTTTTCTTTAGATGTTTGTAATTGCAAGAACTGCACACATCCCAAAAAGACGTGGGGATTTATGAATCTTAAGAAATGGTCCATATATTAAATCAAATAAAATATTTTGGGACTGAATATATTCCAAAGTTGTGTTTTGGATTCACTTTTTTTTGAATGTGATGGAATGGCTTCTCCTTATAAATTTAATATGTAGGTCCACGCAAATCATGTAATTCCGCCATCGCCTTCTTCTTTTCCTTTGGTGTTAGTTTCTAAAATTCTTCAAATTTTACCATTATATATTTATATTAATTAGTAATTTGCATTTTGAAACAGAAATCTATATTTCAGACTTTGAAGGAAATCAACGAGTTAATCCACTTTCGTGAGTTTAATAGAAAGTAAGGGTGAGCAGGAAGGAAATCTATTGAGAACCAATAAATACCTGTATAAATTGAAGACTATATATGAGGAATAAATTAAAATATGAATTGAAGATTTAAAGCAATGGAAATCAAAATTTAACTAGCATGTTAGAGGATTTACCTAAATCAGCAAGACTTAGAATATCATTCTGAAAAGAAGAGGTTAATTAAGAAAATCAATTTATGAAATTATGACATGGAGAGTTAATTTAACAATATAGCTAGGTTAAACTTTTAAGAAACATATCGTCCAGCCAAAACCATAGAGTTTCAATAGGTTCTTTAAAAAAAAGCAGTAAAGAAATAAAAGAATAATCTACGCTATTTAATAATAATTGTCATACACATTGAAATTCACAAAGATTATGTGAAATTAATATTGAGACATTTGATGTCTTCTTTAAATCTGAATCTTAAATATATTTAGGTAATAAAAAATCTAAGATAAAAATGAAAAAGTAATGAGGCAATATGATATCTCTATCCTAATTGAGCTATTTATTAATGAATGCTTAAAAATCTTTATTGATTCTTTATGGATAATCATAATTGAAGCAATAAAGATCTATATTTTTGACCGCATAACTATTAAGTTCTAAGATTTTTTGAAGCTAAAGTGGTGTTACTGGTCTGTCCTGGAGCATAAGATTTTAAAATAATTGAACCTAAAATGACAAGGTCAAGATTGAATGAATTTTCAAAATGCAACGAAATTTGAATAAAAGAATGAAGCTATCTGTAAAACTTTCTCTAATGAAGGTTTTCTTTATTATTTTTGGATTTTCTAATGCTAAATACTATACATCTGGATCATTAAATCATTTCTTGTGATTATGAGTTAACGAAGCGTTAGTAATTTATTTTAAAAATAAGTTTAGTTAAGATTTACAAACAACTGATGTATTTTACATATCTTCTAGGCATAGTTGAATCTGCGATTAATAAATTTGCATCCAATGTCAAATAGCAATAATTATGATTTCTTTCAAATAAACTTTCGTATTCGACTTGCTTTTTTAGTGTGAATTATTTACCCATCTGCTAGTATTCATATCTTGGATAGAGATCCGATTATTGTTTCATTTCTAGCCTGCTAATTCTATTTTCGAGATTATAGACGAATCTAATTCTAATTGATTCTCTTCTTTATCATTTTCTGAGGCTTTATTTAAGATTATATTCTTCTTGAATTTAATTTCAGATTTAGATCTGGTCCTGAAAATAGAAGAAATTCTAATTGAAGAATTTAAAGAGATTGATTGGCCCTAAAATAGAAGCACAGTAATACTGAGATTTAGATTCAATTTAACAATAAATTGATAGAATTCCCTAACTTTCATTAAGCCATAAAAATTATGACATATAAATATATGAATAAGTTTAAGTTCAAAATTGTAGTGAATGATGATTTAGTACTTCAAATTTATATTAAGATATGAAAAGGTTGAAAATGACAATTAAAATAATTATTAGATATATCTTTTTGAACTTCATTCTATCAGATCATCTAGACTAACTAAATTCTACTTTTATTATCTTGTTAGTGTAATCATTTGGTATAAAAATTTCGTATAATTTTCTATTCCATTCAGTTAAAGCATATTTGATATTTTTAGATGGCACAAGTAAACAACAATCTTAAGGTGATCCTTTGCTAAGATATAAATAATTTAATACTGAATTCCATGTTAAACTGCCTTAATATAAAGGTCACTTACACTATCCTTTAATTACATCTAGAACGTTGAACTTAGATTTGTACTAAAACTTTTGACATTTAAAGTGATATTCGTATCCCCAAATTTTAGGATATCTAATTCCATTTCCTAACAAATCATTTAATTTCTAATTTAATTATTTAATAACTACTTTAATTCCTTTAATTCTTATATTAGTAAATTCTTCTCTAATACTAATTTATGATCGGCATCGAGGCTAACTGGTTTAACACTTTGAAAATTATTAAATTATTACCTGAAATATTATATAAATTCATTCATTACTGTTGTCAACCTCTCGCCAAAATCCTTAACTTCTTGTTCCCACCAAAACCTTGATCTTTCCAACCTATCCAAATATAATTTTTTCTAATTTGTAAATTTATTTAGAATGTTCCCTTATAAAATTTCAACTAATTCATTTAATTCAATATTGGAAATGCTGGCTAAATTAGGATTATCATTGATTAGATTAGTGAACGATTTACTTTCCTATTCAATCCTATCAAATGTTTATTTGAATAATTTTGATATCTCATCCAAAACATTCTTGATTGAACTTTCTGTTTGAGAGAGCATGGATTTACATTTCATTCTCTCTTTTGTTAATTCAGATGTATCATCTAGCTGAAACTCTTTAAAATTATTTTTGACAATTTCTTCAAACTTTTTTAGAGGAAGTGTTTATTACTAATCCACGCCATGCTCTTTTTGGCATTCTACACACATTTTTCTGTCCAATTCACACTTGTGAGTTGCTATGCATATAAACGATACTGGATTTTGTATATGGTAGATGCAATTCATTATTTATATTGTATTTCTATTAAGATTGAGCTTTATAGAATTAATCGAAATATATCTAATGTATTGATTCTGAGAAGAAGGACATGTCAATTTATTCACTCAACTCCTTCAAGCTCTTTCAGATAAGTCATTGACATTATTTTCGAATATGAGTATAATAAAATAATCAGTTTAAGTAAATCTTACTTTTACTTTATAAGAAAATGCTAATATCAATTTTAAATAATAATGATGGATATATATTAAAAATAAGAAAAATGAATTCAATTTTTTTTAGTAGGAGTTAGGAACGGTTTAGGTCTGGTGGTTTATAATTATTTTTTTAATGGACTTTTGCTTGACTATTTTGATAAGATTGATGTAATTTCTATTTTTTACTCAATAGTAGGATCTTATTTCAATATATTAATTTTAAATACCTTCAATAACAGCAATGTCTCTCAATCTGAAAATTCCAATTAAGTTTTCATACAAACATTCTATCAATTGTGCCTACTTGTCGATCTTTTAGACTATCACCTTATACCCAGGTTTTAGAATAAAATTATCGCCTGTTATTGGCTTACAATTATTAATAGCTGTGCCATAAACAATACTATTTTATTTAGAAAAGGTTTTCTAGGAATTGATATAATTTGTTAGCAAATGAGCAGGCTTATTTCTGCCTGAATTCATTTAAGATGATAATTATGAATCTCTTTTTGCTTTAGATTTGCATTCGTCCAATAAGTTAAATTAAGTATTTTTTTATGAGTGATTTGTAGGGGTCAATGATTTTTATGTATGAGGAGGTGACCTATTTTATTAATTATTGATATTGCTAGTCTATCTGGATCTTTAATTGTTACTTACTGGAATTATCTTATCCACATAACATGTAGATAAATGTCGACTCACTTAACAAGAAGCATCCGTAATTGATTCCTTCTCTGATATCTTAGTTAACAATAAAGGTGGCTGTTAAGATGATTAGTATATGTCTGTAGATTCTCTCTTTGAATTTTCAGTTTGAGATTGAGTGGCCAAAACTTCAGTCAAGGTATCTTCTTATTTCATCAAAGGTGAAGATCTTAATACGCTTTCAGAATGCATTTTTTGAAATGAATCATTGCCAAAAGAACATTTAAAATTTTATAATCTTTGAATTCTTAAATGCTATTGTTTTCTTAATGCACTCTCTAAATTAATATTTATATATGTGAATACCATCCAATTAAAAGTTGTCTATTTCCTCCTCATCTATGTTTTCCTTAATATCTCTGAATGATTTCACCTATAAATTTAATTTCGGTGTCTAGTCATCATTTTCTAGTTCCTACAATTTTTCTTAATCTTATGAATTTTTTCTCTCTAACTCAAAAATCATATCAGTTTTCTCTATTTTCTCTTCCAGCATAAAATTTGAATTTTGATTATTTGTTAAATCATTATCCATTTCTACCTTCTAAATTACTATTTCCCAATTATCCTATAATTTTGTTTCTTGTTTGTCCTCCATCATTATTTATTGTTGTTGCAAAAAAGCACTTGATTTTTTATTGTGTTCATTAATCAATTGCTTATCTATCTTAAAAACGTTATTCAATTTTCTCATTGCAATGCTAGTATTCCCTAAAATTTTGAAATCGTCTGCCTTTTGAATTGATTGTTCAAATAAATGAGAAAACAAGAGCAAAATACTATATAAAATGAAAAATATACGCACCCTTTTTACAAAAACAAATTGACTCTTTCTTTTAATAATTGCATATCCACTACTTAAGCACTCTAAGTTTATAATTCATCAGTTGAATTCTTTTCCATAAACTTAAATTGTTTACTTGAAACAGTAAATTTCGAGTGTCTGTTGGAGCGTATGCTGTTTCTTTAGACAATTGACTCCTTATTGTTTTTTTGTGTTTTTTCTATTTATATTCCTCGAATCGATTTATTCTATGTATATGATGATAATATATACTTCAATTCTTATGTCATATTTAAATTGTGAATCATACTATTCATATTGGTTGGATAAGGGGAAGCATATTTTACCATAGTTATTAGTGAAATCCTCATAAATGGCAAGAGCCTTAGCGAATTCCAAATAGATTGTCCATAATTATAAATCTTCATTATCCTTAGCATCAAATAGAAACTTTCTATCCCCCATTTCCTTCAAATTCTTATACCAATAGGTTGAACCAATTTGTAAAGTAAAGTTCTTGTCACTTTCCAAAGCCATGACTGAATATATGCTCTTTAATGGAATTGAGCATAAGGGTAATTCACTATTGAGAGAGTCTTGTCTATTCTAATACAACTTGAGTTCTTTGCCATCCAGAATCACATACCTGGGAACTGAAGATACTCTATTTTTGGATTTCTTAATCAAGACTCCTCCTCTCAAAATAATGTTTGCATGGTTTTAGGATCTATTGAACTTATTTCCAATTTATTTTAAAATGATGGATTTCAGTGCTTTACTTGACATATTCTAAAATTTTTGTGTATCTTATGTACATTTGGGATTAATTAGATTGACCAAAAAGTTGGGTTTGGAATTAGATTTATTATCATCATTATTTTCAAAGTTAATTTATTGATAAGCATTAGATTCTGCCATCAACCATTAGAATTGCAGTTTCTTGCATTCCACTAATTCTTCAGTTTCAAATGGTAAAGGCAATTGTTAAATGGCCTCAGCCACAGCCTTATGTAATTATCTTCTTTATTTAAAAGTAATCCTCTAATAAAGACAATCCCTCATGAAGGGACATGTAAAACGATAGAAGATATTTTATTCTCTAACTTCCATGACTTCAATAACTTCTTTTGCCTCTAATTCATCCAAAAACTTTTACAATTTATTGTTGACTGCATTTTTGAATGGATAAGTCTTATTCAACAATTGGATGTCAAATATATCTCCAATGACACTAGCAGATTTCAATAATAGCTATTCTAAACAAGATAACTTATCAATGATAGGACCGTTTACTTCAATTCTACAATAAGGAGCATCTACTATGATACTTTCTTCATAATTAATTAAATTAACTAATTCGTTTGTTATGGTAGCATTCTTAGGACTTAGTCTGATCAAATCCAAATCAATCAAATTTTACACAAAGTTCAAAACCATTAATGGATTTCCGCCAGTTTTCATATAGATCCACTACATAAACAATAACTCAACATCAGTTTTAATTAGTTTCTGTTTGTTCTCACAAAATAGAAATTAATTATTAATTTCTCTTGATTGATTCTCTTATATTACGACATCATGAATTGAAGAAGTGTTTCTTTTTCTAATACTGCCTTCTGCAATACTTTATCTAAATTCCTACTCTGGTGTAAACTTCTGGATATTGAATGAAAATCTGATCATCTTAGCAAATTCATCATCTACTCCTCCTTTTCTTTCCACTCCTCTTAATTGCATCAATATAAAAGGATTTCCATCCATTCTATCCTCCAATGCTGTAATTCCTTCAATAGCAATATCCTCCTGAGACTTCCTTTTCTCTGCCACTTTTGGTTAGATAATCATTTCTTGAAATGAATCTCTGTACAACGCCAAAATAGTAAGTCTATCATATGTTTTAACCATTTATCTCAAAATTTGGAATGAAATTTAATCATAATTCTAAATATCGTCTAAACACAAAACCACAGGTGCTATAATATTAGTATATTTAATAGAATAATTGATTTATCTTTGAACAGATGACTTCATCACATCCCATCCAATTTGATCTGGAGCTCTTCCTTCGTACAATTCAGAGAATTTACTGGGAATTTACTCAAAGAAATTGCTTAAAAATTGAAACACTATTCTTTTGACATCGATTTCTTTGTCCTCTTCTTGTTATCTTGCAGGGAACTTCTCTAAATGTCTGTTATCATTCAAACCCACTATCTCCTATAACATTTAAATCATATTCTGTGGATGAATATTAACATCCACCATCATATTGAATAAATCCATATTTGGTGGTTTCTCTACTCTTTTTGCATACAATAAAAAGATTTATTTCAAAATACTCCTTAATCCATTTAATTTAAATGTCCTCGTTATGGGATCCAATTATTAAACAAGGATATGCGGATACTCACCATACTTCCATGGACTGTACTAATTGGAATTGATCTTCTCCTACACTCTATGCAACACCTTTTTAGCCAGAATACTTTTTCCACATCCATAAGTTCCTTTTAGAATTATCAAACTCTTCTTGTCAACTCCTTTAATCACCTTATCAATTTGATTCAACAACTTTTTATGCTATTCCTCTCTTCCAAATAATTAAACAGCAATAAAATCTGATTTCTTAGCAAATCCGTATGCATAATTATGAGTTTTGAAATTGGGTAACAAATTACCCTGAGTTGGTTCCACTTATTTATCAAGTGGCACATAAATGTGAACAGGAGCATTCTTGCCCTTAACTTAAGTTTATCTCAAAAAGGCAGTACTTATACAATTTCCAGCACTCTTAGCAGTTTCCAAACACATCAGAATTTTGTGAGTTGTCTCCGAACAAGCTGCTTGCATCAATCTCGCTGCAAGATTTACAGAATCACCCAGAACTGAGTATTCTCTTCTTGAACCACTTGTACCAACTACTCCTGCAAATACAGTGCCTGTAACAATTCCAATAGAGCAGCCACAATTAATTTTTGGCAATTCTTTATTCATCAATTATGCTGTCAAGATTGCTCTGACAGGATCATTTTAGTGACTTAGAGGAGGAAGACCAAAAACAACAATTAAAGTTGAACCCTTATCATCCATTAATAGCTTATTTAATGATCCTTCATGCATATAAATACATTTTTATACAGTTTTAATGACTCTTTAAATTTATTCCAATCCCTAAGCATTTTTTGCAGAATTCAAATCCATTTTTAAGTTTACAAACATTATAGACAATCTTCGCAATTCAGCACTCCATGCTTCTTCATTTATATCAATGTAAGGTAGAAGAGCAGCAGGGATGTAAGATTGGATCTCATTTCTAATCATTTGGAATTATGATAAGGTGATATTATTTTTGATTAAAAGTGCATCTGCCTTCATCTTAACTTTGGCTTACTATAGTTTAATGACCTCGTAGTGTCCTTCATGATCAACTACCTTCTAACATTCGAAGAAATTGTTAATCATATCATAAATCTACTAAGAGATGATTATTTTTCCACCCTCAGTCAAACAGTGTTCAGAATGAAAAGCCTAGATCAAAGGGTCTCCAGTTGCCAAATACTCCATTCTATTGAAAACACCTCCGACATGAATTATGTTCATTTCTCCCACTCCAAAGCCGATCTTTACACTAAGTTATATGCCCTATTCAATCTATGCTTTTGTTAATTTTTCTTATATTAACAAAGCCGACTAAATGGCTTATTTAAGCAAAGTTTCTAAATTCTGCTGAAAGTTTTGATCATTTGGAGGAGGAGGCCAGATAACAATCATAGCATCTTAAGAATATTTAAAACTTTTATACCTCCTGCAAATTTGAAAATATCACCACCACTTCTTCCTATTCCTTAAACCAATAATTCCATGTAGCGATTAATTGCAAATGCTATTCGCTCCGCCCCTTCAGTTCCCAATTAACTCAATAGTTCTGTTAATCGTGTAAATCCAGATATATCTGCAAACATCACAACACTTCTTATTCTCTATTTCTCTGGTAATTTTCTCAATAATTTATTCATTTTTAGATTCAAAAGATGCTGCACTACCAAAGCAGGCACGTATCCCAATATGGACATAGATTGACTCTAAAATTATTAAGACATATTTGATGATTATAAATAATTATATTGTTTTAAGTTGAAATAATAATATTATATTTTTCTTCTCACTCCTTATCTCCCATATCTCTCAGTTAAACATTAAATCTTCTTAACTTGAATATAACCTTCTAACTTTGGAATAAAAAGAAGTTTAGTATTTTAGCATGAATATTTTTAAATAGAGCTTCTTTCTAAACTTGCCAAATATATACATACACTAGTAATCGTTTTATTATCCAAAACAACATTGACTTGATATTGGAATAGAGATAGGTGTTCTTTTGAAGAGAGTTACTTAAAGAGGCGAATTGAAAGGTATTCTAAATTAAAATATGCTAAATTCTTACAGGTTATATTTGTATTTTATAGATTATAATTCATTTTATACAAATTTAATATAAGTAATTAAGTTTATATGCATATGTAATTTACATATTTACTGATTATCATGGAAAGTATCTGTACATTTAGAGTTCTTCTAGGATTAAGTAATTTGGATAATAGTGCTAAACCAAAAATTTATAAAACATAACGTCTGTTGTTTAAAAAAGACAAATTTAATCACCAAAGAATTCAATTAGTATTATTTGTGTTTCAAATACTCTTAATAGTGGATTTAAAGTATGAAATTATTCTTAGTTAATTAATAATCAATGGGGTTTCAATTAATTTTGTGGATTATAATTTTCAATAAATTCTAATTTAAACCAATTTAGTAAACAATGAATTATATAAAGTTAGAGAATTAGAGTGATTGTGCATAGTGGAATAGTACTTAATGAAATTCAAAATGATCCAGTAGGATCTAGAATGGAGAAGTCTAAATGTACAATTTTCCCTTTGACATGTGATTTCACAGTAGATGGGTTGCTAATAAAGTTTACCAAATTTACAGTAAGATAAACTTTTAGATTGATTCTAAATTTGTCGAAACTATAATACTTTTGCCCTTATAAAGAGAAGTAATATTATTGCTTGCAATGAGATCTAAATTATTTCTCTCTCTTAATATCTGTTATGGTTAAGGCAGGAAATTTCGATCTGGATGAATTGGCGTGATAAATTTATAGAAAAACCTGAATGTTTTCCAAAATAATCAATAAAAATAGGTGAATAATTGATTAATAATTTTAATAAATTTTCACATCGTAAGGAGGATGGGCAATCAATGTGGTTAGTGTGAGTGTAATAATGGGAAGACTAGCTTGCAGGAGAAAGAGATAGTAGTTGTATTATATGATTTAATTGTAAGTTAGAGAATAAAGAGATAAAAAATAGCAATCATCAGTCGAGAGGATCAATAAAAAGTAATAAGCAGACTGGCGAACCAAATCAATTTAGCAAAGAATAGGATAAGAGGCTCATAAATAAACAGGTTTCATTAACCAGTTCAAAAAAATAGGAGTAGGGAAAATTTAATGAACTGTGTAATGACAATTCAAACTCAATCAAAGCTGCAATCAAAATATAGAGCAGATATAGAGGGTATTTAATTCGTAAAAGGAAATAATAAAATAAATTGAAGATTGTTTAAAAAAATGCAATACAAGGAGCAAATAAAAACTATATGCAGGAAAATTTTGAAGTTATAAATCTACCTACTCAGAGGAATGATGCTTCGTTAGAAGTGAGAGGCCCTTATCAGTTTAAGAGTGGGGCAATTTATGAAGGTTAGTGGAAGGGAAATTTGAGGGAAGGGGTAGGCACTTAAATTTGGAGTGACGGAGCTAAGTATGTTGGGGAATGGAAAAATAACAGGGCTTGTGGCAAGGGTGTCTTCTATCATGTTGATGGAGACGTCTTTGAAGGGGAATGGGATTTAGACAAGGCTAACGGAAAAGGGATATATAAGCATTCAAATGGATCAAAATATGAAGGAGAATGGAAGGATGATCTTCAACATGGGCAAGGGAAAGAAGTGTGGAATGATGGATCAAAATATTAAGGACAATATAATCAAGGGAAAAAGCAAGGTCATGGGAAATATGAATGGCCTGATGGCTCCTATTATGAAGGAGAATGGTAGAATAACAAAATAAATGGCAGAGGTGTGTATTGTTGGGCTGATGGTCGAGGATACAATGGTTAATGGTAGAATAATTGCATGCATGGTTATGGAGTGTATACTTGGAAGGATGGTAGGAAATATGAAGGAGAGTATAAGAATGATAAAAAGGATGGACATGGAATTTATTATTGGGCTGATGGGAAGAAATACGATGGAATGTGGAGTGATGGAAAATAACATGGTTAAGGTTTGTTTGTATTTGCAGACGGGACTTAGAAACATGGGATATGGAAGGAAGGCAAGCGAATAAAGTGGCTAGAGATAGCACCTTGAAGAGAACATTTAAGAAATAATGAAATTTATATATATATACTTAAATAGTTTATCAAAAATTGAAATCTTTTTTTAATTTAAATAAATAATAAATGGGCAAAAAGGAAACAAAGGATAAGAAGCCAGCATAATTCAAGTAAGTAAATGATTGATATCTTTCTTTAGAAAGATTTATGAGTTGTTGTCTAAATACACTCAAGTCATCATCGTTGGATTAGCAAATGTCGGATCAAAATAAGTGTAAGACATTAGAAGAATTTTGGCTAAGAAAAATGCCCTCTTAGTTATTGGCAAGAATGTAAAGATGTCCTTTTAAATATTCTAGACTCTCTTCAAAAAAGTCTTGGCTACAAGAGTTTAAGAATTACCAGATACCCATGAATATTATGAAGAATTGAAGAAATTCGGCAATGCAATCAAAGAATTAGATTCCTTGAAAAACTAAGTTGCAGGCAAAGTCGGATTCATCTTTACAGATACTCCAGTCTTTGATCTCAAGCCAATTATCGAGGAAAATAAAGTTGAAACCCCAGCAAGAGTTGGTGCCACCGCTCCAATTGATGTTGTTATTCCACCTGGCCCAACAGGTATGGACCCAGCTTCAATTCAATTCTTCCATGCACTCTAAATTCCAACCAAAATTGAAAAGGGTTAAATCTAAATCACCAAAGATTTTGTTGTCTTGAAAACAGGCTAAAAGGTTGGTTAATCTTAAGCTGTCTTATTGTAGAAATTAGGAAAGAAGCCATTTTTATATGGGTAATAAATAAATTCTATTTTTAGTATGGAAGTTCTTTCCTGTTACGATAACGGATCAATTTTGAACAAATAATAAGTATCAGTCAACTTGAATGACATCGTTGCTAAATTCCAACAGAATGTCTAAAATATTTCAGCTATTTCTTTGTTTAATGGTAAGATTCATTTTAACTACCAATTTAGGTTGGGTCAATGAAGCCTCAGCTCCATATGTGTTGGCAAATGCATTCAAAGACTTAGCAGCTATCGGTTTATAAAGTGGATTCATCTTTGATCAAATTAAATAATCAAATGCACCAGTTGCTGCTGCTCCAGTGGCTGCTAAAGTTGAATAAAAACCAGCTGCTTAATAAGCCCCAGCTAAAGTTGAAGAACCAGAAGAGGATGTTGATATGGGAGGATTGTTTGATTGATCATGAAAACAATAGTATATTAATAATACATACAAATAACATACAATAATAGGGTCATATATTATCATCTAAAATCATAGTAAATAGGCAAAATTATATATATTGTCCTGGATTATTATAGCATAATATCATCCAAACAGGGAATTTGGAATCGTAATAATTCATATTAATTAAATAAATAAATACATTTTTTTAAATTGTTTTTAAATCGAAAATTTGTTATCTTTTAGTCATCGAGAGTTATATTAAGACGTGTAAGTTGTTGATTCTGCTAAATAACGATAGAATTCATCCGAAATTTTGGGCAGTCTTAAGCCAGAGGGGCTTTTTAAATCTTTTTCCTATATTTAAATTAATTTTTTTAACTTTTATTTCCTCAATGCCTTCGGAGAACACTTAGGTAACTTAACCCTATTTTAATACTAAAATTACGATTATATTATCTCAATATCACTTGACATTATATTTTTTTTTAGATTTCTAAAAAATCAAAACATATTAAGAAAAACAGGACAGATGTTCATGAATATACTGAGGAAAAGAAGAAGGAAATTGAAAAAGTGATCTTTTGTTATGTATTTTAATAGGAATACTCACAAATAAAAAAAAGCCACTAATTACAGGAGTCCTATGAACCAAAGATCTAGAATGTGGTCAGCACAGTGATCCTGAAAATGAAGACCAAGACAGGAGAAGATATTGATAAACTGGATTTGGACAATCTGGCTCACACATCTCAAAATTGTGAATACAAAAAAAGTAGATATTCATTTAAATTATCTAGGTCGATTTCCTGCTCTGATTCAGAGAATAAAAGAACCCAAGTCAACTGCCCTGATATTTGAAGCTGGTAAGATGGTGATAACAGGTACCAAAGGTTAGAGTGAGGCAGAAGAAGCTGCTAATAAAGTTTGAAAAAAGCATTTTATTTAAAGTTTAAAAAACAGATAGAGAAGAACAACAGGATTAGTATACAAATAGGCGATATATAAACAAGTAACATAGTAGCCAACAGCCAATTGCCTTATGAAGTAAATCTGATGAAAATAAATGATGACAGAAGTTTACAAGGATCTATCAGCTATGATGTACACATTCTAATTAATCTCCCTTAGCGATCAGCATTCCCTGGATTGATTTATAAGATGTAAAATCCTAAACTTGCTGCCCTCATCTTCTATTCAGGAAAGATAGTCTTCACTGGGGCAAAAAATGAAACTTAAATCAAAGATGCCTATTGTCAATTATTCAATATTCTCAAAAAACACTAATAAGAAAAAAACAATAAATGAAAGATAAGAATTATTGAATATTTTTGTGTTGTTTACATAACTACGTCTTTATTATTTTAGTAATATTCACTATAAAGATCATTCCACCTATATCTTTATAAATTTTTCAGTTAAATTCATTTCTATATTTGGTTATATACATTAATAAATAGTAGATATACATGAATAAGTATAGCAAAAGTCTACTGTTCAATCAAACATAAGAATGATCATCTTCAATCTAGAATCAAAGCATCAAACCACTAAATTCTGTATCTGATTAAAATTACACATAAATTTTGAGAATGCTCTAGGTTATAGTATTATTTAATTATTATAAATGATAAATCTTAGAAAAATTTAATCCAAAATAAGGGAATAGTAACACCATTGGCCAAATAGATACTTATTATTTGCAATGTTGCTTTATAATTTACTATTATTAAATTCAATGAAAAATTCTTAAGGATAAAATAAACCATTAAATAGTAAAAAGAGCAAGCACTCGTTGACATTGAATTAAGAAACAAACAAATCTTCAAATTAAACTAGGAAATCATCAATTTAAGTGGACAATTTTCATTCATGGATAATATTTATTTTCAACTCAATAAGGCTCTCCGAAAAACATAGATACACAAAAAATATCATAAGATATAATAATTTTATCTTTGAATTTTATTATTTAATAATAGAATCTAATTATTAAATCAATAAATCAAATAGCTTTTAAATTATATCAATTATTTAAATTAGTTAAATGAATCCTGCTTAGCCATTTGATAATTGAGTAGATAAGGTTCGTTGTAATTTTTGTAATAATTGTTTAATGTAACGAATTAATTTTAGAATCCAGAGTAGGAAAAGATAATAGCAAGTTCTCATCTTTCTCTACAACCCGCTTAATTAACTATCTCTTTATGGCACAGAAAATAGTGATACTTTTCCAATTTATAATGGAATTATCAGAAATGCCATCAACTTATGGCTAAATTTAGTGGCATATGAATCTTTAATTCTACCAAATCTAGAAGAGTAAACAAGGGAGTTATTAGGCCAACTTAATAAAATCATATAAGCCATACAATTTCTTATTCTTATTGCCTAACTCCAAACTATAATTAACAAAATTGTTTAATGAAACAAGATAAAAACCAACTTGTTTCAAAGGATTAAAAACAATTGGGTTTTGATTTTGAAAACATTCCTTTATTCTTTGAAAGTTTATGAATACAGCAAGTTCCATCTGAAAATTATGCCTTTTCAAAATTATGAAATTTTGATTTGGGGTAACCGAGAGATATCAAAATCAATTTTAATTGTATAGAGAAGATTTATTTGATTTTAATATGACCGGGGTAATTATTTTAGCGCTATTTAAGCTCAGAAATAATAAATCTTTATAATATTAAAAATATGTCTAAAAATTTAAACACCATCAGTTAACAAGATTCAGGATTAAACATTTCGTCATAGGAACAGATCGTTCAAAGCTTTGATGAAATTAATAGACAGAGCTATTCTTAAAATGATAGGGAAATGTGTAAATCCTCTGTACTCCAAACTTAACTTGTACCTATGACACTTCGAGAGTTCCTTTTAAAAGAAGAAATCATAATAAATAATAATCCTTTCTGTGAGCCAGCACCAAAATCTGTAACTAAAGAGCTACCGAAAAGAAGCCCAGCGCCAATCTTGTTTTCAAGTACTATATCTAATATAATAATAGATTAATTTATAAGAAAAGCAGAGATCAACAAACTTCTCTGTTCCTGATATTTAAAAGAGTCAAAAATTTAAGAATCACATCCTTGAATTAAATCAATTTGTTCATTTAATTCGATTATAAGTTTTATCTATAACTTCCATCTTATGCAAAGAAGTATTTTGCGTGAAATTATGTTAACTAATGGGGAATATATGTAATGTACATCCTATTTGAAATTGTCATTTGATTTAAGAATTAGGTAAATGTTATTAGATTGTCTATTGATTCAAAAGGGGATTAAAATTTTAAGTACAGAGATTTAAGAAGTATTCTTAATCGTTGCTTTGCCTACTTTGTGAATAATTAATATATATTATTTATTAATTACATATATAATCACTTTAATTAATCTTTGAGTCTTTACTCTAAGATCAATAATTATTCCTAAGTAATACAAGAGAGATATTTACATAGGTTGAATCAATTTGTGAGAATTATTTTTCCATTTCTTGGGCCTTTTCATAAAATTAATTGATTATTTTAGTTTGAATTGTTTCAAGATCAAACTTGATAGAATCAACAGTTGATTTATCTTTAAACAGCTTCTAATTTTATTCATCCAACTGTTGACCTAATTTATCGACCTATTAAATCTTTTCTTTGGAATAGCATTGAATAAATTATTTCATATATATTAATAATTTAATAAATATTCATGAGATTTATGAAAATAGTTGATCATAAGAATATTATTGCAAGAAAGTGTTCTTGGCATTCGCTCTTTAGAACTCCAAAAAAATAACTACTGATGATAAGTATTAAGGGAGATAAAGTGTCACCATTCAGTTATATGATTGAAACACTAATACAGAAATCAATTTGACTTAATAATGTTAAAATTATTAGAATTTTGAATATAAATTAAGTGAAATGGAATTCAAGTTTCTAATTTTTTGGATTGATTTCAATTAACTGTTATCTAAATAGGTATTTTAGTCTTGTTATTTAATAATTATTATTATTAATATTAAATAATAAATGGCATCATCATTATTAGAAAAACTATTCTAAAATAATCCTCATCTCAATGAAATTTAAAAAGATCAAATCTAAGAGACTTTATAATACTTAGAGAAACATAAAATATCCCTTTTGTTTGAAGTAACATATCAGATTATATATAAGGAATTATTGTCATAATTAATATTTGAAATGAGCAATCAGCCAAGAAAGACCTTGTTGGATGCACTTAAAAATCATAAAAATTAGTAATTCTTCGATACAACAGATTATGAAGTAATATTTGAACACTTTGATACTTTTAATGATAAAACTGTCAAGATAAATTCCATCATATAGGGATTATAAATAATTGGAATTACAAAATCAGAAGAGGAATTAAATCAAAAATACATAGCAATATTAAAAAAAGGGTTTGTCAATAAAAATGAATTTGTTGATATTCTCAAAGGTGAATATAGTTCAAGATGAAATTGGAATCATTTTTATTATAATGTTGAAATTGTTAAATTCTCATTATGGATAGACTTAATTGATCCAAGATCCTTATTCTTAAATTCATTCGTGCCGCTTAAGGGTTTAAGTGATTTTATAATGCCTCATGAAAGAAAAAGTTAGTTTACAAAAGTCAATTAGTACTATGTTATGCTTGCTACCTATTGTTAAGCCCTTGAATTTCTTTTTTCAAAGCTTTAAGTGCTGCTTTAGTTTTTTTAGAAAACTTCTTCGCGTTTTTATTTTATTTCATTATCTTACACATTTTCATTTTTTTATTTATTGAAGCCTCATGAATAAATATAAATCTGAATAATTTGGATTATATTAGAAAATTTTAATTATAATATTAACTTATCAAAAATGGCTATGATGGTTCCCCCCCAGATGAATCCTAAATATAAAACTTCACTGTGTAAGCATTGGACAACAACAGGGAATTGCAGTATTGGATCAAGATGTCATTTTGCTCATGGTGAAAGGGAATTGCGTAATCCAAACGATGTATAAGATATATTCATGCATTTATTTAGCCATTGCCATAATTACCAAGCCAAAATTTATAGGATCCAAAGCTTCTATAAGTTTACTTTTCTGGCAGTTTGGGAATTCACAATTATAAAACCACATTATGCAAATATGCCAGCAATAATACGTGCAGATATTAGGAAATGTGTCATTATGCACATTCTCCAGAAGAGATGATACCATTTGAGAAGGTTAGAAATGTTACTACGCAAGTCCTGATTTCAAATTATGTTTCTCTGATCAAGAGTCATTATTTATTAAATAGTCATTCGATTCCAGGATTTAACATCAATTAAGAATAAGTTGAAGTATACTTACAGTATAAATGATTTAGTTAGCACTTCAAATGGAATTCCAAAAATTGATAGTGGCTTAATAGTTAAAGTTTACTTTAAATCATCTTGATAAGATGGATTATACTCAATCGGAATTGAGATTGAAACTAAATACGGCTCATGAATTATTGAATGCCAACAACTTTCCAGGTTGTAGTTAAACAATCAGTGATATAATCAATAGACCAAATGTACCGATAGATGAGAAGAAGCATTATCAAGATATCCTTTACGAAAGTGCTTAGGAAGGTTTTAAGATTGTGGAAGGGTATTAAAAATAGATATTTGAATTTTAATGCGAATAAGCGTAGCAGTTACAGGAGACATATTAAAAGAGTGAGAATCCTTAAACTTTGTTTGGTAATGCACCAACTCTTCCTACCACAAGCATTCCAGGATATCGGTTTTGATAAATAAATATTTTAAATATGATTTCATAATAACCATCGAATATATTAAACCATTCGGATATTATCGATGAGGCTGAGTAATTAACTTAGAATAACTCAATCATTTAACAAATGTTCAAAGAACTAAGTTTATCTACCGAATATCCTGATTTTTCAAGTGTGGATTATTGGAACAATAGATACTCTAAGCAGAAGGACAAATTTTTTGAATGGCTGCAAACATATTCTACACTATAGCCTTTCATTCATAATTGTTTATTTGGCAGATTTGATATCAGTTAGATATTGTATGTTGGTTGCGGGAATTCGTAATTATAAGATTACATGCAATTAGATGGTATCAAAAATATTCGATGCGTCGATTTTAGCGATGTTTTAATNTAAATCTGAATAATTTGGATTATATTAGAAAATTTTAATTATAATATTAACTTATCAAAAATGGCTATGATGGTTCCCCCCCAGATGAATCCTAAATATAAAACTTCACTGTGTAAGCATTGGACAACAACAGGGAATTGCAGTATTGGATCAAGATGTCATTTTGCTCATGGTGAAAGGGAATTGCGTAATCCAAACGATGTATAAGATATATTCATGCATTTATTTAGCCATTGCCATAATTACCAAGCCAAAATTTATAGGATCCAAAGCTTCTATAAGTTTACTTTTCTGGCAGTTTGGGAATTCACAATTATAAAACCACATTATGCAAATATGCCAGCAATAATACGTGCAGATATTAGGAAATGTGTCATTATGCACATTCTCCAGAAGAGATGATACCATTTGAGAAGGTTAGAAATGTTACTACGCAAGTCCTGATTTCAAATTATGTTTCTCTGATCAAGAGTCATTATTTATTAAATAGTCATTCGATTCCAGGATTTAACATCAATTAAGAATAAGTTGAAGTATACTTACAGTATAAATGATTTAGTTAGCACTTCAAATGGAATTCCAAAAATTGATAGTGGCTTAATAGTTAAAGTTTACTTTAAATCATCTTGATAAGATGGATTATACTCAATCGGAATTGAGATTGAAACTAAATACGGCTCATGAATTATTGAATGCCAACAACTTTCCAGGTTGTAGTTAAACAATCAGTGATATAATCAATAGACCAAATGTACCGATAGATGAGAAGAAGCATTATCAAGATATCCTTTACGAAAGTGCTTAGGAAGGTTTTAAGATTGTGGAAGGGTATTAAAAATAGATATTTGAATTTTAATGCGAATAAGCGTAGCAGTTACAGGAGACATATTAAAAGAGTGAGAATCCTTAAACTTTGTTTGGTAATGCACCAACTCTTCCTACCACAAGCATTCCAGGATATCGGTTTTGATAAATAAATATTTTAAATATGATTTCATAATAACCATCGAATATATTAAACCATTCGGATATTATCGATGAGGCTGAGTAATTAACTTAGAATAACTCAATCATTTAACAAATGTTCAAAGAACTAAGTTTATCTACCGAATATCCTGATTTTTCAAGTGTGGATTATTGGAACAATAGATACTCTAAGCAGAAGGACAAATTTTTTGAATGGCTGCAAACATATTCTACACTATAGCCTTTCATTCATAATTGTTTATTTGGCAGATTTGATATCAGTTAGATATTGTATGTTGGTTGCGGGAATTCGTAATTATAAGATTACATGCAATTAGATGGTATCAAAAATATTCGATGCGTCGATTTTAGCGATGTTTTAATCAGGTAGAAACAACAACAAACAATTCCTTATTATTTGATGGATGTCACAACGAAAATCGATTTTGAAGATGAAGAGTTTGATTTTATAATTGATAAATGCCTTTTAGATAGTTTGATGAGTGGATCCTCTTTTTTCGAAAGGGTTTCAAAATACTTGAGTGAATGTTACAGAATCTTGAAACCTAATGGCACATTTATGATTATATCATATGGGCATCCAGACATCAGAACAATATATTTAAAGCTCTTCAAAATTTAAATCATTCCAATTGAAAAAACTAAAATAGAATAATTCAATGATATTGAGCACCATTATATATATATGTGTACTAAGTGATTAAAATATTTCTCATGTATATTTATTTAAAAATTTTGATATGAATCCTGTTTTGTTTGGATAAAAATTTTGTTCTGTTTAACTCATTTATCTGCTTTTCGATAACAATTGCTGATTTAATAATTCATTCTCTTTTAAATACTTGGTGTTTAGCATCATCAAATAAACTTCATTTTTTTCTGATTCTATTAACTATTGAGTCAATTTATCTATCCTTATTTTAAATTGCTCTTTTTCTTCATAATATTGTTGATTTAGTAATTCCAATTCTTAAATGTATTTAAGGGAAATCTATTCATTCTAGAATTGAATTATTTCTTCTTTCTGAGTATTAATGAGAGTTAGCAATTCTTTTTTTAAATTTTATAATTCTAATTGCACATATTTAATCAGAGCACTAAAAGTTTCAGCCAATTGTTTTTTGATAGAATCAAACCTCATTGCTTTTTCATCTACAACTGATTTCATCACATTTAATTGTTATTACAGTTTTCTATACTCAAAATCCTTTAACTTTAATTCCAACTAAATTTGCAAATTCATTAATTTTATATTATAAACTCATTATTTTATTCTCAAACTTTCAAAAAGGATCCTCCAAAACATCTCTACTTTTTTCTATTATGAAATTTCAATTTATAAATGTAATCAATATATAACTCATTCATTTAATCTATCTAGAATATCTTAGAGCAATTAAGATGTCCATCTAGCTTACTTGGGAATTTAATTTAGCAAACCTAATTTAGATTCAATGCTTTCCAATTCCAAATGAGGTTTAAATCTCTGCATGGCTGAAGTTCCTATTGATAATTTATGATGTTCCTCCTTCATTCCTAATTAACCTCTAAGTTTATTTATTTCATATCTTTCAACCTTGATCTTTTACTTTAATATATATTTATACATTATCACGCATCCTTTCTATGGCTTTCAACTAATTTTATTGTAACAAGTGTTTTATTGAATCTGTCATATAAATTAAATCATCCATCAAGGATAAATCAAATCTCTCAATCACTCGCTATTCACCATTAATAAATTAAACATCTCTTATACAGCAAAGACGGGAAATCTCTGAGAATTCATATAATTCCTCTGTTTGAGGGTTTATTAAGATTGGATAAAGATTTTTCCTCATTCCAATCAAATTTTTTACAACTTGAAACAATTTTCTTGAATTGTTCAAATAATCCTAACTCAAAATCAATTTGTACTTTCAATAAATGGAGATGATGAATCAGATTATATACTTATTCAGTAAACTTTTTATATTATTAGGCTAAGGGGTTACGGACAGTTTCTAGCAAACTAACCTTCTTACGCTTCTCTCCTTATTCCTTTAAAGACTTGAATCTTTGTAATGTAGTTTGACTCTCAGTTTAAAATAGCTGCACTTCCTCTTTAATTTTTTTGATTGTCGCATCATCTTCCATGGGAGACCTGAAAATTCTCACAGAATTTAAATGATCTAAATAATCTTATAAACCATGATCATTTTTGAGTTATGTTCCAGGGATGATGGTTGTTTTTTATTTTTCCTTTAGATTTCTTTCAAAACCTGATTCTCCTTAATGGGTCAAATTTATATGTGGAGTTGATTAGGATACCAATTTCCTTACTGGAACAACAGAGTGAAATCGCTTGGTTGATCTCCTAGTTTGATCCCTATGATTGAATGTCAATGTCTCTTTGCGTTTAAACATAGGAGAGATTACACTATTCTTTAAAATACGACTCATATAAATATATTAATTTATGGATAGCAAAAAGGAGATTAAAGAATAAGAGAAATCTAAGCCCATTGAAAAATCAAAATCTTTAATGCCCATGCTAGATAAGGATGATATAGAGACTTTGAAATCTCAATTGTAGAAATACGAATATTTGAAATAGAAATATAATTTGTGATTATAAATCATTATACAAGAATTGAACATCATATTTTATTAATTTTAAATATTTCATTTCTTTCATACTTAATTAAATAGTTCTCCTTTTGCTAATTTAAGTCCTTCTTCTTTTCCTTATTACAGTCTTTTCATTGAAATGATTGTAGTCAAAATAATGAAAGTTCTTTTTAAACTGCTTGTCTGGCTAGGCTTGGAATAGAGTTAAATTTCAGCCTTTAGATTGAGTCAAATTCAGAAGAGAAATCCTTTTGCTGTTTGTTATTTAGACTGAGAACTAATTTAATTCTTTTGATTTATCCAAATTTTTTATACAATTAATATGAATTATTGATACTGCTTGTTACTTAAAAATATCATTTATACTCATTTGAATTCATTCAAAATCTACATTGTTAATGTTTCAAGAATTTCTTTCTCTAAATTCCTTTTTGATAAATCTAAAAAGCAAATAATCATTAAATATTTGTGCATTTATTGGAATTTTCTTTATTTTGATGCTTAAATAATCGAACAGCCATTTCTTTAACTATTAGAAATAAGGTAACTTGAAACTATAATAATAATGCCCTTTTTTGAATAGATTTTACTTCATATTAATTTATAACTGTTTAAGACTACTAAATAAATAACAAATTAATATTGATAATTTTGGATTTGAATTCCAACACCTTTTTTTGCAAATAATCTTTTAATCAATTGCACTTAATTAAATACAAATGAATTTCTATTAAGCCTTTTTCAAAATTTGATCTGATTTGAAATCCAGAACGAGATGGCAACATTTCAATTTTCGTTTCGAAAATCTAAGGCAATTTATCGACTCTAATCTAGTTAAAAGTTCTATTTTTTAAAGAGATGAAACTTTCAATTTATATTAAGATATGAAAAGGTTGAAAATGACAATTAAAATAATTATTAGGTATATCTTTTTAAATTTAATTTAATCAGATCATCTAGACTAACTAAATTCTACTTATATTGTCTTGTTATTGTAATCATTTGGTATAAAAATTTCTTATAATTTTTTATTCCATTCAGATGAAGCATATCTGATATTTTTAGATGGCACAAGTAAGCAACAATCTTAAGGTGATCCTTTGCTAAGATATAAATAATTTAATACTGAATTCCATGTTAAACTGCCTTAATATAAAGGTCACCTACACTATCCTTTAATTACATCTAGAACGTTGAACTTAGATTTGTATTATAACTTTTGACATTTAAATTTATTTTCGTATCATAAAATTTTAGGATATCTAAATCCATTTCCATTTCAACCAATTTATTTTGTTATGTTTTAAATTCTTTATCTTATTACGCTATTTTCTACTTTGACATATCATAATTTTAAATTAATTAATTATAATTTTGAGTTAGTTCTTAGATTTTTTAATTATATTCTTTCTCTTCATTTTTCTTTTGGTCTAATTCATTTTAAAGTATGAAAATAATTTGCTCCTTTTCAATAACATCCAAATTTTTCTCTTTCGATTCTATTACTTTATTTAATTATTCTATTTCATTATTTTTATCTAGCATTTCTTATTTTGCTTGTGTGATTTTTTCTTTTAATATTTACATTTCCTAATTTTACTTATCAATTTGTTGCACATAATCATTCATTTAAGAAGCTTGAGTTTATATCATTTATTTTAGGTTAGCAATCAACTGATTCTTCATTTAAACATCGATTGTTAAACTTTCTATTGTCTTTTTATTCATTTCAGCATTATTTGAAAATTCCTTATTTTCATTGACTTTTTGTTGCATTTATGTTGCTAATTTTTTTTCAAGGTTTATCATTTCCTTTTTTTATTATTGGTTTGCTAGTTTCAATTTTACATATTTATCTTCAATTGATTTAATTAATTAAAGGTTTCTTTTAGCAACATTATTATCTTTTAAAATAGAATTAGATCTAATATCTCTTTTAGCTTCAATTTAATCCTCATTACTTATTTTATAACTACTGCTTCGTTATTTTGTTATTTATGTTACTTCTATTATTTATAAAGGGTTAGGCCTTAATTATTGAATTAACCGATTGGATGTTTCGATAACAAGCAGATCTGAAAAGATTTATTATTTTTTTCTACTCATTTCTTCTTAATTATTTTTGACTTCTTCATAGTCCTTTTTTAATTTAGGTAGTTGCTTAACTACTGTCTTATATATCTGAAATTTTTAATATCCCTGAACTATCTCTTCTAGCTACTAAATCCTACTAATTTGAACTTGTTTCTATTGCAGCAATTCTTTATTTTAATTCTTTCATATATTGGAAAATAATTACTTATAATGTATTTATATTTCTTGCTTTTATGATTTCAGCAAGCTCGTTGATTTTAGATGTCAGTTTATCAATCTCCTATTTATTTTCGTAATTGGTGCTTTTTTTAATAAAATTAATTTATCTTGTCATTCTATTAAAAGGTTAATCTCCCTAGGTTGCTAAAATATTGAAATTTAAATTATTTTCCATTCTTTGAATCAAATCTTCATAAATTTTAATGTCATTCTATTTTAATTCTAGTTATTTACTTATTGTTATTTTAACCTTGTATTTAATTTTTTATTTTCCTCTTGTAGAATGTTATTCTATCCCTTTTGGGCATTCAGCTAATTTCTAAGTTCTTCTTGATCAGGAAGGCTTACCATGCTGGTTTTATGATGCAAAATTTAGTTAAAAAATCTAAATACCTAATATCACTATACAACCTCTGTTAAGTAAGACTCTTCCTTGAAAAGTAAGGAGAAGTTAAAGTTTGGGACTTTTAATTTTCATCACTCATATGTCTTAATTTTATAAAATTTATTTATAAAACAAAAAATTTACAATTCTTCTATTTAAAAGAAGGAAAATATATTGTTTAACAGAAGATTTGATTATCTTTATTAATTAATCCTCAAATGTAGAGCTAATATTATATATCATTATTTGCAAGAATTTATCTTAAAGGTTAGCGAAAGAAAGCTTAGAAAATAAAGCTTTATTTAATAATGTTAACTAATATTCAGATTTCCAAAATCCTGAATTAGAATTTGAATTGTTTTATGATATTTTTCTTTTTATATTTAAGGAAATATAATTTAAGTTTGAACTTATCCTAAATTGATAGATATTGCAATTAATCAACTTGAAACTTAAGAGACAAATACTATTATCATTTATTTGTTTACTATTTTAGGAATTACACCATTATATCTTCTTTTGTGCTCCCACAAGATATGGTTCAGATACTACCACAACTTTCCTTTTTGCAAATATTCATATAGAATTTACCAATTAATTTAGATATTTTAATAAATAATTTATTTAGCTGTCTATTAATTAGGTATTGTCCTTTAATTAACAATACATTTTTATCACATCATAATAATTATTATGCATTATTTTTATATTTTAATTTGTTCTGATGAAGAAAATAGACAAAGAGTTTATCAGCATATTTCCTGCCAGTTTATCCAGTCTATAGCTGGCCTGTCTTCTGGGCGTAGTTTGATTCTTTGGATGGTTCCTTGGGTAACCTGGGTTAATTCAAAGCACACAATTTCTCCAAGTGTAGAGTATGGTAGAGTTAATTAAAAAGTGGATTCTCGAAGCTTTGAATTGATAAAAAAAACTCACTAGAAAAGTTACTCAATAAAATAAATAGAACCTTCGACCACATCTAGTATGAAAACTCAGAAGTAAAGGTGAAATAATCGAAGAACCATAACTAAATGCCAATATTGTCCTAAAGGCCCTTATTGAAATTATTCATCCCATAATCCCATAATCCCATAATCCCATATATACCAGTTCCATTAAAATTAAATTAAAAAGGTACAGCAGTAGAAGAGCTAACAATATAAAAACAGGGAAGCTCAAACTTTACTGAGATGGGAGATATTCTAAACCCTCAAGGTGGTCCTAAATTACCAATTTAGTAATTCAACAATATATAGAATAGCCGTGTTGCAGAAACACATAAACTATGAATAGTCTAATGAAATGCGAGTTCTGTGAAACCTAATACATTGAAAGTAGCCAAATAAGCTAATCCACATATAATATCCCTATACTACCTATGGGATAGTTATTCCTCCTAAAGGATTATTAAGTTTCATCAATTTTGCTGGATCACAGATCACCTCTTTTTCTGAATAAAATGTTTAAGTCTCTTCATTTTAATACAATATTATCAAAATTTTGAAATTTAAGTTCAATTTAACAATACACTGAGTTATTACTGTAACTCTCCATGGTTATAGATAAATAAGTTCAAATTGGATAATTTCTTAGTCAAATTTACACTTATGAATGGGTTTAAGATCAAACCTGCAGCGAATAATAAGTTGAATAATTGAAATATAATAATTAATTTTATAAAGGAGTTACTTTTAAGTAATAATAATTATTAGGGATATCTTTTTAAATTTAATTTAATCAGATCATCTAGAATAACTAAATTCTACTTATATTGTCTTGTTATTGTAATCATTTGGTATAAAAATTTCTTATAATTTTTTATTCCATTCAGATAAAGCAAATCTTAAATTTTTAGATGGCACAAGTAAACAACAATCTTAAGGTGATCCTTTGCTAAGATATAAATAATTTAATACTGAATTCCTTGTTAAAGTGCCAGAATATAAAGGTCAAATATACTATCCTTTAATTACATCTAGAACTTTGAACTTAGATTTGTACTATAACTTTTGACATCTAAAGTTATATTCGTATCCAAAAATTTTAGGATATCTAATTCCATTTCTATTTCAATCAATTTATTTTGTTATGTTTTAAATTCTTTATCTTATTACGCTATTTTCTACTTTGATATATCATAATTTTAAACTAATTAATTATAATTTTGAGTTAATTCTTAGATTTACTAATTCTATTATTGAAAATTAATTTATATCTTCTCTAATTCCTTTTTAAGATCAATAATAATCTGATCTTTTTCTAGATTTATGTAACTTTAAATTTCATTCTGTGATTATAACTCTTATATGATCTGATTTTAATTATCTTTTTCATAATTTAACTTTCTTAGCTCCTCCTTTAATTCTTCATTCTCTTAATTTTATTAAAATAAGCTGGCTTTAGCTTACTCGATTTCTTCATTAGTAATCTATAAATTGTTATTTTTAGATTCTAATTCTTATTTTAATTTTTCTATTTCATCATTTTTATCTGTTATTTCTTAATTTGCTAGTGAGATATTTTCATTTAATTATTAAAGGTTATAATTTTACTTTTCAATTTGTAACTTTTAATCTTTCAATTAAGTTTCTTGTTTTTAATTATTTTAATTTAGAACACCAATCTGATTTAAAGCAACTGCTTTTTCTTTTTGAACGTTTTCATTCAAAATTTTAATATGCTTTTTCTGCTCTTCAATTTATTCTTTCAGTTCATCCCTCTAAACTTCTTGTATTTTGATGATTTCATTTAATTATTTGATATCATCATCCTTCTACATTATTTGATTAGCTAGAATAACACTATTTCCTAATTGTGATAATTGATTTTGGACATCTATTTATGAGTCTTGAATTTCATCAACTTTTACTTCTTCCTCTCCAGGTGTTTTTTCCTAATTATGAAGTTTCAAATTCTAAATAATGATATGTAAGACTTACTTGAAGCGGTCGGATTCGATGGGTTCTTGCGCCACCAGTTTATACTCTATTTTCTGACAAAGGTTACTATTGTGCTTAAATTTCATTAGCAGATTATCTTTTCAATTGATGAAATAATATATTTGCTTTAGCCTAAAAATCGAATGGTTTAAAGGGTTTCTTAAAAATAATTCTATATATTTACTTTATAAATATCATTTCCAAACATTATGTTTTTTAGCCCATCTTAATTATTTGGGGTTGAAAATTACAATTTGTTATGTTCTGAATCAAACTCAGAGCTTGTTTTAAATTTATATTGATGTTATGACTTACGTCTAATTATTATTATTATTCTATATACTGCAAAATTTATTGATGTGTTTCCTTGTTCCGGTAAGGAGTATTACATGACAGCGAGCTGTAAACGATATTTGTGCTCATAACTTAAATTTAATATTAATGAAAGAGATAACATAATTTATGATTCTTAAATTGATAAGCTAATTATAATGTTTATTAAAAGGTAGCTCTTAATCAAAAGATAACTTAAAATTGCTCAAGTAATTAAGTAAAATTATCTGTAAATATGGTGAACACAATAAATTTAAGAAAACAATGGTAAATCTGTGAATGATACCATAGTAGACAATGAATATTAAAACTTTTAAAAATGTTTTTATCTGAAAACTTCCAAAATACTTGAAAAGCCGAATAGTATTGAAAGTAACTGCTACAAAATTACATAAAACAATATATATATTAATTTTTAGATACAGTAAGGCTTCAATATAATGAGATAGTTTGAGAATATCAATAGATCAATTTTCAAAAGTTTTATGGTCAAACTTGAGTAGTTAGAGCATAATTTGGGCATCAGATGAAAATATTTATTTGCTTGAATTTATGAATTCTAACAGACTATTATCATAAAATTAAATTAAAAGCAACAGGTATGGATTTGAAAAGATTGTTTAAAAGTAATATCTAGAACAATTTAGAGGTATAATATATAGATATAATGACGAAGAATCAAAAAAAACGATTTCTCAGTTTGTTATCACAACTTTAATTAAATTCACATTTATTAATATAAAATATTTTTAGGTGAAAATAATAAAGAATGAAAAATTGTATTCAATTTCTGGAATTGCAGCTGAAAAATCATTATGGCAAATTTAATCATGTCTATGACCAAAATTTGAATTAATAATTGGGTTTTTAAAACTAAATAGGTTGGATATATTTAATAGTCGTAAATCTGAATAAAAAATTTCATCATTATTATTTCTATTGCTTAGATTACTAACTACAAAATACATTATTATTATCATGCCCCCACAATAAATTATAAAATTCATCATAACACTCAAATAAAATTCAACCAGATCAAAGAAAAAACTTTAGATCTTAGTAGGCCTATACTTGAGGTAGCTTAATAAATAAACACTGTTTTTAAACATAGAGCAAAAGATTTTAAATAATTGACTAGAAAAGTTAGAATTGAAGGAATACTCATTATCAATCCAAAAATATCAGTTAATTAATAATCAATAGGTGTGCCAATATTTTTAAAGAGTAGGTTGATAAATAAAGGTATATTTATTAAATCGAAATAATATAAATGTTTTGTTGTTCGAAATATTAAATATATATTATAATATGGTATTAGTTTTCTAAATGCATTTTAAGGAAAAATAACATACAAGAAATTTTGCATGAAATAGATCATTTGTTTAGTTAGAAGTGGACTTTCTTTCTTGATTCTGCATCCCCTAGAGTTTGCATCTTTCGAAATTAACTATATTTTAATTCTTATTTCATAATGCTTTTTACAGATTTATTGTCTGCACTATTACTTCTATTGCTTTCGTTGTCACTCTTCTCCTCAAATTTAACTCTGTGCTCTGATAATGATTTTAATTTATTCAATTTCTTCGAATCGAAAGATTTTAAGGAATTCTTAGGTTAAAAATCGCAGAGAGGAGAGTCATTCTTTCTTCTTTTCTTCAAAGATCGTTAAGAAGTGATTGGACTTTGCTATACTTCTTCTATCTTCTTTGGTATGTCCTCTAAATTCATAACAATTTCTGCAACAAGCTAAATGTCTTTGCAGGATTATTCAGAGTGCTTGCTTCCGAAAGACTGTAGATCAGCAAATCCAGGAGTTGCAGGATCTTCACATTTATTTGGATGCACTAGTAGTTTCTCCTTTTGCGAAGGAGTCCTTAAATTGGAGTAAACATTACTCTTGTTACTTTTTTGGAGATTTCTTCGAAGACCTTAGGGACGACTTCTCTGTGTCTTCAATCTTGAGAACAATTTCTGATTTATCATCTGATTAGAGAGAACAACAATGCGAGCTTCCCATTATTTAATGTAATAATTATTATTCTCTAAATTACTTAAGGATGAATCATATATTCTAAAAAGTAAAAATATCTCACAAATTTAAAACTAATATTAAAAAGTTTGAATTAAATAAGATATCTAATCAAAAATAAAGGATATAAGATTAAATATAAATACAAAGAGATAAAATATATTGTAAAAAATTTAAATCAAAATAATTCACTTTGAAATAGTCAAATGAAATAATTTTAGATATCGTTCATGTGAAAAAATAAATCAAAATATAAATCATTGTATTAGCAAATATAAGAGAGCTGGATATGTTATTATTATTAATAATAAAATTAATCTTTGTTATAAATAATGTTGAATCTTCGAAGGTTTTTCTGTAAAAATGAAAATGAATATGTTTAGAAATAAATGCCCAAAAATTATAACCAAATATAAGATATTTTATTTGATTATTTAACTGATATTTTTTATTTATCTGTTAAAATTATTAATTATTATATATATATATTTTTGTCTAAATGGGTGCAGAATAATCTGTGGCACAAGGAATTGTTTAATCAAAGAACTTTAAGATACTGGGTTATAAGGAAAATGAAATATATGGATCATTCAAATTAATTGAATCCTAATCAAAATAATACGCTATGATTTCTAAGACTTGTTAGAGTTACGAAGAGTACACCAGTTTATGTAAGATACTCAATGAAACTAAATCGCTGAATGAAATTGATCATTTAGTAAAGTTGGTAGAGGTTGATACTCAAGAAGAAACCAATTTATGTAGTACTTATTATAAAGTCACTGCCTTATTTGAATATTATGATATTACATTAAGGCAGATCTGCAAATAGGCATCAATAAATTGCTTATTTGTTTTAAAGGGTTTGGCAGAGACTTTGAGTAATTTATACAGACACAACATAGTGCATGGAAATTTAACTCCAGATCATGTTTTAATTGAAAAGATATAGGGTGAGGTAAAATTGAATAATTGCACTCAATTAACTGGATATAATCATTATAAAAGAATTTTGTCAGGTGATACTCTATGGTATTTATCACCAGAATTGCTAACTGCTTTAGGAGGGAAGGAACTCAGACCTTAATATAATCACGAGAAGAATGAAGTATTCCAATTGGGTTTGATAGCTTTGGAGTTTTGGGGAAGTGGTAATATTCAAGAGATATATGATAAATATAATTACAGAATAAACGAAGGTATATATAATGTATATGTATGATAGATGCGATATAATCAATGATAGAGGAGTTTGGAGTGAGAAATGGATAAGTGTTGAAGAATGTAGTAAAGTAAATGTTATAGGCAGACCCGAATTGTAGACCATCCATGACTGAATTGAATTAATCCTTCACTTAACTATTTCAGATTCAGTAANTAATAATTATTATTCTCTAAATTACTTAAGGATGAATCATATATTCTAAAAAGTAAAAATATCTCACAAATTTAAAACTAATATTAAAAAGTTTGAATTAAATAAGATATCTAATCAAAAATAAAGGATATAAGATTAAATATAAATACAAAGAGATAAAATATATTGTAAAAAATTTAAATCAAAATAATTCACTTTGAAATAGTCAAATGAAATAATTTTAGATATCGTTCATGTGAAAAAATAAATCAAAATATAAATCATTGTATTAGCAAATATAAGAGAGCTGGATATGTTATTATTATTAATAATAAAATTAATCTTTGTTATAAATAATGTTGAATCTTCGAAGGTTTTTCTGTAAAAATGAAAATGAATATGTTTAGAAATAAATGCCCAAAAATTATAACCAAATATAAGATATTTTATTTGATTATTTAACTGATATTTTTTATTTATCTGTTAAAATTATTAATTATTATATATATATATTTTTGTCTAAATGGGTGCAGAATAATCTGTGGCACAAGGAATTGTTTAATCAAAGAACTTTAAGATACTGGGTTATAAGGAAAATGAAATATATGGATCATTCAAATTAATTGAATCCTAATCAAAATAATACGCTATGATTTCTAAGACTTGTTAGAGTTACGAAGAGTACACCAGTTTATGTAAGATACTCAATGAAACTAAATCGCTGAATGAAATTGATCATTTAGTAAAGTTGGTAGAGGTTGATACTCAAGAAGAAACCAATTTATGTAGTACTTATTATAAAGTCACTGCCTTATTTGAATATTATGATATTACATTAAGGCAGATCTGCAAATAGGCATCAATAAATTGCTTATTTGTTTTAAAGGGTTTGGCAGAGACTTTGAGTAATTTATACAGACACAACATAGTGCATGGAAATTTAACTCCAGATCATGTTTTAATTGAAAAGATATAGGGTGAGGTAAAATTGAATAATTGCACTCAATTAACTGGATATAATCATTATAAAAGAATTTTGTCAGGTGATACTCTATGGTATTTATCACCAGAATTGCTAACTGCTTTAGGAGGGAAGGAACTCAGACCTTAATATAATCACGAGAAGAATGAAGTATTCCAATTGGGTTTGATAGCTTTGGAGTTTTGGGGAAGTGGTAATATTCAAGAGATATATGATAAATATAATTACAGAATAAACGAAGGTATATATAATGTATATGTATGATAGATGCGATATAATCAATGATAGAGGAGTTTGGAGTGAGAAATGGATAAGTGTTGAAGAATGTAGTAAAGTAAATGTTATAGGCAGACCCGAATTGTAGACCATCCATGACTGAATTGAATTAATCCTTCACTTAACTATTTCAGATTCAGTAATAGGTTGATGAACCAAAAGTTGAATAATATGAAGAAGAATAGGAGAACTAATATGAGTAAAATGCAGATTTGCAGGAAAGAAACAAAGAAACATTTTAACTTCAAGATGAAGTTTTATAGGTTCATAAAGAATCATTCTAATATTTAGAAGGAGGGTAGAAGAATACTCAAGATGAGAATTCCCCTCGAGATTAATTTGAAGAATCTCCAAGGAAGGTAGAAAAACTAAGTGGAGAATTTAACACTTAATCAGTGAAGTCATCAGTAAATCAATCTTTGAAAGAATACTATGTAACAGGATCTATAGCTGCTTAATTTGGATAATTAAACCTACTTGAGAGTAATGAGGCGTAAAAGTGTGGTGGACTTACTCAATTATAAGAGAATGGAGAGGTGTTGTAAGAAAAGTCTTAAAACCAGCCCACTTCACCTAAAGGATAGGATTCTATCAAACCAAAAAAGAGTGTCAAGGTTAACACAGCATCAGCTAACAAGAAAGGAGTTTCAATAAAGAGACCTAAACATGAAATAATGGATACTAAATTACCTAAGTAGGCTGTGGTTGTAACCAAGAAAAGATGAAGTATATATTATATTACTATAAATAATTATAAATTTTATTTTAATTTTTAATTTCTTATTAAATTCTAATGCAAGGAACTCCAGATTTGGATGAACCAAATGTTAGTAATTCTTAACAGGCTTGGGGAAAATTAATATCATTGAATGGAGGCAAATTCAATTCACAGGATTTGTATGATGAAGAAGTAATATTAGAAGTGTATTATTAGATAACAATTGGAAGATTGGACACTAATAAGATTGTGATAAATGAGAGCAGATTGTCTGGGCTACATTGTAAGATTAAGTGGGACACTGCTAATAACTTGGCTTAGTTGTAAGATTTATCAACCAATGGAACATTTATAGGAGATTAAAAGATAGGAAAAAACAATGAAATTATCTTAAAGAATGGAGATGAGATCTATTTATTGCACAAAAGCAAAGTACCCATTTCAGATATAATCGGATTCACATTAGTCATCAAATAAGTGAAGGAAGTCAAAGTGGAGGTTTAATTGGATGAATAACAACAGAAAAAAATTCAAATGCTTGAGGATATGCAAGAGGATATGCATTGTCCAATCTGTGATGATTTAATATTTCAATGCGTTTCATTGGTGCCATGTCTACACAACTTTTGTGGTGCTTGTTTCTCTGATTGGATGGCTAAATCCAAAACTTGTCCATCCTGTCGAAAGGATGTTTAATCTGTGAATAAAAATTCAATGGTGAATAATGTCGTAGAGAGGTACCTCTTGATGAATCCCGATAAAAAAAGACCAGCTGAAGAATATAAAGAAATGGAATCCAAGAATAAAATCAAAGGAGATGCTATAGTTTTTAATTCATCTGAGCCAGTTCCCATAGTTTAACCCGTCGCAAATGTAGCTCCAGCTAGAGGACGAGGTAGACCAGCTGCCACATAATAAGTTCCCATCGTTTAACAAGACATTTAAAAAGAAACACATAAGCTAAATCATATCAGTGATTACTCAGCTGAAGAAGATGATGGTCCTGTTACAAAAGATTGTGTAACATGCATTAGACCTATTAATGGATATCAATGTTAAAGAAAAAGTGTCCCACATTTGAATTGTGGTAATTGTGCATCCAAAATGCCTAAATTTGGTAATTAATATAAATTAATCAATTAGATTTAAATGAAAAAAGATTGGTTTTTAGATGTCAATTATGCGAAAATTACTTTTGCACTCTCTATAATAAAAATTGTTAATAATTGAGTAAGAAGAATCCGAATATTCGTATTGAAAGACATGCAGTTCCTGGGAACGTAGATGTTCAATGTTTTAGATAAAATCAATTTGAATTGTAAGCGTTTTTAGATTACATGAAACAGAAAGGTTTGACAACACAAGATATCTTCAAATACATGCTGGATAATCATATTAGCAAAGGGGGATTCAAATTTGTAGAAGGGAAACGTACTCACAAAGATCCAAAAAGAACAATCGACATGCTCATTCTCAATGACACTGTATTTATTTAATTATATCATTATTAGCCTGTTTGCAATCAATGCTTCACTTTAGTTTGGTAATAGATAGTTTTCAGATACCGTATTTCGATTAGAGATTAGATGGCTGATAAAATTAAAAATAGAGGACAGTGTTGGTTTGGAATTAATTGCAATACAATGACTCATAATCCACAGCATGCTGAGAAATTGGATCATATTTGTGAATAAACTAAATTTTGAATCAGTTTTATTCTAATTATAATCATTAATATTATGGGAAATAGCAATCTTACACAAGCTTGTAATTAAGACATTTCATAGTCTTGTCAATAAAACTCAGGTCTTACCGAATAAGAAATTGAGGGCATCAAAAATGTTTTTAATTCTCTCGACCCAAAAGTATTCTTTTAATAAATACATTGAGGATGGAGTTATTAGTACCGAGACTCTGAGAAAATTATACAGAGATTCATATGATGCTCCAAAGTTAAATGAGTATATTGGAAACAGAGAATCTTTAACATTCCAAGAGTTTTTTGAAGTAATGCGTATTAATATGTTGGAAAAAAAGAAAAACTTTCCTAATGTTGAATTCAATGATATGGATGGAAATGTTTAATGCTTTTTCTGTTAACCATGATCCTAAAAATTCATTTAATATTTAATATCATTAAAATATTTTTGCAAACTCTGTTTTAAATTCTTCTGATCCTTCTTTGGTTGTGAACATTACTTTTAATGTATCAACAGATATTGATTTCTTTTCATCATTTTCACCATATTTTTCTTTTCTGCTGACAGCTTTGATAATTAAATTTTCTGCCTTCTATCCCAAAGGTTTGATCTCTGAAAATCCTTTGATAAATTACCCAGTATAAAATGATTATTGAATTGCATTTCTAACAAATAGATAAAACAAAATACCTATAAACAAGATAATAAACATTTCCATTTTTTGTTTTTTCAATAGCCACAGATCCCTTCTCCAAAATATCATTTGTATTTTTTCTAAACTTTTCAACATTAACCTTTGATCATACAAATAAAATTACCTTTACTAATTGATCTGTGTTTGGAGTATAATCATATTTCATTACTATTTGTTTTGGTTCATCATCCTCTGGTTTTTAATCATCTTATCCTATAAAATAGATACATCATTGATACCATCATCTTCTCCTGGTTCGCTATCATCGGATTTTGGAGCTGTGTAACTAATGCCAAATAAGGATGGTCCTGGTTTTGTGAGATCTACATTAGCATTGCTTAAAACAGGAGCTCCGGTGCTGAAAATTCCAGTTGTTGGTTAGGTTGACCCAAACAAACTTCCTTAAAAAATGGAGGATGTTTAATTGTTAGTGAATAAATTTTATCCATTGATCAATGATCCAAACAAACTAGGAGTTTTGTTTTCTGTCTTTGGTGCTTCGTTTTTCTCTTCATTTTATTGTTTCACTTCCTAAGGTTAATTTTTATCGTCGTCTTAACCTTTATGAGACTCATCAACTTTTGGTGCAAATTCGGCGGATTATTAGGCCATGAATAATTTAATTATTTAAATTTGTATATGAATACTATTGATGGATATAAATAAAAATGTCAGAATTATTCTGAATGAAACTTTATAAAGGAGGAGTTTTCTTAGTATATTTGTTAGTCGTAATTGGAATCATCATATTGATAATTCTCGATATCCTAATATTAAAAGTTGTAATTATTATCTGAGAATTCTCCATCAAAGAGAGTCTTCACACTTTTCACAAACCTCATAATCTAGTTTTGATAGAGAGGTATTCTTTGCTTGTAAATCTTTAATATTTAATCTGATGGGAGATTCTATACCTTATCCCAATATAGATGCTCATCCTAACGTCCCTTAAAGATTTGAATCAAAAGATTTTTAAATATAACTTAAATATCCTTTAAACTATCAGTCTCACAAAATTAATGTATTAACTCCTCAGTAATGTATTTAATATCAAAATTATCTTCTAACAGTTTTAAAAGTTCAAGTAATTCCTTGTAGAAGGTTTCATCTAATATGAACTTAATCTCCTTCAAAATCTTAATCCAATTTTCATTTTATAGAGTCATCTATTTAGTGTATCTATTTTTTAGATCGTGGAGGCAATTGCTTCTAAAGAAGAAAACAACTATCCTTTCTTTTTTCTTGTTCCTAGATGGTTATCCAAGATATTTTTCAGAAAAGGATTCTAAGAATTCATATAAAGGTTAATTAGATTTTTATTCATTATATTTCTCCTATTTGAGTATCCTTTTATATTAATTTTATTCATTCTTCAAGTTCTTCTTTGCTCCAGCAAAATGAAGTAGGAAGTGTCGACCTTCATTAACAAGAAATTCTATAAAATTGATATCTCGTTATTGGGTACTCCAGATCTTGGGTTACTTCATTGTTATCTTATTCAAGCCAGGAGGCTTACCAATTTCAGGTTTTTTTATTTACCCTTTTATTAGTCCACATTACAACTTAGTTTCTATGTGAACTTAAAGGCCTTAATTCTATTTTTTAGTTCTTGGAAATTTTCCCATAATATTAAAAATAATGTAATTCTATTACCTTTTAGATACAATTTGAAGTACAAGCAAGAAAATATAACTAAAAAGATTTATGAGTCATTACCTAATTGGATACTCAAAAAAGATATAATAAATTAGATTGTAAGTGAAAATAATTAATGAATTCATAATTACTCAATGTTAGTTAGCTCTTTATATAATGAGTTATTTAATTTCCTTCTAATAAAATATTACAAATATCTTACTTTTTCGAGATACCAAATCCTACCATTTCAAATTTAAAAATATTTTCACTTATTTTGAGTTCCATTTTATCTTCTATTTGAATTGGTATGCTCTACTTTGACTTTGAATTTAACGGATTGTCGTATTATTATAAGGACAACCAAGTTCCGTTGGCGGATTGCTTTACTCCCTCGCCATCACATATTTCCCATTGATTCCCGTTGAATTTGATTTAGGTTTGTTTTCTGGAAACTGTATTGATATTGACTATGATGTCGCAATCCTGAGACCTTCCAATTTTAAAAATTTGTTATTGTCCCTCTTTTGCAATAAACACAGCCATTTATTTGACAATGGGAGTATCAAATTGTATTTTAAGAAAAGGGCGATTGCAATTCAATAAACTATATTGTTTTCTTCCCTTTTTTTTTGATTGAGAATAATTTTTTAGGTATTCTAAAATGTTATGTCAAATATGAATACATTGAAACATTTCCTGTTCCTCTTTGGTTAAACCATGGATTCTGGATCTATCCCTTTCGTGTTCTCTAACAAGAGTTTAGAAAAAATAATCGTTGTCTGTTTCTAAGTTTTGTTTATGAGTAGATTTTGGAATTGAGATTAACTAAACAACATTGAAGTATAAATCAGATCCAATTAAGTATTTGTTATTCAAATGCATTGTTTTTGGCTTATCTTTTTGTATTCTAACCAATGTCTTGAGAGATGTTCCACAATCTTAAACAAAGAATTTTGGTTTTACTCTTGAAAATATAATAATAATAAACTACTTGATAAATTAGTGAATAAGTTTGAACACATTTGAGGGTAATTGAGCTATTTTAGAATGCAAACTTTATCCTTGGGGTAAGTATTTCAGTTAAAGAAGAAAAAGTATTTCAGAAGTGATCCTGCTCGAATAGCGAAATCCGTATTTAGTTAAAATTTTGCAGGGGATTGATTCAACATTAGATTGTTAACCAGAAAGACCTTAAATATAGGGATTGTTTTATACCGAAATCCAAGTTGTTATCTCCAGCTTTCTTTCTTCTTATAATTTAGATTTCATTTTTTTGTGCTTAATTTCCGCCGATTATCCTAGTGATAAATGAGAGAATTTACTTGTCATCTTGGAGGATATAATATTTTTAATTAGCCAGTTGGTGTTATTTATAAACACTAATCTTTACATGTGGAGATTCTCTTTTAAACTCTTAATTTATATTCTACTAAGTTGGGATACATGCATGGCTTTCCCTTTTTACCATTCCATCCAGGTTTGAGCTGTTATTTTGGTCCTAGGAATTATAATAATATTTACAAGTTTTTCAATGTTCATCTCCTCTTCATGTTACATAATAACTGATTGGATCATTTCTTGAGCATCTTGTCTTGGTAGTTATGAAGAAGTTAAAGGTTAAGTGAAATGTTGAGGATTCATAGAATCTAATTATCTAATTATTCTTACTATTCATTTGACTGCGAAGATATTAACTAAGGTTTAAAGTGTTGAACATTCAAGAGAGTGTTTCTGTCTGTAAGAAAATATTATTTAAAATTAATATTAATGCAATAAATATTTGCACCAAAAATTTCAATATCAGGATTTATTAAATACTAAACAGTTTAGAACTTCATTCTTAGATCAAACCGGTGCTAATAATGTTAGAATAGCCCAAGACAAATTGGTTCTAGCATTTTTATATGAGCATAATGAAGCCACATTTTTGAGCGTTTTATGTACTATAAAATATATTTTCTGCTACCCGAATTAATACTATCAATATTTCATATTATTGAAAATCATTGAATTTCAATGTTTATTAATTTTATTCAATTCATGGAAATTCAAGTTCAACACTCTAATTACTCATAAAATCTCAGTCCTTTTGGGTTTCTCTGGCCTTTCCTTCCCAATCGTTCAATTTCCAATAATCATCCTATCATGATCAAACAAGTAACACTCTCCCTCTCAGAATTGGTTTCAGAATCCCGCATCAATCAACTAGAACATCAAATATCTATGAAATAAGTGCTAACAAAGCACATCTAAGTTAAAAATGTTTTTTAAAATAAAATTTATTGAACATTTTGAACACCTCTGTAGTCAATGTCTCTGCAATTGAGCATCCATTCCATTCAGAATAATATTGATTTCAGATTGATTACTCTACAGTTGAAAATAAAAATAATATGAGAATGGAAAATTTATTAACTGAAAAATCTGGACACCATCAATTATTGATGAGTTCTCTCAAGGAATTGCTAACGTTTCAGGGTTAGAGCTCGAGACTCACAATATAAATAAGGATTTTGGAGAATCTTGAATTTGAATTGATTTTAATTTATACCAAAAGAAATAAGAATATAATATATATAAAGTACAAATTCTTATTTAATTAGTTAGTTTCAAGCAATGTTGTGATTAATGTAATACTTTAATTGGTCTTAGTGAGAGAGAGAAATCCTAGAATTATATTTATGATATTCTAATTAATTATTTCTGTGGTTTCAAATAATTCAACTGGATGTCTCCTTTGGATGAAGGAAGGAGTATCTTGCATATCCTATTTGTTTGTTGATTATTAGAGTCATTTATTTAATATATTAATATAGTATATGATTAAACGACTAAAATTTAATACAGAGTAGATTAGAAGGGCATCGATTGTACTATAGAAAATCGATCTGAGGATGAGTCAAAGGGATTTTTCTAAGTATGTAATCATGAGAGTACAGTTATCAAGACATCATAGATATAATGATTTTTATACTTCTGAAGCCATGTGAACTCAGATCATAAGCAGATGTTGAACTGCTAAAATAGGCCACACGATCTCTTGATTTTTTTGCGAATTTGGGTTCCGATCTTTTGCATGAATAATGTTGTAGGAATCTTAGACACAAGTATGTTCCAATAGGACACTTTATTTTTAAAGAAGGCGAAAAAGGAGACAATTTCTACTTTATCATAAGTGGTCGAGTGTCGGTGTTGAAGGATTTCAATCCATCTGACCCACAAGCCTCGATATTCGATAATGAGATAAAACAATTGACGAATTTCGAGACTTTTGGAGAACGAGCAATGGATTCTGATGCACTCAGAACGGCATCTGTCAGAGCTATAGAGAACACCCATCTCGCATATTTGAATAAGGACAGTTATTAAATTATAGCTAAGAGTGTCAAAAATCAATTAAAGAAGGCTTATTTTGAAGAATTTGCAAATCTAGATTTCTTCCACAACTGGAGATTTTAGGATATAAAGGTATTTTATGATAGGGCTTATGTAAAACGATACGCAATGAATGCCACTGTGTACAAGGAGGGAGACCCATTAGACTACGTATACATCATTAAAAAGGGGGAGTTCAAGATAGTCAAAATAATAAAGACATCGACCATAGACTTGAATGAGATGTTTAAGGGTGATTTCGAGAAGATTTTGTGCGGAATGAGCACTCCAAAGACCTACACTATATCTGAACGATTAGAGGCTCGATTTTAGAGAAAGAAATATGGCAATATATATTATTTGGAGAAGAAAAAGCCTGTAACTATCAAATATATAACTGCCGGATAAATGTTTGGAGAGATGGAATTCTTAATGCAAGTAAACATTCAGTATAACTAAAGCAAAGAATAATAATGTAAGAACACACTCAGTCTATTCAGTTACGGATCAATCAGAACTCTATATGGTAAAGAGGGAATGTTTTGAAACCATTTTGGACAAGGTTCCATCCATAAAAAATGCTTTGATTTAGTTGTCTGAATAGAAGAACAATAATTTTATGAGATAACTGTTACAATATGAGAAACATTTTAATGATTTAACTGAAGTAAAAAAAGACTTGGAGAGAAATATCAATTTGGATTTTTTATAATTGGGAAGCACTGAGAAGAGATTGCCTTCTCCAGTCTTGCAATAAATTAGATCTACACAACCTGTAGTCAAAAAAGTATTGAAAATCCCTAAAATTGAAAGAGAAGTTTAAAGGATAGAGACAAAAAAGAAATTTTTAATGCGAAGAAGAAAAACAAGTGCGTTTAAGATACATGATAGTAACTCAGAAATGGATGGAAGCTAATATAACTTTATTAGTTCAATTAAATGAATAATTAATTTATTGTATATGACACCTTAATATGATTACTCTAAAATTTAATTTGAATGTGTTGTGCTTCGTAAACATTTCATTCGGGATGTGAAGTATTACTGCTATGTTCTAGACCAATACCTTTTAATGACTAGAGTAAGATTGCCCACTATACATAGAAAGCTAAGGATGAAAAACCCAAATATGTCTTATAATTGTAATTGAGTCAACAAATTGGATGGATCACAGAACAAAAAGATAATAAGCTACTCATAAAAGCATTTACTATCAGGTACCAGAGCAAATTCAAAGATTTTACTGGTAAAACAGAAGACTTGCACATGTAAATCAAATACCCATTATGCTTAGAATAAGACAATAAATCAAGAATAAAGTCACATTTTTTAAGATTGCTGACTTCTATGAAGCTCAATATAATCTCGGCAAAGGGAGTTCTGCCAAAGTGATACAAATTAAAGAAATTGGATCTGAGTCAGCTTTATTTGCCGCAAAAGCTATTGATAAAAATTATCTCTAGAAAAGCTTATTTGGCATGAAAGCATTTTTAAATGAAGTTGAAATTCTCAAACTACTTAATAGATAAAGCATAAATGCCCCTTTTATAAAGTTACATGAAACTTTTGAAGGCGACTACACCTACTATTTAATATTAGATTTAATGCGAGGAAGAAGCTTAGCAGAAGAAATTGAATTACGGAAGGTAATAATACTTGAGATTATGTTGTTTAGTAAAGGAAGGAATTATTTCCGATAAAGTCAGTAAGAATGATTATGTAATAACTATTGGAAGGCGTGAGAATCCTACATGAAAATAATATCATACATAGAGATTTGAAACCAGATAACATTATGTTCCGTGAATAAGATCAATATGATACTCTCATTATAGTCGATTTTGGATTGTCAACCTTCACTGAAGTTTCAAAATACTAATTCCCAAAATGTGGTACTCCTGGATATGTAGCTCCTGAGGTTCTCAATTTGATTGATAGAGATTAAAAATATGATAAAGTTTGTGACGTTTTTAGTTGTGGATGTATCTTCTACAAATTACTATTTGGACACAGTTTATTTTATGGCAATTCATTCAATGAAGTGTTGAATTAGAATAAAAAATGCAATTTCATTTTAGATGGACGTGACATGGATATGATTCCATTAGATGCATAACAATTATTAAGAAGAATGCTTGCAAAAAACCCTCTAGAAAGAATCACAGCTAAACAAGCCTTGGAATCTGATTTTTTTATTAGTCCAGTAACTTAATCTTAATAAAACAGTATTACATTCTTATTATTAATGTCTAGTTTTGAAAATGTTGAAAACTAATAATTCAAGTAACATCTTCTAACCAACTACAGATGGATAATTATCAGAAGCAGATTCTCCTTTCTAAAGAGTTTAAAATATGCATATCGAATAAATCGATTTTGATTCTGACATCTCAGAGAATAAATCTTCATCTATTCAAATTAGATATTTGCCATCACTTAAAAAGCCTTCATTTAAAAAAATGGAAGATACAAATTCAGACAGTTTTTACACAAAAGATCCTCTTAATAGCTTTAAAAAAATAAATGCTAGTATAATATTCAATTAAATTAGTATCTCTTAAAAGTTTGAATGAGTCTTAAGACAACAAAATTTATTAATCAGAAATTGATTAAATGTAAAGAATCTCGTTATTTAATAGATATAAAGATAATTGATTTATATTTAATACTCAATCAAGTTTTATTTACATTCATTGCTAGTAGTTTTAAAAGATCTTAAACAATTGATCCTTTCTTAGTTGTTTCTTGCAATTTTATAATCCTTAAGCATTAAATAGACCCATTAACATTTTGTATGGAAATATTTTCTATTAATATTAAAAACTGAATAAATTACTTAATGATTATTCATATATTCAATTATTGTCTCTGCTTAAGTTGAATTAAGAATTTTTACAAAGGATTCATATAAACTATTTTCAACATTAAAGGTTTTCGAGACTTTTTGATAATCATTCAACATAACTTCTCTGCCTATATTATTTACTTTCTTAATTCTAGAATAAACAACTGCAAATAGATAGATGAGTTCATCATAATATAACGTCTAAACTTCTGTTAATTGTTGCTAAGACAATCCTTGCAATTTAATTTCATTAGTCGATATTATTTTGTCTATCAGCTGAATCCTCTATTAATCCTCCTTGTCATTCTACTTCAATTCATATTTGCATTAAACTAATTAAGCATAAGGTTCTTTATTAATACTATCTCTAATTACAATATCCTATAATTATCCTATTGTTGAGTTTAATTCTTAGTAAAATGGTTAAAATTCAGTAAAAACTTCTTTGATTGACTCAAATTCATTAAGCAGAAATAGTATAGATTCAATATATACGACTCTATCCATTAAATCAAATTGCTAGGTTTTTTTAACCTTAAGATCTTCTGGAATGTGGATTTTTTTGAGGTATTTAATCAAATCACCATACTTCTCTCTATAGAGGATTACTTAACTAATGTGTTCAAACTATTATGTATATTGATCTGGCTCTTGCTTTTAGTCATAATTAAAATTAAGCGTATCATCAAATATATACCTTTTATGCTCATCTAAAATCATAGGAATTGCTAAAGTATAAATATAATAGTTTATTAAGAAGATCAATTCTTCCACTAATTTTGTTTTATGCTATTAACTGAAATGAATGTACATTAGCTATTGTTGGATGATAATGTACAATTAACTAACAGTTGATGTCAATAAGAGTGTTCTTTCTTTTCCTTAATAAATTAAACTAGATGTGTTGTTTTATTTTTTCATAGAAACAGTTGTGCCCATAATTAAATCAATTATTTTCTTGTATTCAATCGATTTGAAGATATTCAATGTATCTGGAAGTGGATCTTGATAATCGAAGATATGGAATTTGGATTATTTATTAGCTATTTATAACATATTTTAGGTTTAATTAAGTGTGATTTTCATGCATTTCTTACAATCTTCGTTTATTAATGATTCTTTGATTTATTTATCATTCCCTCTTGTCTCTAAATAATTATTAAACTTATCCTCTATGAATGTTTTGAATTTCTAGAGGTTTTAACCTCCAAATACTTCACATTTAGATATCAAAATAGTAAGCATACCAAAAAAGCAAATCATATCTTCTTTGTTCATTCGAGGCCAACTTGTTGTTTAATCGATAAAATCGCAAATTCTATCGAACACCTTTTCATAAATTAACTTTCTTAATTGAATAATTGAGGAATTTTAAGTATTTTCTAAATGGAATCTTATGATCAAATGAAAATTTATAAAGAAATGAACTGTTTAACAACATAATTCTCTATAAAATTCAATGAGTTGTTCCTTTGATATTTGATTTAAAGAATCTGTTAAATTGTCAAAATAAAAGTCAATTTATAAAATTTGACTAATTTGATCAAATACTATTTATAATTTAGCTTCGAATGCTCTCAAAATTAGGATGTGAACTATTTAATCGTAAGGTTGTACTATATTATTTTTCTTGTTTAAATTAATAGATGTACTTCCATGTAAAGATAGGAGTCATAATGAATTTTGTATATTTTTTCGTCATAATTGATAAACTAATCGATTATCCCTTTACATGTTAATTATCTAACATATTCAATCCTATCCTCTTTATAATTCTTGGGTATAAATTATAAACCATCAATTATTTCAATATTCTATATAGATGATAAAGAATACTATAATTGTGGGTAGGTAGATTGACGCATCTATATATCCATTCTACATACTAAGCACAAAGCTTTCATAAGGCAAAGCATACTGATCTTTAACTTTCTTTAGCGTTTCTATCAATAGCTATAATAATATTATTCATTTACTTATAAGTTTAGTATTTATTGTCTTTTCTCCAAAATCTATTTGCTGTGCTTTATTACTGTTTATTATGTTTTCTACATCTTTTCTCTGCTCTCTCTAACCTTAATGATTAGTTTTTAGCTGACATTTCCAATGGAATCAATATGAGTAAGAGCTTGGAGATAACTAGAGTAATTGGTGAATACATTTTTAGAAAGCTTAGTTTAGATGACATTCAAGTAATGATCGTATTTATCAATCTGCCTTTGTACGCTTATAATTTAGGAATTCATGTCTCCTTAAAATATATTGCTATATTCAATTTTTTCAATCTAAGTTTAGATGTCTTAATTTTCATCAACCTTCTTATAAATATTATTGAGAGCATCATAATTAATATCCATATCTCCATAAAGTTCAATCAATCTCTATACATTCTTCCTAAGAATTTCTTCTGTATTACTTTCGTGAGTTCGTGTAGTGTGCTATTTTTAAATTTCTAAAATTGATGCAAACATTCTAAATTTATCTTCATCACTTTTATATTGTTGCAATATTCGATTCACATCACCAATGTTTAATGGTGGTACATCCTTATATTTTTTTTTTATATAGTCTTTTTTCTAATTAAACATAAAAAATTATGGAATAAAATTCTGAAATTTTTAATAATTTTTATTAATTTGGATATTTGTTGCATATCTATTGATAACAACATTTTCCAAATTTTGTTTAAGATCGTTCATCATAAATTCTAATTAAAAACAATGTGATCTGACTCACTTCAATTTAAATTATTATGAAAAGAATTAAATATTTAATTTAACTCAATAACACTAAGGGTAGAGAATTTAGTATTCAAGGAAATTTGCATCAGATAACGATCTAAATTTATAATTAGAATGAATGAAGATATTTTGATCAAGTCACTTTGGATTTTAGAAGTATATATCTAGATGAGTGACATTTGAAATGTTAATTTTGAGAAAGAAGAATTAATTTATATTAAAATAGTTACTTGTAATTATAACTTAACAAAATATATTTTATGGTTATCAGTAGTATTCCTAACATCTTCTTTTCTAAGATTATTTATATTCTTACTAATTATTCTATTTAGTCCAATTGGCCTTTAATGAATTTTAAGGTCTTTAATTGGGATTATTTTCTTTATTCTCGTTCCTCTTTGATTTACAGAAACAATTTTGAGACCTTTTCATCAATGCCACAGATCGCCATCACATCATTTATTATTTCTTCAACCTTAATTTGAAATGAGAAATCAACTTAACCCTTTGTTTTTTTGAGTATGTTGATCGATTTTTCTATCTTACCGACAGCATCCCATCGTTTTTATTCTGGCTTCGATTCTGATTCGCTTAAATTTAATGTCCTTGCTCTCTCTGTTTTGATAATAGGAGTTTTTATACGGATACTACTGGGTTGTTTTGCTACTAGGATATTTGAGAACTTTCTTACTTTTGATTAGTTATGAAGACTAAGGGGAGCGTGTTTTTGGAGCAAACAAAGAGGGCTTAAAATGGGCTTGAAGAGTTGGACTACCTATGGATTAGGATTAACTCATTTTTGAAATAATTTACTAATTATATTATATAATAAAAATGCAGATCTAAAGTAACTTTTAAACTTACTGGGAATAAAAATTAATTCTAATTGCGACTTGATTTTAAAAGAAATAAGAGCAACTTAAGAAAAATAAGTTATTATAAAATAAATTCATACAATTATAATTATGTATTTACTCATTATTTAGTTTCACAAAAAAAGTTCTAATATAACCTAAAACAACATTTTTTGTTTGTTACAATTTGCAGAATAAAACTATTAAGTAAACCATAAATAAAATACAATTAAATCAAACATTAATTAATGAATGCCAATTTTAAGAGTATCATAATAGTTTTTGATCTAAAGATGAAATATGCACTTATATTAAACTGTTTATATTCAAATCTCAAATATTTCAAGCAGGATCAAGCATTTATAGAGATTAGGACCAATTATAAAATTGATATTTAAATATATTTCCTATAACTAAAGGGGTTATTATGAGTTATTGTTGTTTCATCTGTAAATATATATAATAAATGATGACATAAAAATAATAGGTAATTAATACCGAATCATGATGCAATAGGAATTTTAAATTATATTAAATGAAAAGGTTTATCAAACCATCAAATCTGGGAACAAAATACCCTAAGTTATTTAATTGGTAACCTGAAAATTATGGCTTACCAAAAGGTTTTGCCATGACCAACTTCACAGAATTAAAAGGGTGTGGATGTAAGGTCCCATAAACATAATTGTTGAAATACTTGGGCTAGATTGGTGAAGGTGATATTGGAAAGGAAACACCAGATGTTTCTGTATATCCTGTAAAGAGAACATAGGATTTTCATACAATTTCAACTATAGATTACTTCTACCCTCTAGTAGCCAATCCTTATGCATAAGGTAGAATAGCATGTTGTAATGTGTTGAGTGACCTCTATGCTATGGGTGTTACTCAAGTTGACACAATGCTCATGGTATTGGGTGTCTGTACCAAGATGACAGACGAAGAAAAATAAATATCTACATCACTTATGTTAGAAGGTTTTAATGACTGTGCAAAGGAAGCAAAAACTTCTGTTACTGGGGGATAGAGTGTCTAGAGTCCTTGGCCATAAATGTATTTATTTATTTAGATTTATTAGAGGTGGTGTTGGAATTGCTTCAAATCACAAGGATGACTTTATCATGCCCAATGGTGCTGAGGCAGGTGATTATTTAGTTTTAACAAAACCTTTGGGTGTTTAATTAGCTGTTAACACATATCAATGGATGACCACTATACCATCGAAATGGGATGCAATTAAAGGAATAACAAATGAAAGTGAAATTAATTAAGCATTTGAGCATGCAACAAAGAGCATGTGCACATTAAATGCTGCAGCAGCCTCCTTATTTAAAAAGCACAATATCAAAGCATCAACTGATGTAACAGGATTTGGAATCTTGGGACATGCCAGATATTTAGCTAGAGCTTAAAGAAGAAAAGTCTAATTTGTTATTGATCAACTACCTATCATTCAAAATCTATACAAATTGGATAAAAAGGCTAGAGATTTTAGATTTTTGGAAGGTCTTGCTGCTGAAACATCTGGAGGATTACTAGTAGCTACAAAGGATCCCGATTCATTTCTTAAAGATTACAAACATCTAATTGGAGAATGGGGTTGGGTTATTGGTAGAGTTGAAAAAAGTCAAGAAAGAGATGCAATCATTTCAAAAAATGTAAAGATCCAAGAAGTTTGATTTTATTAATCAAAATTTATATAAAAATTGTCATATCTTAAGATTTTGAGTTAATTAATAAAATCAATGAATTCTAAAACTAAATTAAAGTATTTATCATCATTAAGAATCAAATTATATTACTAGTTCCATAAATTAGGAGTCTTTGAAATTAATGAAAATCTTGAAAATTAAACAAGAAACTGATGGAAAAGTTTTAATTTATAATTGCAAATCAAATTTAATAAATTCATAAGAGGAAATATATTGAAAATTCATTTGTTACCGAATCTAAAGGATGTTTATGATGCTCCTTATACCTAATCTACTTTCGTTAGTTTTTTCAGGCTTTAACTTATGCATGTTTTGGAATGATCTAATTTGATTTTTTATGTCTAAGGAGAAACAGATTGTCTGGAGATGTCCTCTTCAATGTAATCTTTAGAACCTTTCCTTACATTATCTTCTAGATCAGCAAAAGATGATTTCTTTTACTTTTCAAATTACATCATTTATAGCTTGCTTTTCAATTCTAATTCTTATTCTTTAAGAAGTTATATCTATTTTTGAGCCTACTCCATGTAAATAATTTTCTCTTCCTTACTTTTCACAAGTGCTAAGGATAACTCATTGATTTTTATCTCTAATTGTCTTACTTCGGAATTGAATTCTGGTTTGCTATTAGATTATGGTAATTTCTCATTTTATTATTGCAAAGTAACGATTTGTTATTTTTGTGATTCAATTTAATTCTTTAATGTCTCTAATTGTTGTTTATCTGACTAGATTAATATGAATAATTACACCTTCAATTATTCTTATCGAGCATCTTCAATTATAAATAATGCATTGATAATATCAATAGGATCAGAGTCAGACCCTAATTAAAGAATCTCTTCGTATTCTTCATCAAGAGTTTTTGATATCTTGAGCCAATACTGGAGTAATGATTGTTTAATCGATTAATTCTCTTGTTAAAAGTCTTTTTGATTTTGTAAGTTTTCTGACATTATATTAAAAATAATTTTGATAAGAAAACTCATTTTAAATAAAACATTCAACACTACTAAAATCTGGAATCTTTTGGAAGAGAATCTCGAATCTTAATTTTAATACGATGTTTGCAATTGTTTTTAGCGCAAATTATTGAAAAATAAGCATTATCTAAAAAGGACCGACTAGTATATTCTTTTTGTTTATTCTCTTTTTGTGCTTATTCAGCTACACTATTAATCATTAATAATACACTGACTAATTCTTGAATCTACGTAATCCGAAAACATATTCTTAGATCGTTGGGAATTCGAATTGTGAAACGCATCTTCGATGTATTCCCTTCTTTTTTTGTGCATTGAGTATAACCCATAGGGAAACTTAGTACCATCTATTTCATAGAGATTCTCATTTTTAGGAATAGATAAACTTTTATTGAGAGTATCCGATTGAGGGGTAGTTCTTACAGAACAAGAGAGATTCCTTACTTAGTCGCTTATAATTACTTGAATCGATAGTATTTGGCTTAAAGAGTAGTCAATTCCTAGTTTCTTAATTGTTTGGATTAAACATTAGTCTCTGTACTTTGGTTAAAACTGAATGATGTTATTTTCTTCATTTTCTTAATCTCTCATTATCAACTTAAAATTTACTTAGTGGTTTTGAATTTATTTGTCTAGTAGTTATAAAAACGTCAGGAAGTTGAAAGTCTAAATTTTTCTACTCAGTAAATGTTAATTATAATTGTTTAATTTGGCTTATTTGGGATTATTTGGTGTCCACATTCCTCCATTTAGAGTGGATGTCCTTAATATGCTCTAAATCGTTCTTAATTGTGGCGCATCCAGACTTCATTAAATAATGATTTTATAATTAGATATTAATTTATTATAAAAATTCATTATAAAGTAATTCTTTATTCATAATTGCCCCTATTTTGATTATTAGGATTTATATATGCGTGTGATTTATGCACACAAATTTCCTATTGTGATACAGTCTTCCTAAGTGACAGGAATTTAGGTTCTTAATAACCAATCTGAGGTGATTGTAATTTTGGTACGGCTATTTTTCGTTGTGAAGCTATCATTACTTTGTTATTGTGATAATATTCTAATTGCTTTTGGATTGGGTCTGTCATTTATAATTTTAGGTTATCAAGATATTCAAAAATAGAAGTTTGATTCATTTGTTTAGATTAATTAATGAAAAGTCTAAATATCATTTTATATAATCATTTCTGAAATTAATCAATTCGTTTTCAGCAAATTCCTGAACCACTTTGAAATACCTCCTCAAAATCATTTGCCACACCTTTTTATCATGGCATGTGTCTATCTGACTCCCCAAAACTCTTAAAATATTCTTCCGATTGAAACAGCCATTCTTCAAACATTTAGTTTTGAGACTATAAATAATTTCATTTTTTATAATACATCTTATACTTTTTTCAACTCTTCTAGAATTAATATTTACTAATTACAAGTTTCATATTTGATAATCTTTGTGTATCGCCTATTTTTATATTGAAAATGGTTTCATTAGAGCTTTAATCTTGATATTAATGCAGTTTAACACTTTAATATCAATGTTTCTATTTCTTATATATCAATTCTTTCAACTTTAATTACATATAAATATTCTTACTATTAAGTGTAAATTTGTATGATCTGATCATTTATTATAATACATCCAAAAGTCCTAGATTTTAAATCTGTATTTAGTAAACTATTAGACTATTTGATAATGCAAGAACAAAAGCTACTTAAGCATTTTTATCAAATAGGGTGTAGTAAGTATAATAAATTGTATCAGTAGAATTCAAAAGTACTCTCATAATTTTATTAAGTATAAACAGTAAACTAGATCAATAGCTCATATTTAAGATATTGATGATAAATAATAATGATAAAATAGGTTTTATTAATCAAAGTATTATTTTATTTTAAATGATGAAAAGAGCAAACAAAAATAATAACATTAACTGAGAATGAATTTTAGTAAGAATCCTTAAGAAAAATTAATTTCTTGATTTTATAATTTATTATAATATATAAAAATTCGATTTTCTAATGTGAATTGAATAATATTTAAATGACTCACAACTATTTGTTTTATTTTCTATTGACATTCGTGTTTATCAATGTTACCAGATTTAAATTAATGTTACTATTTTCTTATCATACATATATCTATCAGTACATATCACTAACCAGTTCTAGTTCTCTTAACATGGACCCAATCTCTATAGTGTTATTTTCAATGGCCATCTATATTCCTTTTTCCTTGTACTCATTTAAATATTGCCATCAGAAATTTCATTGACTCTTTCCAGTTCATCCACCTTAGATTTAATGTCCTTAATATTAATTTCCCCTAATCCCCTTCATGTAATCATTTCTTTGCCTTAAATCATTCGAAAATCTCTTTCATATAAATCTCCATTATCTAAAACTAATGAGTTTTCTCAGTTTGTTTTCCATTGACTCAAATTCCTTGGTAGAAATCTCCTTTTTTCAATACAATAGCCTTTTCCATACTTGTTGCCATTTGGAAAGCCGTCTTAATAAGATATACTGTTATTACAAAAATAACAGGAGTTATAGATTTTTATGCCTCATTTTGGGTTTGCTAATTTTTTGTATTCATCATAATTCGATTAATTATTAAATTGTAATATAAACCATTTGAATAATGAAATACATCTTGAATACCAATAAATATATTAAAAAATTAAAGGTGAAATAATTATTTTCATATATGCATTCTAAAATATTATTTCCCTTTTTTTAATATGATAATAAAAAAAAGAATTGAGCAAAAACTACGTAAGTTGAGAATATGATAATTTTGTATATCATATGAAGATGATATAACAATTAAGATTAAAACAATTATATATAAATAAAAATTAAACCATGCTTATCGATGTTAAGCATTCTAAATTTATATACTTTAATATTTATAAACTTTAGAGTCTTTACTTCTATATTTAACATGAACATTCTCTGTATTTTATTTTAGATAAGGTATTATGACTATTAAATACTATCTTAGAGATAATAGTCACTTTAATAGTTTAGGTAATGATTACGGGTTTGGGTCTTGAATTTGCTTTGTTTTTTAGGTAAATTGTCGAAACGAGAAAAATAACATTGTGAGTTAAAAAGTGTAAAATTGTTTAACATATTAAAATTTATAAATAAGATGGATTAAAAAAATATTTTATAACCAGGCTTAATAATTGAGGGTAGATTCAAATTGCTCAAGAAGATAGGGAGTGGTAGCTTTGGGATTGTTTACTTAACTTATGATTTGGAGGAAAAGGAATATTGCGCAACGAAATTTGAAAGTCGAAATTTATAAATGAGAATGATGAACAGGGAGATCCTTATTTTAAAATAGTTGAAAGGCATCAATGGTAAATTGTTATATTTTTAATTCATTAAATTTCAGGTTTTCCAGAATTAATTCATTATGGCAAAGACAGCTAATATTAATATTACATCTGTACATTGTTGGGTGAGAATTTGGAGGTCCTGTTATAAAAGTGCGGTGGTAAATTTACTTTATAAACTGTCCTTCAACTATCCATACAATTGATCGATCGTTTGGAAGGTTTTAATTTCTTATACATAATTAAAGTGTTTCACAGCATGAATTTCATTCATAGGGACATCAAACCTGAGAATTTCCTAATTTCTAAGGAGGATACGTCATTGGTTTATTTGATTGATTTTGGATTGTCCAAATACTACAGAGTAACTGATGGTAGACATATAGAATTTACTCAGAAAACAGGAGTAATTGGAACTGCACGATATGCTAGTATTAATACATTGCAATGTATGGATATATATTACGTTAAGGGATGGAATAATCAAGGAGAGATGATCTTGAAAGTCTGGGTTACATGTTGATATATCTAGTAAAAGGAGAGTTGCCTTGGTCTAATGTGAAGGCTGCTGATAAAGACGACAAATACGAGCAAATTTTATAGATTAAAATGGGGTTGTCCTTAAATCAACTGTGCTTTAATTTACCAAAAGTAAATACATCATCACTTATGTAGTGTTTTATTCATTACTTCCAACATGTCAAATCACTGCTTTTTCAACAATAACCTAATTATTCACACTTAAGGAACTTATTCGAGAAACAGTTACTTGAATACGATCATTAATTATATGATTGGGAATTAAAAACAATAGGGAAACAATAATAGTAAGAGTTATATATTGATCCAAATTCAATACCTGACATTAGACTGCAGAATGATTTAGATGTGGTTCCACCTGTAGATGAGGAAGGCCAAGTAATTCGGTTAAAATAAGAGCATTAGCATCATGTCAAATTCATGAAACAATTACATGAAAAATACTTTGATCACAATTCTTAGAAATTGAATTAGCAAATTTAATTGCAAAAAGTTACATCTATAGAACATATAAGTGAAGCCACAAGCAAATAAAATAACTATTAAACTAGCAATAATACTTTAATCTAGATTGAATCTTAACCTCATATTCTTAATAGTGTTCCATTATTTTCCAAAAGAAAAGATTCTAAATCATACACTTCAATTAAATAAAGCTAAGAACATAAAGAAAATCGTAAGTTTCGATAATCAAATGATGACTATGATTTAGATATGGCTAATGAGGAAGCAGCCAAATTTGACTAAAATAATCTCGAATTCAATTACTTTTCAAAATGATGTAAATATTGTAGTAAATTTTAAACTAAAAAATATATATTTCATTATTTAGATTTAATAAATTGTATAAAAATGAGTAGATTTTAGATAGGCTTTATTAAATTGTTTTAATCTAATATTTATTTTATTTTCCAAACTCTTCAATTTGGTCAGTCTTAATCTCTATCAATATTCAACAGAGAAACTCTATTATAAATAAATCTTTACCTTTTGTGATTCAAGGATTATAAAGCTATAAGATCCCTAAAGATAATGATATGTGAATCACCTTTTTAATGATTTCTAAAAATCTAAATATTTAATATCCATATACTATATTTTCTTAAATATATATATCGGTATGACATTCAAACTTATTCTAATTTTATTAAGAATTCACCAAATTAATAGTAACTAGCATATTTTTCTTATCGTTTAATAGAATTATTCTGCGAATGAATAATAAAATATTCCATTTCTGAATCTTATTTTTTAATTTTAAAAAAAGGTTAGTTAGCATAATTTTGAATTAGTTTATTATTTTCTATAGATTATAAATATTTTATTAATTTCTACATTTTCAGAAATGTGGAAGATCCATAGAATATATCATCATTTATATCTGTTGTAACTAAAAAATTTAAGTAACAAAATTAACGACTGTTATCGAGGTGATATGGAGTTTTCTATTATCCCCCAATTTCTTGTTATTTATTCTAAATTATCTTTTTGGTATAGGTAGTAAATGAATCTTTCATATTAATAATAAAGGGTTTAAGTGTTTAATACCTGATATATTTAGTACTAAATATCTTTAAATAAAATTTATCTCATGATATATAAATAATATGATATGCAAAGTTTTGGTTAAGCAAATCATAGCTATCGATTTGAATTAAATTTCTTTATTATTATACTTTGTTTATTAACGAATAAAAAATGTCATCTTATTTGCCCTTTCATAATCTAGCGTATTGTCCAAAATAAATCATCGAATTTGTCTAAAGGCCAGATATGAGTTTATTGGATTTGCACAAACTGGTAGATTCACTCAAATTACCCAGAAATCATTCTAAAATCTTAAGAAAAATGTAAATTTTAGTACAAAAGCAAGAGACTTTTTTGAATGAAGAAAACTCGAACATTAGAACTTATGTAGATGAGGATTCAATTTCACCAATGATGATATTTGGAAAGCTCGGCTATTGAATGTTTTAATTTACTATGACAATTACACAATTTAATAAGATGTATTAAACATGTTATATATATCATACTATGAATTGCTCAAGTTTTTTAATAAAATTAATATCAAAAATAGGCATTTATTTTGGAGATTCTGAATTTAAGCGAATATTAATTATAT